CTTAGTCATTTTTGAAAAGTTTCATGACCCTGGACCTGCAAAAAAGTTCAAAAAATCTGAAATTTTTCAATAATTTTTTTTTACTCGAAACAACCAAGAGAGTCATAATAAACATTTTGAAGAACATTTCGGGTAGTTTCGGTGAATTTTAGGCTCTTATTTTGAAGATAAGGACTTAGTCATTTCTGAAAAGTTTCATGACCCCGGACCTGCAAAAAAGATCACAAAATCTGAAATTTTTCAAAAATTATTTTTTACTCGAAACAACCAATAGAGTCTTAATACATGTTGCGAAAAACATTTCCGGCAGTTTTGGTGAATTTTAGGCTTTTATTTTAAAAAAAAAGGACTTAGTCATTTTTGAAAAGTTTCATGACACCGGACCTGCAAAAAGTTGAAAAAATCTGAAATTTTCTCAAAATTTTTTTTTACTCGAAACAACCTAGAGAGTCTAACTACACGTCACGAACAACATCTCGGGTAGTTTTGGTTAATTTTAGGCTTTTATTTTGAAGATAAGGACTTAGTCATTTTTGAAAAGTTTCATGACCCCGGACCTGCAAAAAGTTCAAAAAATCTGAAATTTGTAAAAAAAATTTTTTTACTCGAAACAATCAAGAGAGCCTTAATACACGTTGCGAAAAACATCTCGGCTAGTTTCGGTGAATTTTAGGCTCTTATTTTAAAGATAACAACTTAGTTATTTTTGGAAAAATTTCATGACCCGGGACCTGCAAAAAAGTTCAAAAAATCTGAAATTTTCCCAAAATTTTTTTTTACTCGAAACAACCTAGAGAGTCTAATTACATGTTGCGAACAACATCTCGGGTAGTTTCGGTTAATTTTAGGCTCTTATTTTGAAGATAAGGACTTAGTCATTTTTGAAAAATTTCATGACCCCCGACCTGCAAAAAAGTTCCAAAAATCTGAAATTTTTCACAAATTTCTTTTGACTCGAAACAACCAAGAGAGTCTAAATACACGTTGCAAAAAACATCTCGGCTAGTTTCGGTGAATTTTAGGCTCTTATTTTAAAGAAAACGACTTAGTTATTTTTGAAAAAAACTTCATATTTCCGGACCTGCAAAAAAGTTCAAAAAATCTGAAATTTTCCAAAAATTTTCTTTTACAAAAGAGAACCAAAAATGCTAAGAAAATACCTTTCTAAAATGTTTTGATGACCTTTGGTTGAACCTCCAAGAGATATCTGGAAAAAAGTAAGAAATAATATACCTAAAATGGTTGAGATTAAAGCTTGAAAATCACGAGCAAGGTTATGAGTTTTCAAAAACATTTTTTTACTCAAAACAATCAAGAGAGTCTTAATAAACGTTCCGAAAAACATTTCGGGTAGTTTCGGTGAAATTTAGGCTCTTATTTTAAAGATAATGACTTAGTCATTTTTGAAAAGTTTCATGACCCCGGACCTGTAAAAAAGTTCAAAAAAACTGAAATTTTTCAAAAAATTTTTTTACTCGAAGCAACCTAGAGAGTCTAAATACACGTTGCAAACAACATTTCGGGTAGTTTCGGTGAATTTTAGGCTCTTATTTTAAAAAAAAAACTTAGTCATTTTTGCAAAATTTCATGACCCCAGACCTGCAAAAAAGTTCAAAAAATCTGAAATTTTTCAAAAATTTTTTTGACTCGAAACAACCAAGAGAGTCTCAATACACATTGCGAAAATCATCTCGGGTAGTTTCGGTGAATTTTAGATTCTTACTTTAAAGATAAGGACTTAGTCATTTTTGAAAAATTTCATGACCTGCAAAAAAGTTCAAAAAATCTGAAATTTTTCAAAAAATTTTTTTACTCGAAACGACCAAGAGAGTCTTAATACACGTTGCGAAAAACAACTCGGGTAGTTTCGGTGAATTTTAGGCTCTTATTTTAAAGCTAAAGACTCAGTCATTTTTGAAAAATTTCATGAACCTGGACCTGCAAGAAAATTCAAAAAATCTGAAATTTTTCAAAAAATTTTTTTTACTCGAAACAACCTAGAGATTCGAAATACACGTTGCAAACAACATTTCGGGTAGTTTCAGTGAATTTTAGGCTCTTATTTTAAAGATAAGGACTTGGTCATTTTTGCAAAATTTCATGACCCCAGACCTGCAAAAAAGTTCAAAAAATCTGAAATTTTCCAAAAATTTTCTTTTACCTAAAAGAACCAAAAATGCTAAGAAAATACCTTTCTAAAATGTTTTGATGACTTCTGGTTGAACCTCCAAGAGATATCTGGAAAAAAGTAAGAAATAATATACCTAAAATGGTTGAGACTAAAGCTTGAAAAACACGAGAAAGGTTATGAATTTTCAAAAACATTTTTTTACTCAAAACAACCAAGAGAGTCTTAATAAAGGTTCCGAAAAACATTTCGGGTAGTTTCGGTGAATCTTAGGCTCTTATTTTAAAGATAACGACTAGTCATTTTTGAAAATTTCATGACCCCGGACCTGCAAAAAAGTTCAAACAATCTGAAATTTTCCCAAAAATTTTTTTTACTCGAAACAACCTAGAGAGTCGAAATACACGTTGCAAACAACATTTCGGGTAGTTTCGGTGAATTTTAGGCTCTTATTTTAAAAAAAAGGACTTAGTCATTTTTGAAAAGTTTCATGACCCCGGACCTGCAACAAAGTTCAAAAAATCTGAAATCTTTCCAAAATTTTTCTTTAATCGAAACAACCAAGAGAGTCTTAATAAACGTTCCGAAGAACATTTCGGGTAGTTTCGGTGAATTTTAGGCTCTTATTTTAAACAGAACGACTAGTCATTTTTGAAAAATTTAATGACCCTGGACCTGCAAAAAAGTTCAAAAAACTGAAATTTTGCCAAAAATATTTTTTACTCGAAACAACCTAGAGAGTCTAAATACACGTAGCAAACAACATTTCGGATAGTTTCGGTGAATTTTAGGCTCTTATTTTAAAGATAAGGACTTGGTCATTTTTGCAAAATTTCATGACCCCAGACCTGCAAAAAAGTTCAAAAAATCTGAAATTTTTCAAAAATTTTTTTTACTCGAAACAACAAAGAGAGTCTTAATACACGTTGCAAAAAACATCTCGGCTAGTTTCGGTGAATTTTAGGCTCTTATTTTAAAGATAACAACTGAGTTATTTTTGGAAAAATTTCATAGTTCCGGACCTGCAAAAAAGTTCAAAAAATCTGAAATTTTCCAAAAATTTTCTTTTACCTAAAAGAACCAAAAATGCTAAGAAAATACCTTTCTAAAATGTTTTGATGACTTCTGGTTGAACCTCCAAGAGATATCTGGAAAAAAGTAAGAAATAATATACCTAAAATGGTTGAGACTAAAGCTTGAAAAACACGAGAAAGGTTATGAATTTTCAAAAACATTTTTTTACTAAAACAACCAAGAGAGTCAGTCTTAATAAAGGTTCGAAAAACATTTCGGGTAGTATTCGGTGAAATCTTAGGCTCTTAATTTTAAAGATAACGATAGTCATTTTTTTTTGAAAAAATTTCATGACCCCGGACCTGCAAAAAAGTTCAAAAAATCTGAAATTTTCCCAAAAATTTTTTTTACTCGAAACAACCTAGAGAGTTGAAATACACGTTGCAAACAACATTTCGGGTAGTTTCGGTGAATTTTAGGCTCTTATTTTAAACAGAACGACTAGTCATTTTTGAAAAATTTAATGACCCTGGACCTGCAAAAAAGTTCAAAAAAACTGAAATTTTCCCAAAAATATTTTTTACTCGAAACAACCTAGAGAGTCTAAATGCACGTTGCAAACAACATTTCGGATAGTTTCGGTGAATTTTAGGCTCTTATTTTAAAAAAGAGGACTTAGTCATTTTTGAAAAGTTTCATGACCCCGGACCTGTAAAAAAGTTAAAAAAATCTGAAATTTTCCAAAAAATTTTTTTTACTCGAAACAACCGAGGGAGTCTTGATAAACGTTCCGAAGAACATTTAGGGTAGTTTCAGTGAATTTCAGACTCTTATTTTGAAGATAAGGACTTAGTCATTTTTGAAAAATTTCATGACCCCGGACCTGCAAAAAAGTTCAAAAAATCCGAAATTTCTCAAAAAATTTTTTTTACTCGAAACAACCAAGAGAGTCTCAATACACATTGCGAAAAACATTTTGGGTAGTTTCGCTGAATTTTAGGCTCTTATTTTAAAGATAACAACTTAGTCATTTTTGACAAATTTCATGACCCCGGACCTGAGAAAAAAGTTCAACAAATCTGAAATTTTTCAAAAAATTTTTTTTACTCGAAACAACCAAGAGAGTCTTAATACACGTTGCGACAAACATCTCGGGTAGTTTCGGTGAATTTTAGGCTCTTATTTTAAAGATAAGGACTTGGTCATTTTTGAAAAGTTTCATGACCCTGGACCTGCAAAAAAGTTCAAAAAAACTGAAATTTTCCCAAAAATATTTTTTACTCGAAACAACAAAGAGAGTCTTAATACACGTTGCAAAAAACATCTCGGCTAGTTTCGGTGAATTTTAGGCTCTTATTTTAAAGATAACAACTGAGTTATTTTTGGAAAAATTTCATAGTTCCGGACCTGCAAAAAAGTTCAAAAAATCTGAAATTTTCCAAAAATTTTCTTTTACCTAAAAGAACCAAAAATGCTAAGAAAATACCTTTCTAAAATGTTTTGATGACTTCTGGTTGAACCTCCAAGAGATATCTGGAAAAAAGTAAGAAATAATATACCTAAAATGGTTGAGACTAAAGCTTGAAAAACACGAGAAAGGTTATGAATTTTCAAAAACATTTTTTTACTCAAAACAACCAAGAGAGTCAGTCTTAATAAAGGTTCCGAAAAACATTTCGGGTAGTTTCGGTGAATCTTAGGCTCTTATTTTAAAGATAACGACTAGTCATTTTTGAAAAATTTCATGACCCCGGACCTGCAAAAAAGTTCAAAAAATCTGAAATTTTCCCAAAAATTTTTTTTACTCGAAACAACCTAGAGAGTTGAAATACACGTTGCAAACAACATTTCGGGTAGTTTCGGTGAATTTTAGGCTCTTATTTTAAACAGAACGACTAGTCATTTTTGAAAAATTTAATGACCCTGGACCTGCAAAAAAGTTCAAAAAAACTGAAATTTTCCCAAAAATATTTTTTACTCGAAACAACCTAGAGAGTCTAAATGCACGTTGCAAACAACATTTCGGATAGTTTCGGTGAATTTTAGGCTCTTATTTTAAAAAAGAGGACTTAGTCATTTTTGAAAAGTTTCATGACCCCGGACCTGTAAAAAAGTTAAAAAAATCTGAAATTTTCCAAAAATTTTCTTTTACCTAAAAGAACCAAAAATGCTAAGAAAATACCTTTCTAAAATGTTTTGATGACTTCTGGTTGAACCTCCAAGAGATATCTGGAAAAAAGTAAGAAATAATATACCTAAAATGGTTGAGACTAAAGCTTGAAAAACACGAGAAAGGTTATGAATTTTCAAAAACATTTTTTATTCAAAACAACCAAGAGAGTCTTAATAAAGGTTCCGAAAAACATTTCGGGTAGTTTCGGTGAATCTTAGGCTCTTATTTTAAAGATAACGACTTAGTCATTGTTGAAAAGTTTCATGACCCCGGACCTGCAAAAAAGTTCAAAAAATCTGAAATTTTTCAAAAAAATTTTTTGACTCGAAACAACCAAGAGAGTCTTAATACACATTGCAAAAAACATTTCGGGCAGCATTGGTGAATTTTAGGCTGTTATTTTAAAGATAAGGACTTAGTCATTTTTGAAAAATTTCATGACCCCGGACCTGCAAAAAAGTTCAAAAAATCTGAAATTTTCCCAAAATTTTTTTTTACTCGAAACAACCAAGAGAGTCTTAATAAACGTTCCGAAGAACATTTCAGGTAGTTTCGGTGAATTTTAGGCTCTTATTTTAAAGATAACGACTTAGTCATTTTTGAAAAATTTCATGACCCCGGACCTGCAAAAAAGTTCAAAAAATCCGAAATTTCTCAAAAAATTTTTTTTACTCGAAACAACCAAGAGAGTCTCAATACACATTGCGAAAAACATTTTGGGTAGTTTCGCTGAATTTTAGGCTCTTATTTTAAAGATAACAACTTAGTCATTTTTGACAAATTTCATGACCCCGGACCTGAGAAAAAAGTTCAACAAATCTGAAATTTTTCAAAAAATTTTTTTTACTCGAAACAACCAAGAGAGTCTTAATACACGTTGCGACAAACATCTCGGGTAGTTTCGGTGAATTTTAGGCTCTTATTTTAAAGATAAGGACTTGGTCATTTTTGAAAAGTTTCATGACCCTGGACCTGCAAAAAAGTTCAAAAAAACTGAAATTTTCCCAAAAATATTTTTTACTCGAAACAACAAAGAGAGTCTTAATACACGTTGCAAAAAACATCTCGGCTAGTTTCGGTGAATTTTAGGCTCTTATTTTAAAGATAACAACTGAGTTATTTTTGGAAAAATTTCATAGTTCCGGACCTGCAAAAAAGTTCAAAAAATCTGAAATTTTCCAAAAATTTTCTTTTACCTAAAAGAACCAAAAATGCTAAGAAAATACCTTTCTAAAATGTTTTGATGACTTCTGGTTGAACCTCCAAGAGATATCTGGAAAAAAGTAAGAAATAATATACCTAAAATGGTTGAGACTAAAGCTTGAAAAACACGAGAAAGGTTATGAATTTTCAAAAACATTTTTTTACTCAAAACAACCAAGAGAGTCAGTCTTAATAAAGGTTCCGAAAAACATTTCGGGTAGTTTCGGTGAATCTTAGGCTCTTATTTTAAAGATAACGACTAGTCATTTTTGAAAAATTTCATGACCCCGGACCTGCAAAAAAGTTCAAAAAATCTGAAATTTTCCCAAAAATTTTTTTTACTCGAAACAACCTAGAGAGTTGAAATACACGTTGCAAACAACATTTCGGGTAGTTTCGGTGAATTTTAGGCTCTTATTTTAAACAGAACGACTAGTCATTTTTGAAAAATTTAATGACCCTGGACCTGCAAAAAAGTTCAAAAAAACTGAAATTTTCCCAAAAATATTTTTTACTCGAAACAACCTAGAGAGTCTAAATGCACGTTGCAAACAACATTTCGGATAGTTTCGGTGAATTTTAGGCTCTTATTTTAAAAAAGAGGACTTAGTCATTTTTGAAAAGTTTCATGACCCCGGACCTGTAAAAAAGTTAAAAAAATCTGAAATTTTCCAAAAATTTTCTTTTACCTAAAAGAACCAAAAATGCTAAGAAAATACCTTTCTAAAATGTTTTGATGACTTCTGGTTGAACCTCCAAGAGATATCTGGAAAAAAGTAAGAAATAATATACCTAAAATGGTTGAGACTAAAGCTTGAAAAACACGAGAAAGGTTATGAATTTTCAAAAACATTTTTTATTCAAAACAACCAAGAGAGTCTTAATAAAGGTTCCGAAAAACATTTCGGGTAGTTTCGGTGAATCTTAGGCTCTTATTTTAAAGATAACGACTTAGTCATTGTTGAAAAGTTTCATGACCCCGGACCTGCAAAAAAGTTCAAAAAATCTGAAATTTTTCAAAAAAATTTTTTGACTCGAAACAACCAAGAGAGTCTTAATACACATTGCAAAAAACATTTCGGGCAGCATTGGTGAATTTTAGGCTGTTATTTTAAAGATAAGGACTTAGTCATTTTTGAAAAATTTCATGACCCCGGACCTGCAAAAAAGTTCAAAAAATCTGAAATTTTCCCAAAATTTTTTTTTACTCGAAACAACCAAGAGAGTCTTAATAAACGTTCCGAAGAACATTTCAGGTAGTTTCGGTGAATTTTAGGCTCTTATTTTAAAGATAACGACTTAGTCATTTTTGAAAAGTTTCATGACCCCGGACCTGCAAAAAAGTTCAATAAATCTGAAATTTTTCAAAAATTTTTTTTGACTCGAAACGACCAAGAAAGTCGTAATACACGTTTCAATGAACATTTCGGGTAGTTTCAGTGAATTTTAGGCTCTTATTTTAAAGATAAGGACTTAGTCATTTTTGCAAAATTTCATGACCCCGGACCTGCAAAAAAGTTCAAAAAATCTGAAATTTTTAAAAAATTTTTTTTACTCGAAACGACCAAGAGAGTCGTAATACACGTTTCAATGAACATTTCGGGTAGTTTCAGTGAATTTTAGGCTCTTATTTTAAAGATAAGGACTTAGTCATTTTTGCAAAATTTCATGACCCCGGACCTGCAAAAAAGTTCAAAAAATCTGAAATTTTTAAAAAATTTTTTTTACTCGAAACGACCAAGAGAGTCGTAATACACGTTTCAATGAACATTTCGGGTAGTTTCAGTGAATTTTAGGCTCTTATTTTAAAGATAAGGACTTAGTCATTTTTGCAAAATTTCATGGCCCCGGACGTGCAAAAAATTTCAAAAAATCTTAAATTTTTCAAAAAATTTTTTTACTCGAAACGACCAAGAGAGTCGTAATACACGTTCCAATGAACATTTCGGGTAGTTTCAGTGAATTTTAGGCTCTTATTTTAAAGATAAGGACTTTGTCATTTTTGCAAAATTTCATGACCCCGGACCTGCGAAAAAGTTCAAAAAATTTCAAATTTTTGAACAATTATTTTTTACTAAAAACAACCAAAAGTGCTAAGAAAATACCGTCGTGAAATGTTTTGATGACATTTGGTTGAACCTCCAAGAGATATCTGGAAAAAAGTAAGAAATAATATACCTAAAATGTTTGAGACTAAAGCTTGAAAAAAGACGAAAAAGTTATGAAATTTTCAACAACAAAAAATTGTCTAAGTCGAAACAACCAAGAGAGTCTTATAACACGTTCTGAACAACATTTCGGGTAGTTCGGTGAAATTTAATCTCTTATTTTAGAGATAAAGACTAAGTCATTTTTGAAAAATTTCATGACCCCACACCTGCAAAAAAGTTAAAAAATTTGAAATTTTTGAAAAATGTTTTTAGTCGAAACAACCAAGAGGGTCTTAATACACGTTCCTAATAACATTTCGGGTAGTTTTGGTGATCTCTAGGATCTTATTTCGAAGATAAGGACTTAGTCATTTTTGAAAAATTTCATTACCCCGGACCTGCAAACAAGTGAAAAAAAATCGGAAATTTTTGAAAAAAAATTTTTTTTACTTTAAGGTAGTTAAAGACAAAACTGAAATGATGAGTAAAGTAATGAATATATAACAAGCAATAATAAATAGTAATCTTTCAAAGGACCTGTAATGATTCTAAAGTGACTGCTGTTCTGATAAAGCATCAAAATGAGTTAAGAAACAAAAAAACCATGCAAGAGGAAACTTAAGTGCAACAATCGAAACAACAGTACAAGGACTGATATTTGAATGTGGATTAAAATTAATGAAATATAGAATTTAAAAAGAGGCAAAAATGAAATATAGAATTCAAAAAGAGGCTGAATAATAAATTTAGTCTACAACATAAAATTAAAATATATCCTCATAAAACATTAAAAGTTTAGTGAAAATAGAATGAGAACACGGTTTCATGAACAAAATTGTCAAACTTTGAAAAGAAATAGTTAAATGAGCTGAAAATAAGAGAAAAGAATTGCAACCCAATCAAAGAAGCAATGGCAAACCACTCGTAGGAAAACATTTTCAAAAAAATTCGAATATGTTTTTAAAAGTAAGAGCATGGCGAAAGGTGAAATAGAGACGGTAAGACAGAATGAAGGGTTATATCAAATGGAAATAAGGACCTCTACTGCTCAAAGTTTAGCTGAAGATTGTTGAATTTAAAACGAATTATAGAAAGCGATGTGAAACCTGAAATGAATATCTTGATAAATTATAGAAATGTAAATATTCTTCAAATGATTTTGGGGAGAGTAGAGTTTATTGCTTTAGAATAATATAAAACCATTATTTAGCATCAGCATAAACCTTTGAATTTTGGCAAAGTTTTCAACAATCAATGAATATGTGGCCTAGCTCCTAAAACAATAAAATAATCTAGTCAAATTATCAACATATATTAATCAAATTATATTATGTTGTGGTAGTTATTGTTGTTTTGTAGTTGCTGTTAGAAGAAATTTGTATTTAGCTGGAATTTAAGATGAAGACAAAAAGAAAAGAAAGAAAATGAACTATTGTCTTTCAAAAAACTTACAATTTATTCTGTAGAATTCCTTTACGGTTCTAAACAACTAAAAAATTTCTGTCTTCACATATACACCTTTATCAGACAATTTTACAATACATTTATACACCTTTGCCCTGGACAAAGCACTGATTACCCTGGACAAAATGTCGAAGGGCAACCAGGCATAAGGAAGCATAGTGATGATAAGCCCTAAATGCTCTGCCTGACGGATTTGCTGAGGAGCTAGCAATTGAATAAAATTTAAAAAAGCAACATATATTTTTCTTTAATACACACATTGACTTTCAAAAAAGATTTTAACAAGACATTGGCATGCTGTTCTTTTGCTGAGTAAATATAAACACTATACTGATACCCAGAGCTGCAAAAATATTTTCCTTTCTGGGAACCTGGGAACCTGGGAACCTGGGAGACAGGACAACAATTTTTTGTACATTAGCTCTACCAACAGTATACAGAAATTTACCCCCAGAAATTATAAAGTCTAGAGAATGTTTCCAATAAAATATAGTAATTTGGTTGTTTATTGCATCTTTTTTATCTTTGGCAAATAATGACTATATGCTATGTGCAAATAATGACAATGAAAAAGTGATTTTTGAACCAATTGGCATTATATTCATTAACTGGAAGACAGTGGCGGACTGGCAACCATTTGACCCACCAGGAAAAGCCGGGGCGCCAATAAGTGCTGAAGTCACAAAACTTTAGGGCTTGTAAAACGGGCTCGGAAAAACTTTGCTTTAGCTGAGAATCAGTTTGTTGCAAGCATTGTCGCAGGAAAGGAAACGGGGGATCGGGGGATGGCCCCCGGAAAATCTTTTGAAATCACCCTATTCATGGCGGATATCACCCTATATATATAATGTCGGAACATGCTCCATGTTAAAAATCAAAGTTTTTTATTCACAATTGGCATTGGCATGAAGAAGATTCTCAGTCAAATTGACTTTATTTGAAACGTCTACACGGCTGACAAAATTTGTAGGTACCAAATGATGTATTGCCCTCAATTTTAGGTATCAAATGATGATTTTTCAGCTAGCGAGACACTATCTTCCAAGATTTTACAAAGAAAGCAACTTCTCTGGCCTAATAGATGAGATACTTTTCAATTAAAATTGATCTCGAAATTTTCAAAAATTTCATGAATTCTCATAAATTCGAAAGTTCTGCAGCATATCTTTAAAAAAATTAAAGTGGTGCCTCAGCACCTGCTAGCCTAATGACTGTGTTGCTCCTGCCTCTACGCTAGAGTTACAAATCATTTACAAAAGATATGATGCCAGTGCACGAGAAACTGTGCGTAGACATGTTAAAAAGGATAAAGACTTTCTTAAGAAAAGGCACAGTCTCTATTCCGGAACGAAAGTTTGAAGGAAGATCGGAATTCTTTAATAGATAGTTGTAAATTTGAAACCAGTTTTTTTTCATAACAACTTTCCATTAAGTTCTAAAGAAGGTTCGTACATGAGGGCATGAATTCTCAACAAATTCCGTTTCTCAACAAAGTTTTTCAAAAAGTTGTCAAGATTTTTGGCTCCAATAAGTCATAATCTCTTTTGGGCACAAAATTTCTGGTTGTAACGTACAAAAAGCATGATGCCTATGAATTTTTAGTTGAATTGCAAAATAAAATAGCTTGCCACCACTAGGACGTCCAGAAAGTATTGTCCTCTATCGTACCTAGAACAGTTTTCACTATTAAGGGATAGTTTATGGCTCAACCCATCTTTGATTAGTAATATGTGAACGTTCCCATACCCAATAGCCAACAGGTCGATAATTTTATCTAGTTATAACCATTTTGATCGGAAAGAGTACAGGGTAGTGCTCAATTTATCTTTCCAATATGCGAGCCCTCAGTTATTGGATATCAGGCACTAGGAATAGTTTGCTTTAGCCATAAGCCAAAACAATAATATGGTTAGTCATAAGTAATGGGTTTCACAAAATTATTAGTCACCTCAATAGATATTAAAGTAATTCAAGTATTGCGCAATTGCTTGAAAAAGTTAAAAGCTAACGAGGGTTGGAAGTGAGAGTAGGCTTTCTGGGTGCTACCACATTAACTGCTGCCAATAAAAAAATATGAACAATTTTTGGCGCTACTAAATTTGAAAATGGCTTTGAAAAAAGTAAACATTTTTAACATACTGAAAGCCTTTTCGTCTGAACCTCTTCAGAGTACAAAATATCAGAATAAGAGTCAGAAAGAACAAAATGGAGAGCTCATACCAATTTCTGGATCGAATTTTCCATCTAGTTCTTTTGGACCCTTATTCTGACGTAACATGTTCTCAGAAGTCTCATACGAAGAAGACTTGAGGATGTTTAAAATTTTTGGTTGTTTCAAAACCATTTTCAAAAAAAAATATGTTGTTTTCAAGGTTTTCAAAAATTCTTACAGAATTTGCTGATCAAAATTTCATCTTCAATGAATTTTACAATAACAAAGATCGGGAAACTTAACAATTAATCTTAATTTTGCTCAACTTAAAAGCTAAACTTTTTATGGAAACGTACTTTAAACAGGAGGTCAATTGATGATTGTAATCAATTTTAGTTTTATTCGAAGATTAGTTGCCTTTTGAAGGTTTTAAAGTTTTTGAAAAAAAAAATAGCTCGGGGCAAAGAGCGCACCGGGAAATATCCCGGTGTCCCGGTGGGCCAGTCTGCTTCTGCTGGAAGAAAACTTAAACATAGATGGAACAAACACCAACATTTATTGGTGTTTGGGAAAGGTAATGAATGCCAGCTTTAGGGAAGATAAATCTGGCTACCTGTTTATACTTATCAGCCAGCTCTTTTGGCCTTCATTTCAAATGATGGGTACACATGCTAACATGATCTTTGAAACTAATACATGGTGACATCTTAATATTTAGAGGATAAATGTGATGCTAAGAACATGAGGATGTCAAATACCAAATAAAAACTTTGGGAAATCTGTTAAGATCTTAATCAAAACTCAAAATTTTGCCAAGTCTGCCAAGACCTCAATCAAGAGTCAAGTTCTAGCAAGAAAAGAACTAGCAAGAAGGGTGCAAGCAATTTTCATAGCTTTTGATCTTTAAAGATCCAAATGCATAAACTGACATCAGGCAGCTGAAACTGTACTTTTCAAAACACATAATTTGCCTACTTTGGGTCTGAAGCTTCATTTGTTTAAAAGGTTCTAGACAATGTATCTGAAGGTTGCTTCCAGGTTTTAACATTTTTGTGATATTTGACAAATGATTGATAGCGTTTATAAAGATTTCAAAAATGTGAACTTTTTCACTTGATGCATTCTACAACCTGTGGATATTAAGCTTACATTTTTAATGAACATTAAATCTGTTGTGAAAAAGACAAGAACAAAATTTTGTTATTGCAAAAAACAGCTGTTTTCATCAAGTTTTGCTGAAAATTTTCTGCAATACCAAATAATTTCTTGGAATCTAGTTCCCGGGTTCCATTACTATTTGCAGATCTGCTGATACCCAACATTTTAATTTTGCACACTATTCTTACAGCAAACTGGATCCCAGATCTTCTAACAGTAAAAGATTATGTGACACAATACAATGTCCAATTAGGCTGATGTTGGTGTATGACACAGTATGTTCCAATATGATCACTCTCTCTGTATGATTTCAGACAAACCATTTTAAAGTATTTGGAATAAGAAATAAGCAGACTTCCGAGTAAGTCACAAGAAAAATGATAACTGGAAGAATCATCCCATGCTTTTTCCTAAAAACAGGCCACATCTTCAAAGAATAAAAAACCATGACGAAAAGACTAATGAAAAGGGAAAGTACTTGGGTTAGTAGAAAGGCTAGGAGAAAAGAAAGACTTAAAGGTGAACTGACACGCAAAATTAACTTGACCTCAAATGAAAGCATATCGAGCATTAATACATGATCATTATTATTTTTTTAATATTCAACACAGTTATCGAGTTATTGAGCCTCAAAGTTAGCCACCCAACATTTTCCAAGCAAGGAAGAGTTTGCCTGAGTCTTCCGCATAATTGTGACGTCACAAACACCATGTTCAAATCACTTGAGCAACACGACAGTCTGGAAGGCTGTACTTTTATGGCTTTGCGGAAGAGCATCGATACATTAATTGAGTAGGTTTTGGCTCAATTTGGACAACCTAATTGGAAAACAGATTATGACTCCTTTACAAACCTTTCATGATAAGATTTGCAAGAAAATAATATTATTCAAGGCGTTTGAAGCCCTTCCTCCGTCCTGCAGGACCCAGCGTGTGGCGGACCAACATATCATATAATGGCGATAAATATATTGGCAGGATTCTTATTTTCTGGAAACCTAAGTAAAAAACTTCTATTTTGTTAAATACGGCTGCTGTTAGACTAGTTTATCAGGCGCACTGGGTCACATGAAATGCCAACAATGCCGGAACACTTGACGATAATTTCATGAAATTTAGAGCGGAATCACGTCAAAACGAACAATAATAATTAACTGAAAACTTGAAATTAAGATTCCATGCATCGTTTTCTGCATTATATCAAAAAATAGTTTTGCATGTCAATTCAACTTTAAGCTCACAGTGCCTAAAGCACATTGGTTCTTGATCTTACTTTCAATGTCCGTTGCCCAGTATGGATTTCATGGCAGCTGCACTGCCGAGAAATTTATAAAAAAAACGGTTGCACTCCTGCACACCCAAAAGGTGGGCATGGTTTGGACATGTTTTTGGGTGTGGCTCAAATAAAAAAGTTTATTAAAACACAGCAAAATGACTTTCTAAATTTGTTCACAACTGAGATTGGTAAAAAGTTTCTCATTATTAATTGAGTGATATCTTGAGATCAGGGCCATCAAAAAGTTTCAGTGGGAAACAAAAGATAAAGCTCCAAGCGAGCAGAAAAATTTTGTCAGCCCGTTCTTTAGATTAGCTTAAAATACACTTCAGAAAATTCTTGCAGTCATTTTCTTGCAATGGTTTCAATATTACTTTGATTCAATTATTCCATTGTCACGTTATACTATTATTTCCATTCTATAAATTGATTTCTATCATTTAACTATAAACAGATTAATCCCTAGACATCGAGGCCATTACGCAATTTGCCCTCTTGTCCGCTGCTCGGTGGCCCTGCTTCAGATCATACTCATGATACTCTTAGGATCCTCATGTTTTTGGCATTTTTAAACATTATCTTTTAAATTATCTCTTAAACTTTCCAAACATTTAGGAATTTAGATTTAACAGCCACTGAAGGTAGTAGTAGGTAAGCATAGTTCAACTCTTGATCATGAATTTCCCTGACATGTAAAATTGATGTAAACAGGAAAAGTGCCGGACAAAATATGCACACACTTAAGAATCACTGGGAAATTTGATGCACACTCAAATGTGCGCACTTATCACAAACGCACTCTTGCACTCCCGGGTAATAGCTTATGCTCTCCCGAGATCTTGTCTAAAACTGCCATGAAATCCAGATAGGTCTGTTGCCAAACACTGCAATTATCAAATTCTCTACACAACAAATATTCCCTTAATCCAGCACAGACCCTTTCCAATCTTTTAAGAATTTATGGATGCCATTATTATCTTAACTTTAATAAAAGCATGTGGTTGTCAAATGGGTATGTAAAATGCCCTGCGTCTCTTACTGGGCATGACAAAAAATTTTGTGAATCTAAGATTTCAAAAACTCACTAAAACTTTCATACATTTTCATGAAAAAAAACTCTAGATCCTACATTCAAATTGATAAATGCTATTCGAAAGAAAATGTTTGAGTTTGATTTACACAATATAATTATGTCATACTGGAACTGCACAAAAATTGTTATCATAGATAAAATATTGCGCGGACGTAGCTACATTTATCTACATGATCAAAAATCCAAGTTAGGTCCTCCTCAACCAAGTTTAAACCAATGTAAACCTGCATTGCTGAATGAGCTACCATAAATAATTGAAAATCATATGCATGTGGTGGTGCTTCGAAATCCAATGAAAATCTGCCTTGGTTGGTCTTTCATAAACGCTGACAATATTAACTATAGAGGGTGGAAGTTTGAACTTACTGGTAGGCTCCATAATCAAATATGCAACGGAATTAGTCTTTTCGGAGAAGTCTACGAGACTTGGTTTGCTGCAGCATCACCCTTTTGCATTTGCCGAAGACTTGCACCCATTTGCACTTGCACCAAACACTGGCTAACCATCGCCTCGTGTACCCTTGTGTCGAAACCCCGCTCTGGTTAGAGCTCCCGCCATTTTTTTCAATGCGAGGCCAGTCGAATCGCAGTTACATTTACCAGAAGTTTTGACGGAATGGTTATGAGCCCCCGGACATATAGGTGCGCTTAAAACTCCGACTATCCGGGACATTCACAACAACAAATCTCTTCGTGACAAAATTTAGCACAATTTTTTTGGGAGTTGTTTTTCCATTTAATTCTAAATGAGACAAAAAATTGTCAAGATAAAACTTTTGCTTTTCAGGATTTTGAGAACTAGTATAGAAAAACTATTCCTATCACACAAAAGAGTTCAGTTGTTTATGAATTTAGGAGCTAGTGTAATACTTGCAGCGTTGGACGCACGTCCCAAAGATGGGGGGGGTAGGGTAAATCAATATGTTCCTCCAACATAAGGAACAAAACTACCTCTGAAAGAGAACAGCCCTTTGGATATTGTAGTTCTAAAAACACCATTGTAATTTTTCAAGCGGACAATACCTTTTAGACAATCCAGTTTGTACCAAAATATGTAATGACGACATGTTTCAGACAATTGGCAGTGCTGAGTTGTCTTTTCATCTACCATTTTTGCAAACAATCTACAGTGGCATCACAACATAACTCTGAAGGGAACCAGAAAATGGTTTCTTGCACGCGAGTTCATTAAACCGGGAGGAAAACTGTTTAGGTCTTTTCGCAGTACACGCCTTAAAAGCCTTTTTGTGCACCTGTTTAGGCTATCCCAACTTCTGGGCACATTTTGTTCAAAACAAACAAGCTGAACTCATATATGTTTAATGACAGTTACGATTTCCTCCGAGATAAAGTGATAAATGAGCACAGGGAATAAATAAGAAAAATGTTAGATGAAATATATATGAAAAGTTCGTTATATTAAGAGTAGTTATATTCGTAATAGCGATAGTTCCTTAAATCCTGGTTTCGTTATATCGAGAGAATTTGTAAAGAGGACGAACTATTTAGGATTAAATCCAAGGGACCAAATATTTCGATCGTTATACTTGGAAATTTGTTATATTCGGGGTTCGTTCTCCACGGTCCTGGATTCCACTGTACTATACAAATGAAAAAACCGCTATTGTATAGACGCAAGAAGTTCGTTTTCTCTCTTGGACTTTACTGATAATTTTCCTATAAGCACCCGGTACTGATTTGACAACTAACCCGGACATATGCTTGCGTTTTTCTGATTGGCCTATTTCCACCCACAACTGGATGTATATTTTCCATCTTGTTCTTTTGAACCCTTTTGCTGAAAAGCTATGAAACTGTAGTGTGTTTCGTTGCTGCAAGAGACAGCAAAAATCAGTGCATTTATTTTCAAAATATTCATGAGACTTTAAAGGAATTTATTCTTTGGTGTCGTGGCACCAAATGTGGCTACAGTTCAAACGCACCCCGCGTCCCATCAGCAGGTAACACAAAAAACCAACGCAATATGATAGAACACAGAATGGGGTTGCTTCAAAAAAGATAAGTACAAATAAACAGTAATTAGGCGAAAAAAAATATTTCACATGCAATAGGTTAGACCAAACAACCGACACTCAATATCTTAAAAGAATGAAAGCTAATATGATTAAGAACACGATATCACTCACAATCCATTTGCTTCCAAAACCATACATTGCATATGCAAAGCATAACATTTCTTGTCCACCACGTTTTAATTAATGGAAGCGAAATTATTTTGCTTTCGAGGAACGCCCTCCGCGTCTTTCAACTTCTAACTTTGCGTGGCTTTACTTCAATGATATGCCAATGCAACGCCCAAAGAACGTGTGCACAGCATAAACTGTTATGAAGACTGGGTTCAAGAACGCTCCATATTCGGTTAAAGGCAACAAGCAAAACAACAAAAGGCTGGAAGTGAGCGTTAGTTCGCGCGTGCATTAATCGAAAGGAAACAAATAATGTCTTGCGAATAATAATAAACAAATTGAAGGTTGTTGTCCCTTGAGAACCATTCCCACGTTACAGTTTGATATCTGAACCACTGTTATTGCACGTGAAAAATTTGCCTCGTTGGCGAAACTTTTACTTCTCGTTCACTACCTAGTAGTGGCTTGCGAAACTTGACCAAAACAAGGCAGCCATAAATTAAAAGTAGGAAGAAATATAAGGGAAATTTACTTATTAGTTTGCTTCATGGTGGTTTTAAAAATGAAATTTAACCAGAGTTTATTCATGAGGAGCTTTTGAGCTTTAACTAATTCGCTTGAGATTGTTATCATTTCCTATTTGTTATGGTCTCTTGTGTCACTCTTCCTCGCGTCTTGTGTATGCTCTACCAGTTTATGCTGAGTCTTTCGTCCTCCTGAGGATTTGATTTAAAGACAAGGGTAAGATGTGTGTTTCATGGCGTTTTTATTCCCTTGGTTAATCTAGGAGTATTTAAGGTTTTGATATAGCGTGGGTCTCACCTTGCTTGGTGAAGCCTTTAAAAGTAGGCTGTTTAGTTTCCCAGCCCTCCCTTCCTCATTCTGTTTCTTTTTCTTTGCTTCCTTACGCCCTCCATAACTTTATCATTTATACTGTTTAGCGATTTTTGATGCTATTAGGTAGGACTGGTGCATCGGCTATAAGTGGAGAAAAGAGGCGTTTTCTATCCAGTCCATTCCAATTATCAGTCGGATTTCGGGTTTTCTGTGTAACTTCCCTTAGTAACCCCTTCCTGTTAGAAATTTATGGCAAATTGAGCGATTTGCGCCGATGCTCTAACGGTCTAACTCACTTTCGATGATGTGGGAACGTAGCCTCATGACTAACCTTCTGATGTCTATTACGGAGCTTTGTGCCTTTTATTTCGTATTGGTATACTATTCCCGAGTTAGAAAATTCAATAGCAGGAAATGCAGTTTTCAGTTTGTAGAAAATTTGTGGTGAAACTATCTAGTGAAATTTTCCTCAACCGATGGATACAAACAGGGCCGTCAAGAGAGGGGGGTTAGGAGGGGCAAAATGTCCGGGGCCCGTGCTCTGATAGAGCCTGTTATGGTTACTTTGTTACTAATTAAAAGGTCTATTTACAATGCAAAAAGGTACTATTTTAGCTACTTATACGTCCTTCATTCATGTAAAATGTTTTTGCACATTCTTGTAAAAATCCTTAAAAGACTTTTTCAACAATTGTATCTAAAAAGGGCGTTTCCTTTATTCTCCGGGAGACTGAAGGGCGTGGCCACAGGAAACTTTTCTAAGGGGTCCAGTTTTGTGAACCATCCCGGGGCCCGAGCTGCTAATCGACAGCCCTGGATACAAATTCTGTAATCTGTTGACCTAATCCTTTGCCAGTGGCAACAAAATATTTAAAAGCAGCTCTGTCATACATAGATGCAGAGAGGGTAGTTAGTCGAGTCAGCCTGTTCAGATATAACTATATATTTTGACAACTTCTAAAGGTTTTGAGCTACAATATCAATTTTTAACTGAATAAAAACTGCTGAGAAGGAAATAGGAACAAAATCGTTCAAAGCAGGTCAAATTTAAGCGTTATCTTGCAGATAGATACAGTTTTTATATGAAATCCATAATGTGAGCCACCTCTAGCTCTCACTGCGGCATAGTAGAGACTTACGTATTTCACGCAGTTGCGGTAAGCCATCGCTCTCAAAATGCTACGCGTGCGTTGCTTCCATTTTCTCAGCATATTGTGGTAAAATATCTTGTCACATCCCAACCTTGAAAATCTTTTCTGAAAAACAGAAGGATTCGACTGAAGGAACGAGCGAAAAATTATTAGCATTTAGCATAAAGAAGAACATATTCATTTTTAACAACTGTTTTAGTTCTTTTTTCTTGTAGTATCTTCTGCTTGTATATGGCAGCATCACTTTTGCAATTACATCTAGATTTAGCTTTATATTCTAGCAGCGTATTATTTGTATTTTTGCATATTTTAGTATGCCACTCTAAACCAGTCTCTGAGTGCGGAAATATATCAACGTTACTGTGGATTGCGGTTACTTGCTGGACATTTGTGGAATGCGGATACATTCGCTAAGTAACAGTAGTTGCTAACAGGCATTAATTTAAGGAATTTACATCACTGCACAAAACAGCGTAAAACACAGATTTTTGGGGCCAATAGGGTGTAGCGAAGGGTGTGGCTAGGTTTTGATTGGACCCCTTTTGGACGGACAAACAATGTTTACATTGTTTTCAGGGACATTTCCAGTGTAATTTGGCCTAACTACAGCTACCACTTATTATGTATATATCTTACCAGAACAGATCAAACCTGGCCAAAAGAAAACAGAGTAGCAAACCTAATAACAGGTAATGTTTTCTTCATTTCCACCCTATGTAGTCAATATAGTATTTATTTGTGAATGGTGGAAATGGAGTGGAATGCAAATACTGTGTTTGTAAGTTATTGATTGATCCTTAAAAGGCAAATCAACTGTTTCTAGCGGTTTCTTTTCATAAAATGCTGTTTTCAGTAACTTGATCTCTAATCATGTTACATATTTCAATGTTCTAAGAACTGTCCAAAGTACAGCCTTACTGTATATTACTTACTTTTTATGTAGTATGATGTTTGTTTAAATAATACTAATCCGTTACTGCTACTAATCTTTCAAAACTATATCTGGCTAGCGTTATGGATACCCAAACCAAAAAAAAATTATCTGAATATAAAGCAAAGATAGAAATGGTATTCACTCCAATTACTGTGGCGTATTGTATTTCATACAAAAGAAGAGAAGCAGGCCGCCATCTAATGGTGGTAGTGGTATTGGGTCATTTTGGCCATGCAATGCAAGAAATCCAACGTTGTCTGTGCCCCTAGGATTATCCGATAGAAGAAGCTTACCTGCGAGCGGAGCGAGCAGAAAATTTTGTGACCACATCCCTTAGATTATTTTAGAACATATTTCAGAATATTTCTAGCAGTTATTTTCTTGCAATCATTTTAAACATTTTGTTTTTTTTCAAGGCATGCTTTTATTACATTTGATCAATTCAAGTCTTAAAATTTACAGAATTACTTTATAAGGCCCCACAGACCTCGGCTTATTCCTTGGAATCTTAGCAATAACAGGATGTATTGCACTATTCTCTTTATCTATTTCTTTTCCAGTATTATTTCCATTTTTTTTAAAAACACTTTTTGCATTATGAAGTGCGTTTCTGATTAACTGTATATTAATTTTATTGTTAAAGCTGGCTTTAGTTGAGTTTCACACGTAGGTTGATTCTATTATCTCATTTGACTCTTGATTATAGTTTGTATTCATTTGTCTTTATTCTAAAAACATCCAAATCAGTAGTATCTGGAGTATTTCAAAAGTGAAGTAGTTCTTCACTGCACATTTTTCAATTCATCACTGCACATTTTCGATTCATCACTGCACATTTTCGATTCATCACTGAACAAATTGGTCATCACTGCACCTTAAATTAATCCTCGGGGTATTATTTGGGGAAGCCAAATTGACATGCATATGCATTATCTTATATCATTATTGTGTTTGCTCACAAAACATATCCTGTCCTGCGACAACTTTAATGTTGCTGCGAATGCTATTAAGAAACATTTGTTTTTATCCAAAAACCCGCCTTTCGAAAAATTTTCCCTTTGGAGTCCCTTAGTGTTGTGTTTAAAGGTGCACACCGTGCGTTACGCCACTGTCAATTTTCTACCCACAATTTCCTACGAATTTTAAAAAAAACCCACTTTCTACCTACGGAAGGCGTTTGGCGGTGTCTATTTTCCAATGCTGTTGCTAGATGTTTGCGATTGGAGCATTGCATGATAAGAAAGACAAATAGACCATCTATTTTCTATTTTTCTATTTGGATCCTATTGTTCTATAGCTGTATTTCAAATCGCTCAGGTGGGGCAAACCAGCGAAAAATTCACGGTAGATGGAGGCTGCTCTTTCATTTTTTGGTCGCAAAACTTCTTAAGAATAGAGAAACAATACTTTTAGAAATAATTTTCGCACTTGCACACAATTTTCACACATTTTCTAATTGTGGTTTCCCTGGCCTAGAGCCCACCTGCACTTTCTGAAAAAACCACCTACAAATTTCGAAAAAAATACCTACATTCCAAGATTTATACCGTAGATTTTCCGTACAACCTACAAAACAATCAAAATCCCTACTAGAAATCCTGACGTGTGGATCTCTTGAACACGTATTCTTAGAGGCTTGGGACGAGCGGTTACGGACTACTGGCCTAAACGTCAACAGTTTCGTTGATGGTCATGTAACCTGTTCTACCGGCCTGAATGTTTGAACCCGCAGCAAGAGAAGCTCATAGAATTAATATTTACTATGCTGAATGAAAAAGCTACATTTGTTTTATTTCCTTGACAAAAATTGGAAAATTACGTTTTACTGCTCCAGAGGTTTATGCGGTTCTTGTGGAATTTTTTCTTTTTGTGAACGTGGCTTTCAAACAAAAATACACGAATGCGTCGTCAGCGGATTTGCTCAAACCCCAAAGAGTCTTGAGACTGGACATTTTTCCTTCAACAAGCAACACCTTCAACAGAAAAGCTAGAACTTATGGTGTGTTACAGGAATTAAGCAGAAAATGATTGGTCGTCGTGGAAAATCTTTCGCTCCTACTGTCTGCATAGTTTGTGCTTTAGTTTTTGCTGGATATCCATATTATTTGTATACGGAACAGTACTCCAAGAATATTGAATGTGAAGGCAGACTTGGAATTTTAAAGAAAAAGCAATCGTCTTTGATCTCACAATTACAAGGTTTGGTCAACCTTCCTTTTGAATTTTGATGAAGTTTCCTTTGAATCAGATATTCTAAATGCTCGTTAAATGATTTCCCAAACCATCCCAGAAATTCTAAGCTATAGAGTAGCTGCTGTGATTTGGAAGAAAATATTGTTGAAGATACTAGAGCAGAAGTTTTCGTGCATTATTTGTCAGCTAAGCACTAGCAATAAAATGACAAGGAACGGTTCTCTTTTAATTAATATTGTTCTGTTAGCGTTTTGCTTATCAGCTAACATCTTCCATATTCGAGCTAATGCTGGCAGAGCCTCTTAAAATTGACTCTAACGTAGCTTATGACTCCTAGGTAAAACCAATTTTTATATAAGACCTGTGTTCCCAGCCCCTCTTCCCAGAAGGGTAGTGAGGAGCAAGGGATCTGCCCCCCCCCCCTCCCGCCAATGCCAAAAGTTGGTATCTGAGGAAAGTACCAAATCTGAAATAAAATTAGTACCTCGGGGAGGGAGGGTGGGGGGGGGGGTGATAGGATGATATTTCAGACACAGGTAAAAACTTTGAATGATTGAAAGAAAATAACCTTAAGAAATATTCTGAAATGTATTTTAGGCTAATCTATAGGGCGTGGTTGCAAAAATTTTCTGCTGGCTCCACATGGTTTGAGCCTCATCTTACCCTTTTAAGAATGTTTTTTTCAATTTCCACTCGATCTACATAAGAGTTTATATAGAAAAGTCCTTTACATTTATTTTACATCCCCAATAAATAGATATTAAAATGCTTAAATCTTCTCAAGGATTTTGCAGATTTATAGACCTTATGGAATAGACCTACTCTGAAGCTCTTGAATACTGTTTATTATTATTCTTTATTAGCCTACAAGTACATAGATGTACATTCGATTTGTACATAGAGCTTCCTCTCCTGACACAATTCAGAATATAATCATGAGATGAATTGTGAAGGTAACAGCCAATTATAGGATGGTAAGGGGTTGTTATTGTGTTTGATTAGCCGACCATTGCCACGTGAAAAAACCATGGCTTTTTCAAAAAAACATCTACAAAATGGGATATTTTCTAAACTTCTTAAGGGTGTTATTAACAAAAATTATCAGGACCCCTTGTATCAGACTCCTCTTTGCTACTCCAATCTTCCAACCCTGGCTATGCCACTGCCTTTTCCATGGTTTCTCTGTATTGTACTATATTTTGCAATGCATTTTATTTTATTTAATATTTAACTCACATCTAGAACAATAAGTGTATGATTTGATTTTTTAAATTAACTTTTAAATAAAGGAAATATAGAAACTGTATGTTGCATACCAGAATCATAACAAAATGATAGTTACATAAATTTTCAAATATTCATAGCAATCTTTCAAGATGTAAATATGTTTTCTAAGTTTCCTGTTTATAAAGCTTAGCAAAGCCTTTGGTACCACAAAATCTGAGAATAGCATGGAAGAGTGGAAACATGTCATACTAAAGTAATATATCTGACACTCCTATAAACACTGCAAAATGTCTAAAGGTAAACAGAATCGTAAGGTAAAACAATATTGATATCAAAAGTGTTATTTGTTTCACCAGTTACATCTGCTAATCTCTCCACTAGTTGATGAGTCCAAGAGAAACAATTAAAACTGTTTCTGTTATACAGGTGGGGATCTGTTGTTTGATCAAGATGTCTAGATAACAGGACAACCTTGCTTGCAGACCTGGATTTAAATTTTCTGCTTACTTTACCATTGGCCTTAATCCGAAGTTTATTGTCTAAGATTCCCTATGAACTGCCTTGAGATTGTAGTTTTATATTAATTTTAACAACATTGTTGAATCATATTTTTATCATTATAGTTGTTTATGTTCATCGAACAAAACTTGAAGATGCACTTTTTAAGGAAAGAAAATCCCATAGATCAACAAAGCAAGGTAAGTGAGTCCATTTCATGTTTTGATTATGGTTCAGATGCCACTTTGTTAAAGCCTTTATTCTTTTTTATAGACTTGTACATGACGGCTGTGCAAGAACTTTTTTATAGCAAAACCACATTTCCTTTACCTTCTACATATGTAAAAGGAAATCTGCTTCACCCCATGTAGTGTTATTGTTTTGCTTTTAATCTTAGCTCTGCAAGAAGAGAAGGAACAGTATTTAATATAAAGTCTTTACTTTGCTACCAAAGCATGCACAAGTCTTCCTACACAGCATAAAACAGTTTAGAACAGATCAATTAACTATAGGTATATCATTTATCCTAGAAATGACATATTTTGAAGTATGACCTCAAACCCTGACCTGCCTTCCCCCACTGAAGGCACTTTTTGCAATCTTCGTACCTTGGCTATCATAAAATCAGACATTTTTTGAAATAGTTAACACACGCAGTGTCCATGTACTGATAACATGACTAATCTTGTCTTTATTCAAAATTTTGAAATTTTTGGCTTTTATTTCAAGATTTGATTGGAAAAATGAGAGAATGCAATATGAATCTGACAAGGGCCAAGGTATTTTTTCTTTAGACTTTTTAGTCAGATTTTTGCCTGTCTTTACTATTTGTTACTTACAATTTCTTGGCTTATAAGCTGTTACCAAACTGACTAGTGTTTCCTTCTGTGTTTTGCTGTCTAAAAGATCAATTTATTTTTGTTTGTTGAAATACATCTCAGGCCTTTTCATTTGACGGGTGCGATGACTCGTGATTGCATCAGTACTCATGCAAACCCAACCACACAAGCATTTGATTGCTCACGCAAAACGGTAAATTGTAGGGAATAAATGTCTCATCAATAAACACAATGCTAGTCATCTTTTGTGACCCAAGCAAGTGACATGAATACAAAGCCGGTATATCAAAACACAGGATATATAAGTAAGCTGACTAAACCACATCTCAACGAAAAAATGCATTTGAAAATCCATTCCACAGCGAATGTTTAGGAATACTTTACGTACTAGTATTTGAACTACAATAGCACTTATGACATTTTCTGGGCAGCCACACTGTAAAGTATTTTTCCTGCGAATCAGACGCCAGAACAATAATTTTGAAATTTGCAGATAATGAACGTTTCCCACGAAATCGTGCATGGGATTTGAAGCAAAGGCTTCCGAAGAGACCTTGTATTCATTGTTTTTTCTTATTATCAGAAGTCAGAAGTTTAAATGGAGGAATATTCGCGGGGAACATGACCAGATAAACAAATATTGTGCGCAGAATCTGCGCCAGATTCTTAACAGCATTTTGTGATTATCCAGCAATAGCGTCTATGACATTCATGATATACATAAAGTTTATAAACTTTCATGATATACATTCATGATATACATAAAGCACATTTGTATTGGGTATTTACTCTTTCTTGGAATGCATTAAAGGTCATCATATTAGTTTGTTTTTATTTGATGTTACCTCAAACAAAAGGGTACCTTATAAGATCATTGCAAGAGAAATCCCGTGAGCGATCGGTCACTCGCAAGGCTTATTTCTCATGAAAAGACCTGACATTTTGAATGTAAACAAAAAATGTGCACAATATTTAAAAGTTTTTACATATTTATTGTAATATTGTAGAAAGTTGTATTTAATGCCTTGAATTCAGAAGATTTTAAGAAATTCATGCTTCAAGCAAGATATTTGCAACATTTTTAGCCAACTTGTTTTCTCAACATAAACTTCATGCAGCTGTTTGTGGCATCACCTAAGGAACCGGCATTGTAACTTTTTGCAGATCAATATTTTTTCATCTTTGAAATGTCTTTGCTGTAGGTTGAAAGAATTATTATCGTAATCGATTGTGAAAGTTTACAAAGTATAGATGCTTCTGAGTGTTGATTCACTTTTTATCTGCCAAAATTTAATTCCAGAAAATTTTGTTTGATGTGGCCTTTGTCATTGGTTATGTTTTGCCACCAATTTCTCATGTATAAAGTTATTTTGTTCTTCCATAGCATGAATCAATGAATAGGTTTAATGCATTAGATACTGAACACAAGATGCTGCAGGTAAATCCAGATCTTTTTTTCTACTTAGACATTGTTTTGCAATGGGAAAATGTGATATTTCAAGATGTATCTTTTTTCTTTTACTGAAGCAGCCAAAATACCTAAACAAATAATATGAGGAGACTGCTAATACCATTAAAGGCTGTTACAAAGTGTTGTGGATTATTACACAATGATGAATAGATTTTACAAAATTTTGGTCACATTTATGGAACAGAATATAATGAATAACTATATGAAGCTGTACATAATTAATGAAATGACTTAGATGTATACCAGGGTTAAATATACAAGCAAGGTCAAATAAGGATGCAGTTAAGAAGCGGTATCTTCAAAAATGATTTTCTAGAAATACTTTAAGGACCTGGCAGTTAGAGGGATTAAATTAGAAAGGGCCACATTATCAAACGCTGTTTAAAATTTGATTCATGCAAGTGTGCTTTCAAAGAAAATTTTATTTCATCTATTTCGTCGTTTTATTCGTTGAATAAATTTGGTGATTGGATGAAGCATACCCTAAAATTGGACGTGTTTTTGCTTCTAAATCCTGCTAAGAAGCAATGAGGCGGCTGCCCCTGCTATATATATTATTAAAGGAACAATGTGATTTCAATTTTCTTGTTGAAAGTAAATATTTGTTATTTTTCTACTTCCTGCAGTCTATTTCTAACCAATAAATTGTTATTGTCACTATACAGATCATTCTTTCTCACCAGGAACTTACTAGTTTATATAACATCTCTTGATTTTACTTTTTATCAATATTGATATGTTACTATATTTTGCAATGTGTTTGCACGTGAAGAACATTCTTTCCCACCTGAAAATTTCAACATCTGCTGATTCCAACATTTTTTATTGGTATTAGTCAATGTTGCACAAAGCAGAACTGGAGTTTGGAACACGACTCCTTTTGCATTTATGAGCAATATGAAAATAACAATACTTTTTGCTTGATTTCAAGGCTAAGCATGAAGAAATAAATACAGACTACTCTAATTTGCAACAACAGTACGTAAGACTATCAGAGGATCATCAGAAAATTGTCAATGGACAAAAAGAAGACTATGAACGACTGAAAGATACAAAGGAAAAAGAATCAAGATCCTTGCAAGGTGGACTTTGTTTGAGTTTGATTTTGAGCTTCATTTTTCTTAACTGTAAAAACAATTTCTTTTTACTCAGAGAGCAAAGTATTAACACTTGGGTATTTCATTTTAACTACGATTAAACATAACTGATTGTTTCCTTACTTCTGCTTAGCATGTAAACCATTTTATGGAATCATAATATGAATAACTTTGTCAAAAAAAGATCATTTAAAGAGAGGTTGGAAGAATATTTAGGGCATCATTATTTGAGAACAGTTGGAACAAAAGATATTGTTCATCGGAACAAAAGGTTTTCATTGTTTTTTGGGAGCTCGACAACATTTACAAATATTTTCATTAGTGCTGCTTTGTAATTAGCGCCGCACCTTCGAAACATTCCATAACTCAAAGGACAAAAGCATCTTTAGCAAATTGAGCAACTTTTTGCAAAGGGAGATTTAAAAGAATTTTGCTAAAGAGCTGATAACTAGTAGATGCTATCAAAGGCTGCCATCGTAAACGTGAACCTCATATGTTGTGTTTTCTTCAGCTGCTTTTGCTAGATTTGAAGCATGAAAATTCACATATGTCTTACTAAAATCACTTCTACACCTTCCCAGAACGTGTGCAGACACTATATGACGAAAAAGAAGAACAGAAAACCGAGGCAGCCAAATATGTTGGATATTACAGGTCCGAAAGGGTATGTCATCTTGATATTAGCTCAGAATTGTGCCTTTTTAAACCGTTGAGTTATATAAAGAACATTTTCAACCTAGAAGCTCAAAGCATCTTTTAAGGGGTTGAAATTTCCCTTTTCAGATGTTGCCTAGGAGCCCTCAAAAATCGAAAATCATTTCTCTTCTACTTTGAAGGTCCTGGAACTGTTCGTTTTCGATGGAAATCCACTTCCACTATAGTAATTGTTTCACTATTTTGCAAATCGGCATAAATGGTAGTTACTGGCGAATTGCCCGGGAAAGCATGCTCCCAGAAGGGACTTACAGGGGGTGTGGTGACAAATCAGTTGCTACGGTATAGCTGGGGGGGTGAAAATTTCTATATAAGCATGTATTCTTGCAAATGGAACAATTTTGATTATTTTGCTGCCATTTGAGGGTTATTGTACAAAAATTACCGTTTGATGGTAATTTTTAGAATTCTAGCCTTAACCCTTGTTGAATCCGAACGCCCCCTGTCAGGCCTTAATAGGAGTGTCTCCCGGTTGAACTTCTTTGTACCTGGGGTATAGAGCCTCGTTCATAAATTTTGCCAGATCAAACATGATATTTTCTCACAATATGCTTAAATACTTTATTTGTACCTGGCCTGTACCCGGTCTATGTAGAAAAACAGCCTTGTTCGTAATCATCATTTTCAAACGTTTGAAATTTTTAGAATGAAAGGGTTAGAGTGACAAATGAAAACCAGCGAATTAAAGACGATCTGACGAAGATGGAAGAAGAAAATAGCGCATTAGAGGTGAGGAAATGACATTCCTTGCCATTGTTGCTATTTTAGTATTTTCGCATGTTTGCCTTATATTTCAGCATTTGTAGTGATGGTTATGTACCTAACTGCAAGGAGTTTCCCGAACTCTCTATGTGAGCCCAACTTTCTAACAGTAGTATCGTCCGTGTCACGACTATATAGCTTCCAGTAACTGTTCACCTGTCTCTAATAAGATTATTTATTAGCCAGCTTTTTGTTATTTGTGTTTAACCATCTTTAGTTGAAGATAAAAAGGCCATGCTATTTTCTATTAAATGCAATCTCAAGTAAATGGAAGTCCAAAATTGATTATGTCGATGTATAGTTTAGCTTCTGGAGTTATCATACTTTTTACATAGCAATGTACTATAAGGTTGCATTTTAGCAATCTCAAAGAATACCCCTGGTCCCAGTCTCGAAATTCTATCACTTCAAAAGAATATAAGAATAATACCTTCCTAGTGTTGTCTGAAAAGATTTGTTTTTTCGCATATGAGATCGTCACAATAGAGCCAAAAACTTAGAAAATCTATGCTGATTCGACTGACATGAAATCGTTGGTAGTTGCAATCTAAGCAAGTAAAATACCTATTATTCTTGGCCGTGTAATGGAAAATTTTTCTAAGATTTCCTAGAAGGAAATAAAATTTCCAATGCTTTAGGGGAATTATAGTATCATGTCCCCAGCCTGTCAGATACATTGCTGTAAAACTGATTATGTATGTCATATTTCGAAAGTTTACTAACGAAATTAGGTAAAGTACTTTGTAAGAAACCCCTTGGACATTATTTACATTTTTATTTTTTTTGGGCGGGGGCATTTCTCGATGGCGCTTTTTTGCACTTCAACATTATTTACAGGGCGCTTATTCGAAGGTGGGTTGTAAAGAACGTGGACGTTTACTCGAAGTAAAATGGTATATGTATAGGCATTAGTGATAAATCTTGTGCTTTAAACTTTGCTTATCCTTGCAGAGTCAACGTGAAAAGCTGAAAGCACAGGTTAATGATGCCGAGAAGAAAATCAAAGGTAAGTAAAACAAATTTTTGAGGAAATGTGCCAATTAAAAAAACTATTTTGCTGTCAAGCAATTATATTTGCTATAAGATTTGAAAAGTTTTGCAAATCAACTCCGGCTTGGCAAACCTAATTCCTGATTTTTATGTTGCTTACAAATAACAAATCTAATGAACGAAATCCAGATTGGCAAGTCAGGTTAATTTGTGTTGTATATTTGCAATCATTTAATAAAATCCTCTATTGTTGGTATAAAAAATCCGGTATTATAAATATATCTTTTTGGTAATATTAAACATACAATGCTTGATCCCTAGTGAAAAATTTTTAGGTTTATGTCCTAAGATGTTTCAAGTATTATCTTAATGCGCATTGATATATTCTTATTAACACAGCTTTGAAGGAGAACGTTCTGCAATTAGAAAAAAAGGTAAAGGAGCGGCCTAATGGTGAAAGCGATAAGGAAGATCCTGTTGTTCAGGTATGTGTCTTTGATATTTTTTATGAAAGGATGTTTGTTCCAAGAAAGAATAATTCTACCTCAAATAGAATTAAATTTATCATTGGTACTTTTGTGATTAATTTTCTCAAGATTTCTTAGAACTACTTTCTTTTGAACGTTTGGAAAAGTGCCCCTTTTTATGATCCACAGCGCCCCTTCTTCCCCATCCCTATACTTTGACAAAATTTTGACGTTCCTGTAAATGATTTGTCGTGCAATTTTAAATTGGTCTTGAGGCCTACTTTGCTTGTCAACCGTTTGTTCAAATGACAACTTCTATTGCTCTAATCAGACTATGACATTTGTTATTTTGCTGCTTTGCTACGGTTAAAGCCTTCCTTTGCCCTCTGTAGATGGTTATGTTAAAGATTTTTTCATTTTATCAGAATTAATTGCTCAGTGATGTTATAAGTTTTGTGTAATAACCTTTCTGTTAGATGGCTATGTGTTACAAGCTTTGCGTCATTTTTCAGACAAATATGGAGCTGCAGCCAACCAAAGCCACGGTTACTGAAAAGCAAGCTGTTTTAGAAAACAAGAAACGATCTAATGATGGCAAAGATGCAAATAATGGCGAAGAAGTTAGCCAGGCCATAACAACTTCAAAGATGATAACTGCCAGAATGAAAACAACCATTAAATCGGTCAAAAGAGATGTGAAGTCAAAGATATTGGGGAAAAATATAATGACAGTTAAAGGGTTGGATTTGAAGCCGAGTGACAAAGTGCAAAGAATTTTGATTGGAAAAAATGCGGAAAACAAAAGTTTGAAGAAGGAAGATTCGATCATGGACGAATACGAGGTTAGCGAAACCCCCAAACCGGTTGGAAGTGAGACTGAGCGAGGATTTAAGTTCAAGCCTCTTCCATTCGAAAAGGATTCGGAAAAGGAAACGGATTTCCAAAAATTAGTGAAGAAGGGAGTGGTTACAAATGAAATGGCAACGGCCGAAGTAGAAAAACTTGCTTCAGATAAGGAGGGAGTTTCAATTAAGGACTCGGTGCAAGAAATGCCCAATAATTTAGATGCAAATCTGGAGCAACATTTAAAAGAAGAAAAGAATGCGATAGATAAACGTAATTTGCTTGAAAAAGAACGTGTTTCACAGTATTCTAAGTCAATATCATCGAAAAAAGGATTGGATTTGAGTAAGGAATTGGACATAGGTAAAAAAGTTGATGGGAAGGGTGCTGACAATGAAGTAGAGAGAGAGTCAAAAGACAATGTATTGGAATCGAGTTTAGAGTCAAATATGAATGATCGTAAGGGCGTGGATATGAATGATGCGGATAAGGCTGCTGACCTAAGTGAAAATGAAAAGAAGGAAGTCAGTCAAGGTGATTCGTTTTTAAGAAAGCAACAACAACTCATGCACGGGCCGTTGGAGAAGCGATCGAAATCTAAATGGCAGGAGAAAATGAGCAAGTTGCAGCAAATGAAGATTCAAAATCGGTAGGAGAAGGGAACGAGGAAAAACATGAAACAGCAACAAAGAGTGTGGATCATCAAGAAACTAAAATTGTTGATCGATCGAACGAGGATGCCAAAATGGCTGAAACAAATGCTGGAAAAGGTTATCCTCACGGAAGAAATCAGCTTAAGCCCCCTGGAAAGAGCACGAATGAAATGAAGGACAAGAATGGAGAGCCAGAGTTTGTAAACAGAAAGAAGAGAAAGCAGCTTAAGCCCCTTAGAAAGAGCACGAATGAAATGGAGGATCAGAATGGAGAACCAGAGTTTGAAAACAGAAAGAAGAGAGAGCAGCTTAGGCCCCCGGTCAAAGAGGTGATTGTTGGTGAGGAGACAGAAGAAAAGGGGGAAGATCAAAAGAAACATGACGTTCAGGTGAGTTTTAAAACGTTTTAGGCTTCTGTTGGTGCCGATTGCTAGTAATTTAAGCTTAAAATAGCAGTCGCATGTGTATTAATCCACTGTTACTCTTTATTTGCAGAGTGAAAAGGCTGGAACCGAGACTAAAGTAGATGGAGCTGATCAAGAGAGTCATCCAAAAATGCACGTTCCCATCGGAAAACCAGCGGTAGGCACTTTTAAATGCAAATTTCAATTACCAGCGGGTATACATATCATAGATTTGCGCTTGTGTTTTCTTGCAATACTGCAGGCTCTTCCTTCACAACTATTTTCAAGCTTCACTTTCATCGGCTAAAATAGCAATCTTGATTGTTCCAAAGGCTTGTTCAGATCTGTGTGGTTCGTGCAGCCTGTATGTATCTACTGAATATTCAAAACCCTCTAATTTGTTCATCGAGCCTAAGCCAAAGCTGGATGTGAAGGCTCGCTGTTTCCTTGCAAATCCATCATCGTCTCTAACATAACTTCTTAAAAGAAGAACAGGAGTATCTGAAATGCAAATGCTACATTCACGTGAACCATTTCTAAAAGATGCCGAGTACAGGTCATCATAATATACACAGTTATCGATCACCGGGTCCAATGTCATATTGGCGAGACTTGGTATGATTTTTCTATAATGCTATGATGATCGCATGGGATGAGCAAATCTGAGTTACCTGGAACAGTTTATTCCAGAAATCCAGTTCAAGCACATCCTAGATCATAAAATTTTCCTTCTTGCGACCAGACAAATAACATGCATAAATTTCCAGCGAGAATAGGAGCTACATTTGTGAGAATTTATCAAGATATAAAAGAATTTCTGCTAAACTCGCTATAATTATTTTATAACAAATTTTGCCAAAGTACCATTGTCGATAGTAAAGGTTTTAAGTGTAAAACGCTTTTCCAAGTTAGGGCTCCTGGGTCCTTGGGCTCTTGGGCGATTATCAACTGAATTATCAACCGAAGAATTATATGTTGAAGAATTATCAACTGAGGCGATTTTCAATCATAATTTAGGTCAAAAGTTCAGAAGATGAGGCTGAACACGGTAATGACTTTGAAACAGAACCTGGAGATCAGGACCTTGACCATGGAAAATCAAATGAAGAAAACAATGCCGAAAATATAGACTCAGATGACGAGAGTAGGACGGAGGAGAAAGATTTTATGAACAAGAAAGAACAGATGGTGGATAATTGAATTGCTGGTAAATGCTTTTACTTGTGCACTTGTTAAGCAAATATCGCCGTTACTGGTTTCTTTAGTTTGATAAAGCATACAGTTTGATGTGACTTCAGTTTCTTGCTTTGTTTGTGCAACGTCCGCCATCTTTGACCCGCGACTAAATAGAGCAAAATCGATATCATCTGATTAGTATGTTCTGGTGTCTTATCATTGCATATTTAGGATTTAACAGAACTATACCAATCATGTGCTCGCGTTTTTTCTGATTGCCCTATTTCGATGTAGAATTGGGTATATCTTTTCCATCTTGTTCTTTCTAATCCCTATTTTGAGGTTTTAAACTCTGAGGAGTGCGAGAGGGAAAAGCTTTCACTGTGCTGTAAAATGTTTGTTTTTTCGGAGTCTATAGAAGGAAAAGAGATAAGCAAGAGAAAGAAGACACGTGATCATGCCATGCTTTAACCCTAGTCTCCCCCTCAGTTTGCGCATCGCTTTCTACTGTTGTACGTTGTGTAAATAATATGATTCTTATTATTACTAAACAATGTTCTCTTATTCTTCCCTCCAGGACAGTAAGCGAATTTGAAATCTCTAATACTTCAAGATCAATTCATCGGAGTTATATAAGCTCTGTTGAGAAGGACAAAATGGGAAGGAAAGCAAAGAAATCTTGTTTAAAATCATCATCCGATTATGCATAAGTTGTCATTCAATGTATAGGGTCAAGTGCTCACTGGTCGCCAGGGGCAAGATACTAACCTGATCCCAGGTGAAATGATGAAATGATGCCACTATGAAGTGTCTTCTGGAAGTGGATATTTGCAATTGTATTTAGCACAGTTAGATTGGCTGGTATTTTTGTCTCGGTTTTTGTGTAGATTTTTTAGATAATGAGAATAAGTAGCCCATTGCAATGAAAGTAAATGTTTCAAAGTAATCTTTAGAGCCATACCCTAATGTTTTCATTAATCTAAGGAAGACATCTTTATTTTCCTCAACGTTTTGTGTTGGGTCAACGTAAGGGGAACCTTTTGGAGGAGAGTGACTCTTTTTCTAGTATGGGTTTGACTACTATAATTTTCTTACCATTGACTTGAAAAAAAGCTGTTTTACTACTTTCGATTCCTTGACATTGTGACGAAAATAAACGATGTACGCAAATAATTGTCTGTAGAAGCAAATCACATTTGGTTTTCTGTGTTCATTTGGTGACAGGGATGTAATGCTGGGAGATCAGAGGGCACAGGCCCAAGGGTCTTTTCATAGCACTGCACCCCTGGCTTGAAATGCTATTTTAGTGTGTTAGTTAGCCATATATGCTTATAGGTTGAGCAAAGGAGAAGATAAGTCAATAAATAATTCTATAATAAGGGTGTAATATTATTCTTGTCAAGAAAACTTAGGAGAATTTAACTAAACAGTGACAAAATATCAATCTGTTAAATCTTTGTGTTTTAGCTTAGATTGTCTTCACAACTTAGCACTTAAATTTGAAATACAGAATTAAATTAAATTCTGAAAGTTATTTATTCATGGTTTTAGCAATCCACTGATGGGAAATTATTTTTATTTCATTATTCAATATGTTAAAAAACAAGATCATATGAATCTTGAAATGCGAATGTTTTAATGTCAAAAGCCTAGTCGGTTGTGTTAGTAAGAATACAAATTTGAGATTTAGGTCTTTCACATCTGTGTATCACCACGTTAATTCTACTTAGAATGACACCGGAACACCATACCTTGAAGCATGGTCTAGCAAAGTGGGGATCCTCATCGATACCATTTGATTAATTAAGTGAATCAGGCCGCCAACCATTGGTGATTTTACCCATATCGCTTGATAAATAACAGCAAACCCGCTTGTTGGGTGTGGTCACATTTTTATGCCAAACCCCAAGGAAGCCTCTTTTGATTTGTTCACCATCCTGTAATTGTGATGAAACCCCCCCCCCCATACCCCAACCTCCTAATACCCCCGACCTCCGACCCCTTTCTCCTCCTGTATTTGAATACTTACTTTTCTAGAATTAACAACAAGACGAGTACTTTTAGTCGATGGTATTTGTTAATGAGTATCTCAAATTGAAATCAAATTCATTACATTGCATCATATTTTCACACGTATTACAGATATATGTTGTAATCTTCTTTGCATTCCATAACCTAAATTTGAGAAGTTTTCACAATTTTTGGACTCCAAAACACAAATGTGTTCAGGTTGATATTATAAAGCTGAATATATTTTTGCTAGTTTGTAAACGCATTGAAACAGACGAAATACTGGATTGATGCAACAAGCATATACAGGCATTTTGGCAGGAAAATGAACATGGATGTCTATAGTTTGTTTGTTTAAATGTCTATGGATAACATTGTTTCTCTCAGCTATCATTAATTTCTACACCGCTATGTTCTTCTCTCGGTTTTTTTGATTGTGTCATCGTGCATTGTGTTGATATCCAAAAGAGTCATTGCATTTCGTATTGCTAATATTGTGCAGCAGCGTGCCAAGTTTGATCCATCCTAAGTGCTGTCACTAATTCTTCTTTCTTGTGTAGGTGTATTCTGTTACTGTATTTTCCTGTATTGCGCTCATATGGCTGCCTGCTAATGGTTCCACACGCTATCCTGTCGATTAGCGGTCTTCCAGGCTGAATGAATTACTGAGTTTTCCCCGCCTTTCGAGGTCCTTTTGTCTTAAAATGTTTCGCGGGTTCTCAGCACTGTTGTGTAGCCCATAGCAAAGGTAAATCGTCATCCCTACAATGCAAGAGTAGCAAGTACTTTATGTAAAGGCTCGCAAGCAAGTAGCAATGTCAGTCCTTGAGACAATGATTATGCCTTTAGAAGTAGTGCACTGCTACACACAAGAACAAAATATGTGCAGAAAATAATGACGCCGGAAACGCTTGAGGGTTTTGCCAAATCATTAACGAAAACCATCAAAAATAGATAATATTTACCGCCAAAATGCTGTCAGAAATGCCGGCACAAACCACTAAATTTAACTTGAAATTTTTAAGACAACAGAAACAAATTTGTTACAAAATCTTTGTTTGTTTTTAACGTTAATCCGATTTTCCAATTTTCGCCCTAATAAAGTTACTCTTTGGTCGCAGACAGGGGTGTAGTGCTAGGGGGGCTCAGGGGGGCTGATTTCTACTTTTGCTATTGTTTTTAGCAACATTTTGTGCAAGAACCCCCTTGTTATTTCGATAGCACTACACCTCTGGCCTCAGATAATCTAGAGAGAAGATTGAGGGGAATTTTCAAAAAGTTTCATGGACCTGTAGAACAACAAAAATCTAAATGTTTTTGGCTTTTATTATATGCTTGAAGGCAAGTTTCTGTTTTCTGGAACGTCCAATTTTCTTTACTTCCCTTGTTTCATACTTTAGTGGAGAGCAAAAACCTAGTCGACTTACCTACGAACATCCAAACACCGAATCGAACCCACGTGATGACTGAGAGCTCCATCATCAAATAGATGTTGACGAACATGCACAGCAGTGGGATAAATGGGACAAGCGGGACCTTGAATGGCAGGGGAGTATTGTTTTGTGGTTGGAGTACAATCACTGTTATCGCACTTACAAGGACAGCCATCAATGCAAACGCTAAGACAATAAACCAGAATTGACCCTTCATCATAAACTTCATTCCAAATACAAACAGGCTGCTTATCCCAAACATGTCCAGAAACAAGATACAGACACACAGGGAAACAAGGTGACCAGATCTTTCAGTTGGCTCGCGTGCGATGGCTCCTGTTACGTTTACCGGTGATGCGCTCTTATCGCTCGTGCTGAGGTCCCCTGGTTGATAACGCAAAAGAAGTACACTTGTTGCCACTATCGTGTACGCCTGAAGCGTGCCTATTGACATCATTTCAACGAGTGATGATAATTCGAATACCATTGCCAGTATCCCTGCAAGGGCACCAGCGAAGAACGTAGAGAAGAGCGGCGTCTCCGTCCGCTTGTTAACCCATCCAAAGGACGGGAATATGAGACCGTCTGTTGCCATCGCATACAGGAGTCTTGGTAATGGGAACAATGCGCCGGTTAAACTGGCAGTTAGACCACAGAGAGCCCCAACAGAAATTATGTACTTAGCCCACCAAACCCCGCTTTGCTCGAACGCACGTGGTAAAGCGGCATCAGGGTCTAGCTGGTTGTAAGGCACCATTAATGTGACAACTGCCGCAACCCCTGAATAGCCGACATAACAGATTGCCAATGAGAGTACAATCGAGAGGGGTATTGCTTTGCTTGGGTTTTTGGCCTCTTCACCAGTCGATGCTATGACGTCAAAGCCAACAAACGCGAAAAATGCCGTGGCTGAACCAGACAGGACTCCAGTGACTCCGAAGGGAAGGAAATTCCTATTCCAGTTCTCAAACTTGGCATGGAATGCACCTAAAACAACGATAAATACCATCACCCCCATGTTTATGAAGGTAATCGTACCCTGAAATCGCGTTGATTTACGCACACCAATTGCTAGAACCCCGGCGATGATAATCGCCAATGAGAGTGCAAAGATGTCCAGGTAGTGGCTGAGACCTGGTGTGTGCAGTCGCCCAAACGCGGAGGTTAGTCCCCTGCTAACCGCGCCTCCTACAAGTGAGTTGAAGTACGCGCTCCATGCCCTTGCCACCGCTGCAGCCCCTATCATGTACTCTAGAAACAAGTTCCAGCCGATTATAAATGCGCAGAGCTCGCCAACAGTGACATAACTGTATATATATGCTGATCCTGCTTTCGGAACCCTCGCCCCAAACTCCGCGTAACATAGTCCAGATAATACAGATGCTATTCCAGCGATGAGAAACGAAAATATAACGCCAGGCCCAGCGATCTGTCTTGCTACGTCCCCGGTAACGACATAAACACCTGCTCCTAATGTACTGCCGACACCGAGGAACGTCAAGTCGAATGTCGTGAGCACTCTAGCAAGTTTTGTCTCTTGGACTGACTTTTTGTCGAATGGTTTCGTTCGGGAGAATCCTTGGAGTGTGCCACCCATGTTTTTCCTAATCGAATGTTAATTGAATGTTAATCGAATGGTACGATTCGCGAAGCCTCTCACTTCGCGAAGAATTAAACTATCTCAATGTATCCTTTGACGGTTGCTGGCAAAGCAATAACCAGTTAGCCGATAATGTTTATCATCATTTGCTGGCTTTGCACATTAGCTGGACTTGAGATGACTGGCAAATAAAGTTATTCCGTTGAAGTTTTCATTTCTTTGCACATGTCTGTAAACTGCCAAAATTGAATATAAAATGTTCACGTCTAACGGTTCAAATCTAAAAGTTCGCGACCAATATTAGATAACCACTGTACCACCGTCTCCCAGTAGAATCGTTATTTTCGGAGGTAAGAATAAAAATACAGTGCAAAGAGGAATCAGCGTTGCGAGTTTGCTGACTACAAAGGAATAGCTGATCTTGTGACTTACCCGTAAACAAAACTAATGCGGCGTTCAGGTTGCTGGTGCTTCCTTTCCTTCTTTGTCTGTAATTGATCTTTGCTGCGCGATCAAACTGCTCTACGGGCTCGTTGACTGAATTAGTCAGATTTCTCCATACCTTATCTTGCATACCTGTTCTGCAGGTCAAGTCTAGGGATCGTGTTATCAGATTTTTGATCAAGTTGCACTTTCTTGCCAGGACAAGCAAGGAAACCTTTTTACTTCTTGATGGGCAAATTCCATACTTTGCTTTACATGCAATTTGGACGCTTATTCAAGCGGGGCGCTCATTTGATTTTTGTGGATGTCAAAGCACTTCAAGTAAAATAAGGATTTTAAAAAAGATAATAGCTAATTGAAATAAAAACATTTGAAAATGTGTTAAAAACCGAGGGGCGCTTATTTGATAATTATCCCTATAGGGTGTTTAATTAAGGGGGCGCTTATTTGAAAATTTGCGGTAGTATAGAATGCATGCATGGATTAACTTAAAAAAACGTACCTGCATTTAAGGCAAGCAGCGAGTTGTATTTAAATTTAGGCCTACCTCTAAACCGCACTAAGCTCTGAAAATACAAATTTAGAACCTACGTGTGGAGCAGTGGCAGTTGCCCCTCTGGAGTCCAGAAGTAGGTAAAATTACCATTTGGCAATATCTGGTATTTGCTATTTTGTCATTTTCAAAAATATTTTTAACATTAATACGTCAGTCACTTGGGGCCTTGTTTCCAACAGCACTCCTTTCCACCGAAAGCAAAGTAGAATCAATATGGAGGATAGGACCAATATATTGTCAGAGAATCCAGAATTTAAACCAAAAAGCCGAAACTCTGTCTAGTATTTAGAAAAATCTTCCAAAATTAACGAGAAAGGAGAAAATGGAGAATTAGTTGCGATGCAATTTGAATGCATGAAACCGGGCTGTGTAAGGTCGACATAAAGCCTATCAAATACATTTGCTAAAACAGCCAGTACTGAGGGGTCTTTCTCAAAACTAAAGACGAACAAGATTAGTAAGCAGCAACTCAAGGGGCTATAGCTTCTCTCAACTGAAAACAAAATTGAGGCAAAAAATAAAAATTAAAACAAAAAATTTTAAACAGCTTGCCTCATGGAACGTTGGAGGTTTAAAACTATTTGCAAAAAATAGACTTTTTTGCAAACATAAAGACTGAAGTAAAGATATCAAATCAAGTTCATTTAAAGTTAACTCGTTATTCTAAGTTGAATCAAATTTCTGGAAGGTTTAGCTGAGGACAAGGGGCAGTCAGAGGAAGGTTTAGCTTTTGCTGGACCATGAAAGTCATCACGTCACATTTTGGGAATAGTTCTAATTTGAGCAACAAAATTTGCAATGAGCCACACCATTTACCATAAAACAGGTTATACTTTTCAATGTGACAACTCAACAATGTAACAAAAACTTTCCCTTAATCGTTTTCCCAACAAGTATCTGTGTACCCAAATATGTATCCTGTACATATATAGCTATTTTGTAATGAGATCATTCTTTCTACACAAGCCCTTTCATAACATAAAAGCTATATTAAGCCCTTTGAGGGCTTATTGAGTATTTGAGAGAGGCTCATTAGAGAGAGGCCTAATCAAAAGATCAGAAACAATTAAGACAAGGCTATGAAAGATTTGATGATATGATAATGATTTGAAGGATAACATCATTATACACAGTTGTAAATACTTAACAACATACAAGCTGATATTTATATCAAGTAAATAGTGTTTGAAATTGTTTAAATATCTGGATTACACAAAAATAGGTACATCCAATGACAAAATATGTTTTGGATAAAGCTCACAAAAACATTTTATTGGTGACTGGGTCCCAATATCAGCTCTTAAATGTATGATTGCTCAAAAGCTGTTGTACTTCTTAGCTGTAAACTAGTTTGATTTTGAAGAATATAGTAACAAATAAGAGGGAGCAATGTCTAATTAGTTCATAAACCACTATGTTGGTGAAAAAAACTGTGTAATTTTTTAACATTGAAAATAATGAACATATAAATCAAAATACGTAAGATTGAATAACACCTATATATTTCTGGTTCTACATATAGGACTTTCATATAGAGTTTTAATCAAAGTGTAACTAGTGATATCCTATGACAGCATCTTAATACCAGATAGGATATCCTATGAAGCCTGAAATACTTTCTAAATTTACCATATATTTACAAAGGTTACAATCTCAAATGCAATTTCAAGTTTCAAATTACTGCATTTGATGGATTCTGATTCACTGGAAAAACAATTTGTTTTGAGACAGGATATATTTGGCATATGATTTTTAAAATTTGTAAATGACTCAGTATGAGTATCTGTGAAAGGGAGTACTTAAAAAACAGTTCTCTTCCACCTAATAATTAAGGTTTTAAAATCACATCCCCCTACTGCTGCATTTCCAAAAATCGATAAACTTCAATATTTTTATTGTGAAGTTTTCTCTAGCAAGTGTATAGTACAAAGCCCTGGCTTGCTGATTTACATAATAATCCTATTAACTAGGCTAACCAGCATAAAAAATGTTAGGAACGATATAAATTGGGGTTTATAAAACCACAACAAATGTGTAGCAGCATGTTACGAGCTGTTCGTTGGCTGAATAGGTACTCTAATTGGATTTAGAAAAACGGTTAGAGAACTATGGAGGCTCCAAGCAGAGCACAAAATAGCCTAAAATATTTCTGCCACGAAGCCCTTATTTTACGCGAATATCCAGGCCAACAAGGTTTCTACAGTCAAGGAGTGAATGCTGCCGCAAGGTTTTCTTGTCCCATGCATTCGACTTCACGGAAGTCAAGATTTCTGGGTTTAACACCAACAGATAGTTTTTTCGTTTTGGTTATCAATTTTTCCAGCGACGGGTTTCCACTCTCTTCCAGAGGGATAAAATTTCTCGTTACAAGAGGTGAACGTTTCACTTGCTCCTGACTCTTCTCCTTGAAGTTCTTAGTGGATTTCAACATGTTTACCCCGGAATTTTCATCGTCCTTTGGCTTTCTGTTTTTTCGGCGGCGACGTTTCTTTTTAGCCCCAGCAGTACTCTTGCTCTTGCTAATTAAGTATCCCTTATCAGAAAATTCCGAAGTTTTCGAAATTTTTTCTGGCGAGCTTTCCACATCAACGGGCAATGTATTAGGCTTGGCTTTTTCAGGCTCGGCTTCAAGGTCTGGACTCACATGTGTGTCTTCACGAACTTCACTATCTCCCTCTTGTGGATCATTTTCTTCCAGCTTTTTAGCATCGTTGGAATCATTATTGATTGCATTCAGCTCAGGCTCCGGGATGCAAAATATAGGAGTCCTCGGTACGACATATGTCGGCGACCTTGGATCGACCATTCTTTTTTGTTGATCGACGGTTAATATAGGTGTCCTAGGCTCCCCTCCATCCATGACAGGCGATCTTGGATCTCCCAGCTCCTTCAGATGAGAATATTTAAGATACTGTGGCGTCTCAGGTGTAGGAATTTGATCTTTGCTATCGGCAGCTCCCATGGTTCTTGAGAAGAGAGTCAACACAATCTAAAGTCCGTCTATCGTGAATGTTGTTGCAACGTGTTTTGATCCGAACATGGATCTGAATATTATTTGAATATTTTGCGGGTGTGTCACTTGACCAATAGAAAGCAGCAATCTGCTTGCATCATCCAATCAGATCAATTTCAGTAACGGATTGATCATGAATAAGAGGCAATCTTTTTGTCCAATTAAATATCAATATTGGAGTGCACCTAGCCAATCAAATTGTTCCGGATTCTCGGCTACTGAGAAGAGGCTACTGTTGCTCAAGGTAACTACCGCAAAGGAACATTAATGGCGGTCACTGTTGCTTGTTTTCAAACGGTTTTGTAGCTTCTAAATTTTTCACGATGATGTTACAACAGACAGAATCTAAAAGTTTACAAGATGCATTTGTAAAATTCAGAGAGAAACGAATGGTAAGGTCTTGCAAATCGTGTAGACCACATTTGTCTAGTTTATGTCAATTTTAAGTCATCGCCGTTTCCGTGTGCTTCGAGTTAATTTGAAAAATGGGGAAAATTTTGCTAAATCTAAGTTGCAAGCAAAAATACCATAAATAGCCTTCTTACGGTCTACAGAAGCCCATATTTACCAAGCGATTTCTTGACTTTGATAATTTATAAAGAGAGTGTAATCAGTTGAAAAGTTGACTGAAATGCAAAATTCTTTTTTTCATATAATGCAGAAATAAAATGATGCGTAGAATTTCAATTTCAAGTTAGTTATTGTTATTCATTTTGACGCAGTTATACTTCAAATGTCATGAAATTGTTGAGTGCTCTACCATTGTCAGCATGTTTTATGACTACTACAAATGATTAAGGAACCTGTGTTAAGTTAAGAAAAACAGGAATAGCCAACGTTACTCTATATATAAGAAAGCTTTCATAACAGTGTTTGTCTATTTTGGAAAAGTTGTGATGATGCTTCTTTCCATTTTCTTAAAGACTAACCCCTTAATACTCTTTAAAGAAATATTAGTTTGAAGAAATATATGTTGGGCTCAAATATTTTGAATCTCAATCAATCTTCTTTCAAAAGTTAATATGAATCGTTTGTAGATATGGAAGTGATAAAAAGATAGGAATGAATCATAATCAATTTTCAAATCAGATTATTTGAATAGAGTCAAAACCTACTTGATTAATGTATTGATGCTCTTCCACCAAATAATTAGTGCATTGCCATAACAGACCTGCTGATATTTGTAATATCTTGATTATGCTGAAGGCTCATTGGGAAACTCTCGAAAAAAATTTGGTGGTTAATTTTGATATACAATTGTTTGAAACTGGAGTTAGATATTAAAAAGTGAAGATGTCTATGTTATTGATGTTAGATAAGCTTTCATTTGAGGTCAAGTTCATTTTGAATTCCAGTTCACCTTTTATCTTCATATCTAGCATGTCATGTCTCTCAGGGATAAAGTGCATATAAAACTTGCAATTAATGTTAGGTACTTCATTCTCCACTGAAAATATGTTAGAGCAACCCCCTTTCACATCCTAGTTCCAATGCAAATTGAATTTGATGTGAAATTATTTTTTAAGAATAACATTGACTTGTTGAATCTCTTTAGAAACAAATCAAATCCACGAAACAAATGCTGAGAAAGCCCTTGGAAGAACGAGCGAACTCAGAGAGATTTAATGCTCTGAGGAGTAGATTTTTGAACCAAGCTTTGAAGTATCTTGGTGTTCCTTATGCAAAAAAGTATCATGAGAAAGGCTGTAAGTTTAGATCAATTTGTGTTATGTCTTGTATCATTTGTAAAACAGATTGTGCAAGCTTTAGATCAGCTAAAACCAGGGATGTAGGAAGCATTTCAAAAGTGGGGACAAGAAGTAGACACAAAGAGCTGTTAAAAAGATAATTTCCCTCTTTTTGTAATTAGTGGAGGCACATGCCCCCTATGCTCCTGGATTACTACATTTCTAGCTAAGATGCTTTGTAGAGGGTTTGGAAACACTAGTGGTTAACAAAATGATGACACCATTGAGTTCATAGCTTCTCTTGCACATGCTTCTTATACTAGAATTGTTTCAATGAATACTTTTCCTAAAATGTCTCATAATACTCATGTGTTCTTTCTCTTAATACTCAAGTTTTTCTTTGTACCAATCAGAATTAAATTTTTTTTCTATTTTAGCACCAGACTACAATGCACCACTATTTCTAGACTGCTGTGCATTGGTACGCAGGGTTCTGTGTGATTTAAAAAATGAATTTGGTTTTCGAGTTGGAAAGTGGAACCAAGCTTACCAGGTTTGTTTAGTTTGTTCTGGTTAAATTGTAGCCAACCAATAATAGGAAGAATTGTTTCACTCATTTGTCCTTACCATGAATGAAGACTTGGGCCTTTGATATGGAATTCTATTTTGGAACATGGCAAATCAGGCTGAAATATTTAACATCTTTTTGAAAATTTATTTCTATAATAGTACAGTACCTATTAAGATTTGGCTAGATTTAGAGTATGACACTTGATGAGACCTCATGCATGCACAGTCATTTCTGGTATTTACCTTTCAATGGCTTACAAAAATTGGTTCTCTAAAATAATGCTATGGCAGGCCTGGCCATTTGAGGAGAGCCATAGCTCTCCTCAAACGCTGGAGGGGAGCTAGAGATTGCTCTCCTAAATTGTTCTAAAAAGCAAATTTGCTCTCCTTGAAATCAATTTTTCCTTTGTTTCTATTCTTATAGCTCACCTGAATACTACTAGGAGAACTTTTTACTGCTCCCCTGTTGAAAGTCTTACGGCCAGGCAATTCAGAGTGCAGTAGAGTATTTAAAATCTGACCTACAGTACTACACTGATTTTGTGCATTCATTTGCTATACTCTGCAGACTGGACAAATGGTTTATTGATTCTCAAGAAACAACTATCCATGGGCCTAAAGAAAATGAGGATATTTAGTTTTCTTTGGTAATTTTATTTAGAGAAGGTTATCTTGTTTTTATTTTGTTTGAAGTTTTCCTATAACAAGTATTTGCTAAGTGAGTGCTTCAAAGCATAAAATCTTTGTATGTTCTAACCTTAAAGATAACCTTTTTTAGTTTGACACTCTTCCAATCACAATTGAGAAGGAAGAAGATTTGAAACCTGGTGATTTAGTGTTTATCTCAGGAGTCTATTTCAACCCTGAACGTGAGTGTATAAGTTGTACAATTTATTGTGCATGAATTTAGGTTTTATTTCATTAAAGTTTAATTCAAAATCTACTAAGAAACTGAGAAACTTTTGAAAACTTTACAAGTTCTAGACATTTTGAGAGTAACAGCATAGATTTGCTGTTTGACAGATTGCTCTATCATGGTTGCCCAAACAGCATCAAGCAGCTAATTGCCTTGATCATGCAATTGATTCATTGGCAATTTTGTAGACACCTTTGCAGAGTTGTTAGTGTGTTTTGATTCCTTTAATAGCAAACTTTGGTATGATTTATATTCACTTGATGTTTCCTTAGTACCTGCAATATGAAATGAAAAATTTCTGATCACTTTATATTGATTCATGAATAAAACTAATGCTGATAAACTACTTGACATCGTGATATTATTAGCTTCCATCTAGATAACTTTCCAGTTTTTTGATACAGGTTGTGAGAGAATCATTATAACTTTGTATATATGTCTGCCAACCAAAGTTCATTTTGTTTATCTTCTGAAGGTAAACGACAGAAACACAATATGGTTCATGTGGAAATTTGGCTCGGGGATGGAGAGAAGACCATTGGGGCTAGATATCATAGGGGGAGGTAAGAATATTGCTAAATAGATTATTTAATTTAGATTGTGTAATGAACCATAGAGTAGTAAGCTCGTTTTCCTCTTATTTGCTTTGACTAGCTAGGACACAATTTACAAACTTGTTACACATTTGCTCAAGAACCAATATCCACTTCTTCCTGATATTTGTTTCATTAAATATATTTTTCATTATTTATATAGTTTGGTGGCCTGCCTTAAAGGACGTTTTTTTCTCTCAGGGTCCAGATTCATGACTCATACAAATTTGTTTCAAAGAGTTATCACAGCATGGTTTACCACTTTAAGTCTATTGATACTTGGTTGAACGGAATATGTCGTAGGTGCGTATATGTATTAGACGCGTGAGGTTGTTGGCAGTAATGTCTAAAGAAATACTTACTTTTCTATTTTGTTCTCATTTGTCAGCACTTCTGCAATTGCCCATTTAGTTTTCCTGTTACTCCTTAATGACTCTAGTCCCTAGAGTATTGCCAGCGACGCAGGAGAAGAGGACGCAAAAGATGGGGTGGCCAAAGTACTTTTTTCATAAAAGTGCCCTTGACATCGGCTTTTTAAATTACCAAAGACGTTGATATGAAATTATAGTAATGCCTTGCTCATGACGAAATTCTTCAAAACCTTTAACACAATTTCTAACACGAAATGCTAGCCAGTTTTTAAGATACTTACAGAATATCGAAATAAAATGGCAGTTACGGATGAATTCGTTGAAGCTGTGAATTAATTTCCAAGTTTACTTTACTGAAACCTGTCCCCTTGCTTTTTGGTCGTCCCAGCGTCTATGAGTATTGCTTACCTAACTCCCTGTTCATTAAATATTGAAACAGTATGTGCTGCAATATTTCTCATCATGGAGATACATCTTATTATAACGAACATCAACAAACTATTGCCGTGGATATCATTGTTACCCGGTCTCTTGTAGAATTCTCGATGCTGCTTGGGCAGTGCTGCACATCCTTTGTGTGTTAAACCGAATATTTCTAAGCTGTTTCTTAAGCCTGAATTTTAATGCGATAATGAGGCAACCACTCTACAACTGTTGCTGATATTTTTAAGCTGTTGAATTTCTAACTCCGGCCTTTGCAATATGTAACAGTTCTAAACCTCATAGTAGCTGGCAAAAAATTAGATGGCAACAGATACATAAATTCGTTCAATGGTAAAATCCGTTTTGAAAGAAGAGTAGGCATGATCTAAAAGTTAGCACTAAAATATGGAAAATTGGTTACAGCCTTATTCGGTTCATATTTGTACTCAAATGAAAATAAACTTCTAGTAATATTGCAAGATTGGTTCATGAGATTCAAGTGGATCATGAAGAGCAACATAAGCATAGGTAGAGGGAATCCATGAATGAGAAAGATTCCCATGCGTTATGTTGGTATTAATAAACCTATCTATTGATATTGCCTTCCTGTAGTTTCTGTTCTGAACATCCTTGGACGCGATCAAAATACTTAAATCATGGCAAGAAGTCGATTTTCAACGCTCAGTTTGAGAAAGACAGTGACAGTGAATCTGCAAGTGGCACTGATGACGAAGACCAAGAAACTGGACACAAGAAAACTGAAGACACAAACACGAAGTCTGACGAGCAAGAGTTGCAATTTTTATTTATCGAAAAGATTAGCACCTCTCCTGACAAATCTGCTGGATTCTTTGATACAAATTCAGAACAACACATACAGCCAGATTGTCTAGATAATCCAAATCACTCCTATGATTATGTTGACTTGGATGAAAGCTGCTACTGTGTACAAGAGTGCATGTGTAATTGCAACACCTGCTCTGCTATAAATAAAGAGTACGAAAACAACCTTGGTACCACGGCAAAGGAACTAACTGGCATGGACAAGCACCGTTCTCTTGCACCGGGTAATGCCACTAAGAAACAAGCTGATAAATCAAAGGCTTCGTCAAAAATGCAAAATGGTATTTGTTTTTACTTTTTGCTGATAACCTTGTCACAGATCTCGCTCCAGCGCCATCTTGCCTCTTATACTAATTCCATGATATAACTGCTGAATTTTGATGCATTGTGTGGTAGTGTTTCATAGTCATAAAGATATCAAATTGATAGCCTTGTGCCTGTCGGTATGCCGTCTACAGCTTCCTAAAAGACATATTGTATAAAATAACCTCGAACAGCATCATTATTTGCAGCCAAGGACACAAATCTTGTTATGAACTTGGCTATCTGTGCACTGATCTCTCTCGTTCTACTAAGTATAGATCTAAATTTAGTGCATAGCTACCCATGGCTTTTCCAATTACCAGTCCAAATAAATGTTCTTTTTTCTAGGCGCTCACCAACCAACGAATAATACATCTTCAAGAAGATCCCGTAGCAAGTCGCCATCAAAGGCACCATTGAAGCAACCAACGGTTTTAACGTCTTCAACCTCCAGGGGTCGAAAAAAGCCAACGCCAAAGTTTTACATAGGAGGAAAGAATGGTGTCGCGTTGTAAGTAGCTTTATAATACATTACGTCACGTCATAGTCAGACAATGTCGGCCAACAAAGGGTGGGGATTTAGTGCAACTTGGTAGTTTCCAATCGGCAAGATACGAAACCAAATCCACTGTTGGGATTCGTGATATTTCTTCAATTCTTCATTATAAAAGCATTTCAGCTTTTGAAGGGTATGCATGTTTAAATTTTCTAAAGGTAAGCCCCAGGTTTGCATGTTGAATAGAACAGATTTGCTGTCAAAGTGTCTCCCATATATTCATATGTTTTTCAGAGTGGAGAAACCACTGTTGGATAAAGGCTGGCAGCGAATAGACGACAATAAAGATTTATCCTACTACCTAAAATGGGTTGAATGCAAGTCGAATATTGATTACAAGAGTTTTCGACCTGGTAAGTTTAGTGTATCAGTGAGTCGCACATAGCTATCTAGATAGAATAATCAGAGAGGCATACAGCTGTCTAGATAGACTAATCAGAGAGGTATACAGTTCTTTGGACTCAAATTGACTGGTAATAGGATTCCACTTATCTAACCAGATACAACAAAGGCCTTATCTCCGGTACATCATATAAATTCTGTAAATCCCTTCAATGAAAACCTTCAGTTTCAAGAGTCAGACTGCTCGAACTGTTCGTGCGTTTTGTTTTACAAATGCATTTAAGTTGCAGGGTCAGATTCTTATCTGAAAGGTCTATTTTGATGATGGAAAGCCTGGCAATAAGGATGTCTTGTCGCAAAGTTTGGACTACAATGCTTTTAAAAAACCTTGTTATATGTTTGATAAAAATGAACCATCAACCAAAAAAGAGCCTTTAGAAGCAGATTTGTTATAGACAGAAATTTTTATCCAAAATTTTTCGAAGGTAGCGATTAAACTATTTTGTGGCAAGACTTCAGCCATTAGATGACGTATTGACTCGATTTATAAAGTATCCAATTTTTGAATAATATTGCTACAACAGCTAATTAATCTTTACTTCTTAAAATGAATTATTTTGAAGGTCATACAATTGCTTTTGATTGACATTACAGGTGAGCAGCTCGTCAATCACATACCCAATGGTAGTTGTTTGACCACCAAAACAGGGATGCTTAAATCCCTTCACGAATATGAAAAGCTAGCTAACCGCAAAACAGGAGGTGCATCGAGGTTCGTACAAGCATTGCCACTAATAACTTAGGCTCCCCTTGGAATTATTTCATAACAGTCTTTATTTCATTTTTCGTTACTCTGAAATGATTTTAACTTTGGTAGCGGCTGCCTGGGAATACAAACCCAAAATCTCATTTTGATATGCTTTTGAACATATATTGAATTATGTCACCCTTTTATTTTATGTTTAAATTAAAAAAGCTAGCTTTTTCCATAAATAAGACAAGGCTTTATGCGATTTTGCACTCCATCATGAATCTATGCCATATTTGCCTCTACGTAGACACGTCTTTGCAGTAAACGAGAAAAACCTTCCAAAAACAGGAGAAAAATATCTCCTTTTATATCAATTATTTTCACTTTAGTATTCTAAGCCTTTTCAGTCATGTTGCTATTGTGGTTCGTTTTTAAGACTTCATTCTTTTATACGGAAGTTATTCCTGCTGAATCAATAACGAACATATTCCTAATATAAATGTTTTTGTAAGCCAATGTCTTAAAAAATATTTTGCCTAGCCAGAATAATCTTATTTTCTGAAAGACGCGAGGATTGGGAATACTGAGAATTTCTAGATGCTTGTGCGTACAAGGTGTTCATCAACAAGAATTTTGTTAAAAAAAATTTTTTTAGCAAGTAAATCATAATATTGCAGTGCTTTAAGTATCGTATTTAACTGCTAGAAAATAAAACTTGACTAAACATCGCTCGACTCTTTGAATCTGTCAGTTGAAAGGCCGTTTTGTAGTTTGCGTAACTGAAAATATCGAACTGCTAAAGTGTTATCTAGTGGTTGCATATTTTCAAAAAATACCCGATAGAAATAATTCGTGATTATTTCATGCGTTGATAGACATATCAGAGTATATTTTAATGATGGTGTTGAATATGAATGTTTTTTTTATTTCAGCGATTTAGATCTACGTGAGTTTTATCCAGAGACTTACAGAATCGAGAATAGGTTTGACTACGAAAAATTTACCAGCGTCTTCAAAGGTTTGCCATTCATATGAATTGTACCCCTTCTGATATAACATTTCTTCACTATTTTGTAATGCTCAATTTCTTTCAAAATCAAAGACTTTGAGTAAACGTTTACAAAAGTCCAAGCTTTTGTAAAAGATTTGGGCACGTTTGGGTGTTTTTTTTGTTAACATGCCCTTGACTTTTACGAACTACTTGCTGGCAGCTAATCTCTTAATATCAGATGTTATTAAGCCTACAATGCTCGCCAACTGCTGTGGAGCATGGTCATAATCTTTTTAACCAATGTTGCTCCCCTTCCTCTATCATGTTGGATTTTGACTAGATAGTGAGGAAAGATGGAAACAGTTGGAATGAAAACAGTGTATCCAATGTTCAGAAAAATGTTCATCTTCCTTCCCAATATTTATGAGCATCTTCGGCATCTTTTCAGTTTTTGCCGTCTTTGGATCAGTGACGTAACGAAGATAGCCGGATCCCCTTAGGAGTATTAAAGCTTCCCCCCCCCCCCAACGGCATTAATAAAATTATATAGTTATAGAAAAAACATAAAATGGTAGTTGACAGACATTCTATTGATTTAGACTGATATATCACACAGGCTTGAGGCCCCTTGAACACGTTTAACACATTGCCTATACCAGCGTCAAAGTTAAATAACATGGAAAACATTGTTGCTGGGGGCTCCTAAAGAGTGTTTCGGACCCTTAGCTTTCAACTAAAAGTAACTTTAGTCCGTTATGCCACTACTTTGGATATAAGTCTTCAGCTTGTTTTCCACGGCTACTGTTATTTGGGAGCATGTATTTGGCTGCCCGTCTTTATACCCATATTCAGCTGCGTTTTTTCTGCTTTCTCTTTTCTAATTAGTGCTTTGTGAGAGGAAGTATATAAATACTTAAAAGAAATTTGTTCTTGTGTACTTTCCGAATCCTTTTGTGCATGAACCTCAAAAAATGTCAAAATATGCATATGTCTTCTCTATCTTTTATGATTCAATTAGTCCTTGTGTTTAATTTTTTCCATCCTTATTGCTTGATTTGCAATTTTCATCGTTTTGTTTAGATGGAGAAACTTGGATTTGTAAACCCAGTGGGATGAACCAGGGCAAAGGGATTTTTCTTGTTCGAAACCCGAAGGAGCTTCGTGACGTAATCGAAGACAAAGACTCAGAAAAGCGACGCTCTCAACGATCAACCCGAATAATTTCGAGGTAAAATTTTGTACTTGAGTTGACCAATGTGATTGGGTAGTGCCTTTTTTGTCTACCAATGGTACTGATTAAATTGCCAGATTCATATATAGTTTAGAGTACCAAAATACGACGTCATCAAAATATGTTTTTAGAACATTTGGGTTTTGACCACATGACCTGAGAAGCATAAGAAAAAACTTTAAATATGCAAATTAAATCGACTATGTAAAAGTGGCCAATGGCAGATTAGAGGTTTGCTAACGGATTACTGTTAGTTTTGCTTGGTTCATAAAGTTATGGCAATAGACCAAATTACAGTGATTGGGTGAGGAAGGGTTCAGATTTAGGTGGCCATATCTCAACACATTTAATTGTCTACGTACATTGAGATGCATTTTATGATGCCTTTTATGATGTGCGATCCAAGTTCAAAAATTCTGCAAAAATGTTTTTGTGATGTCATCACTTAAGAACTTTATTACCAATATTTGAGGTGTAAACACACCTCTAGAGCTGGAGACTACAAACTCTTTCAAAGTTGTATCATCAATCCTATCCAGATTTGTAGGCTCGACTCCACAAAATACTAATCATAACTTGCCTATATTCCAGATACATAGCGAACCCTCTATTGGTGAACAACTGCAAGTTTGACATTCGTGCCTATATGCTAATCACATCGACAACGCCTTACTTGGTGTTGTATCATAATGGATATATAAGAGTTGCTTGCGAAGCGTATTCCAGCCAGTCAACAGACCTTACGTCCCATCTTACTAATCAGGTACTACTTTTAGAAAAAGCTCTGCAGAGCGAATTTTCCTTTCCTTTTCAATATCTTCGTTAACACATTGAAATCCTGATATTACTACAGAAATATGAAGTCCAAATGTTAAACCTTATTGGAGTATTTGACATAAACCACATTTTTGGAAACCCAATGCTTATCATGTCAAAAATATGGCAAACAGTCAAGGCCTTGCAATTCAAACCACTGCAATAATTAGACACGATTTTGTTTGCTGTAGACATTATTCGTTCTCCGTAGTGTACGGTATATATGCTACCTTTTGTAAAAAGTAGCTGAATCCGTATGTCTCTTTGGTATTTTCTTAATAAGCAAAACTTTCCTTTAAGTTTGTACAGAAAAAGCATCCGGGTTATCAGGAGAAAAGAGACGATTCTGTTTGGTCGTTTGAAAAGCTAAATAGTTATATCGAAGAGCATTACAAGGAATCCAAAGGCCTGGTGGATGACTGGGTTCTCACTACAATGACTGTGAGTCGTTTGAATTCCACCTGTGTATTTTCTATACGTTAAAGCTGGTGACATTTGTATCGACAGGGTTTAAGAATTTTGCTGCTTTGTAAAACTGTAGAATCCTAAGAATATCCTTTTTTTGAACAAATTTTTATCACTGCATTTTTGAAAGACTTTTGACGGCAAAATTTGCACTTTCTGTGGTTCTGAAACACCCTTTTTTTGCCAAAAATTCAGTTATTACATCTTTTTAGAAAAATTTTCAGAATTCAATACTTTCGCAGGAAAATCCAGTGTAACGAAGCATAGGTTTCCAATCTTTGCTTGGCTGGGCGTCCAAAATTCTCCACATTACAATGATGAATCAGAATTTAAGTAGAAGAGAACAAACGTGCCTCGCAGCTAGATGTAGGCCTATTTAGCACAATTTAACAAACGCTCACATAAAAAAATAAATATGTTAAGTGTGCAAAAAGATAACTTGTCTTTTTTGAAAAATTGATTCCTTGATAAATCTATGAAAAACTGTCGTTGTACTCATCAACACATTTTCCCAGATTTTAAGTTGCGAAGGCTTGAAATTTCCCCTTTGAAACGAATCAGAGTTAGAAAGTTGCGGGAGGGCTGTGGTAGTATTTCATAGATATAAGGATTGAAGCTATTGATATTTGCACGAGCTCTATTGTTTGCGCCTCTACATCGCTTTTGTGAATAATAAACAAATTATCATAGCGCTTATCGTTTATCTGTCTTGCAGGATCGAATTAAAGAGATCATGCTTATCTGTTTCAAAGCTGTCGAGAACAAACTAGAAAGGAAATGTGGATACTTTGATCTTCTTGGCTTCGATTTCATGGTCGATGATAACATGAACGTGAGTAGCAATCCCAGAATAAACTGCAGTGGGGCTTTAATTGAAGAACTATGTAGAGAACCACAAAGGGCTCCGTGATAACGAGATTTTCTGAAACTGAGGCTTCTTTAAATCAGGGCAATATTTAAGTGGACCAGATGTTTACCAAGTAAACCGGGAAGTTTGTTTTAAAGGGGGCTTGTTGGTATTGTAGACGAGTGGTCAAGGCATTAAAAATATAATGGGTTTGAGTCCAGTCGGGATCACTTTCCACAAGCTTCCACCCAACTAAACCGCAGGTTCACATTAGTTTTAGGGTGCAAGATCAACTTTTAAGGTGCAAGATAGAAAAATCTTGCGTGTTTGTTTGTTAAATCGTCAGAGGGGGTCTCTAAACCGGCATTCCGAAAAACATCGTTGCATTTATGATTGTGCGAAGCGTTGACGCGCTGAATCTTCATTTCCTTATTTTCTTTCCTTATTTTCATTTTTATTGACTTTCGAAGCATATTCTGCCAGAATTGACTGTTCAACATTTTATCGTAGATTTGGCTGCTAGAATGCAACGTGAACCCTGCTTTATTCACTAACTGCGAACCCTTGAGGCAGATTATACCAGACATTGTGGAGGAGACGCTGCGTGAGTTTTCAAGTTTTCTAATTAGTTTGACAAATCAGAATTCTTTTCTATTTCCGAGACTCGTCCTCTTTCTTTCTTTTCTTTCTCTTTCCAAGTCATTTCCTTTTGAGGCTTGGATTAGGCATTGGTTAAAGATGTATTTCACAGCAGTGACTTGGCTCTACTGACATCTATCTTTTTGCCATTGATACTTTTGTCCTTTAGAATTGTAATCTTTGACTGCAATTTCCTCTGTTTAGTGTTATTCAGAATCAAATGACCTGATCACAATACTATTTGAAACATCTCTGAATTGATTTAAGCATTGTTCTTGTAGCTAAATTATTTTTGAAGTTTATTTGCTCAAGGTGATTTTTATTGGGAGAGGTTTAAAAGGCTCTGTGATGAATTTCAGTAATCTTCCAAATCCGCCTTGAGCAGTTCCAAATGTAATGCGGGGCATTGATTCTTAAAGGCAACGGGCAGATACTAAAGTGGCTAAACACATTTGTAAAGCAACTATTTGCCAATCAATGAACGTCTCAGTGATTGGCAGAGGGCTAGAGCCACTTGAATATATGTCGAATGCCTTTAAAACGAAACGAAGGAGTATGAATATGGAGAAAAGGAATCAAAAGGTCCATGGTAAAATAACAGTGGGCCACATGGGTCTCATTTGTTACAATTTGACAAAAGAATTCACCGAAGATATCTTAAGTGTGTAGTAGTAGCCTGTTACTCGCGTACCTGTTTTAGGCCTATTGTTTTGTCTATATTTGCCTTTTAGGGAAGACTACCAGGAGCGCTGAGTTTCTGGTTTTGTCTTTCTTTAAGCAGGCAGCTAGTGGTTGTTTTGGTTTAAAATAAAGTAATGCGAGGTTTTTATTGCAGTGATCTGTATCGAAGCGTTCGAAAATAAGTGCAACAAGAAGAAGTTGAACCCTTTAGAGTCGCTAAAAACATTCGAAGTTCTCTTTGATGAAGAAAGGAAGATTTGTTTCCAGAAAGCTGAATAATCGGCTAAACTATATGATCCTCTTTGGGGACTTTTAGAGGAGCTGTACATAGTCCTGTGGGTAGAAGTTTCAGGCTTTGTAAGTATCACTATACAAGACAATTTGTACATCATTGGGAACTGTATTGTGTAGTGACTGTTGTAGGGGTAGTGGGGAGTTTTAAGACAGATTTCTAAGCTATACTTTGCTAGTACTCTTAAAAGCTGGACTTTTTGCTAGCAGCCAGTATAAAGTTTTGAACACACAGTTTTTAAAAATTTTCCAACGAACAAAAGACAAAAGTAGACACAAACATGAAGTACCGACATGTATCTTCAGTTCAAGGGGTTAACTTGCAAACTACACTCAGCAAAATGTTGGTTAAGGAGTAATTTTCCTCAAAACTTTGTACTAAACTGAAAAAGATCTCTTTTCCAAAAGCATAACGCATCTCTCAGCGCAAACATTACTTGTATTCGCATCTCTCAGCGCAAACATTACTTGTTCAAATAATTCAATCTCCTGCCTGGGGTCTAATTAGGTTTTGGAATCTGAAACCTTGCTTAGGTAGCTTAGATCAAATTATATTTAGAAATCGCAGAATTATTTCCACTGCTAGACATCAATGTAGAGCAAAAGCCTTAAAGCTCATTCTTAATGGGATACATATATTGAAAGCAAAAAATAACGTAATGTATTGTATCTTGAGAATCAACTGTCAAATGGTTGCCAAACTGGTTAGAGACGTGACAAGAAAAGTGAAAAACTAGGTCAATCTCTGAACGATACAATCGCTCATATATATGTATTTAAGGGAAACGAAATATGTAGATATAACATCAAAGTAAACAACTTGGTTTTTTTTCAGATGGATTCTTTCAGATTTGGGATTTTACCACTTTAGGTCTTGGAATATTACTAATCTTCGGGTAGTTTTGAATTGTTTTTAACAGTACTTAAATAACACATATCATAAATTAAATATATGGGACCGAATTATTTGCCTCTTTCTTTGCATATTCCTGTTTGCATTAAACAAAAGAGTTTCCAGCAATAGTTTCAGATTGGGACCAATAGAAATACTACTTCGAAGGGAAAATGTATTAAAAATCGACCAATTCTAATTTAGAATTTCATTACCGAAGTAGCAAATTTTTAACACAAAAATTGTCTTGTTATAAGCGATAAAATAAAACTTTCGATTTTCTTGTCTTCAATCACAAGCTGCCGCGAGAGATTGTTCACTTTGGAGATATTGTAAATTCAACTTTAGTCCCGGGAGGAAGGTTCTTTGCATGACTGATAATTATTTTATTCCCAACCTGCTGCCAAGTTACACTTTGGGAGGGCGAGATTTCCACCATATATCCCTGGGGATAGTGGAGTTTTTCATTGATGTACACAATACTCTGTGTACTTTTGCAGTCTGTTGACACAGAGTAGGCCAAGTTGAATCTGTGACTATTGCGATCGTACTTGAACGAAATGGTATTTCCAGCAACAGCCTGTGGAAATGTGCGACTCGTGTTGTGTAGCCAGTATTCGTGTACAGTTGCATTCTTATCACCACGAGGAGAAATGAGACAGCCAAGGTGATTCTTATCGCAGCCGTACGCCTTGTACAACCAGCCCATCCAAGACTGCATGTGTAAGTCAGTGAGATCCATTATCTCGTACATATCTTCAAATGCTTTGTTTGAGCTTCCTGCCGTCCAAAATTCAGTCAAAACCCCACCGCATTGTAGGCGCTGCAGATCTTCTTTTCGAATTTCGAACTGAAATCTTTTATTGAAGTCAGGGGGTTCATAGTAATGGTAGCTCAAAACGCTCCTATTCTTGTATTCTTCTCCCCCTGGTACTTGCTTGAACCCAACGGCGAAAAAATCCCAAGTTGCGCCTTCAAAGAACAAACTGTGCCTCGAATCCACTTCTCTGATTGCCTTTTGTAGGACCTCGTATGCGGGAGCGAGGTTCTTTTCATCCGCTATTCCAGGCGCCATTAGAGTGGGATCCCTACAAATTGAATTATTGCACGTCACATAAGAGCTCTTTGCTCGATGAAATTGTTAGCAACGCAGGTCTAGTCTACAGTACTGAATAAACTTAGCCTTCCATTTTGTACAACACCCCGACTGAATCCACTGTTCATATTTTGTGTGGCCAAGCTTCTTTCAGATTAAAATTCAAAAATTGGAGCAGAAACCCAAGCCTGTATTTCGACTGAATTAAGGTCCGGACAAGGTACTCGGGAAGAAAATCCGAATGCCTGTTTGGTGTGATATGATCCGAAGTGTTATCATTAAACACTATCATATCACAAACTGCAGGAAATTGGGTGAGGCTGTTACAAAATCTCTGTAGGTTCTGGTAGTGATATGGTGTTCGCTTCCAATCAGTTGCGTAACGGGCTAAATTTACCTTTAGTTCCAAAACTAAGGGCCCCCGACCTTTAGGGTCCCCAAGCAACAATTTTTTCTATATAATGGTACTGTGAAGCTGTGATAAACGAAAATGTAATAAACGAGTTCAAGGGACTCCGAACCTCCATGATAAATCATTCTAAACGGTTGGAAAGTCTGTTGAATAAAATTATATGTTTTGTCTTTATTGTTTACAATTGGGCGCCCCAAGCTGAAAAATTCCTGGGGGACCCCGAATACCTCTGTTGTGGCACTGCTTTCAATACTTGAAAACTCTAGCCGATTTTCAGGCAATCTTTAGAAGAAGACTTTTCAAACGTTTCTCACATAGTCAGTTGATGGATTGCTGGAATAGTATTTACCATGTGGCAAATGGAGCTGAATTTTGTGACAAAAATGAACTAAAAATAAGCGCATCAGATTTTTCCGAACGTATAGCGTTACAATAGCATTGCAAAGTACCCTAGTTGCCTCGTTGCTACTGTGGAATGGACGTTCTGCTAGCGTCGGTGCACTGTTTCTTAAAAAACTGTAACAAATGAATGCTGAGCCGTTCACCTGTAAATGTCTCCTGAAAATGGCTCGTTGATAAATTCATAACCAATGACGCTGTTTTCATCCTTGAATCCCTGTGCTGTCTTTCTCCAAAAATCAGCCCATGCATCAAGCAGACCGTCTGTGTTGTTGTACAAGTTTTGAAAAGCTGCTGCAGCTGCTTCGCTGAAGTAGTAATCCCCCCATTCGTGTTTATCACAATCCTTCTGGTATGGATAGCCAGTGCTTGGATCCAGGGGGTATTTGTCTTCCATTGGGAAGGGGAAATTGTCAGCATTGCCTGAAATAGAAGAGAGGATGTTCGGTTATTCATAATCATACAGTGAAAACCCGATAAACTGAACTTTAAAGGGAACCATAAAAAAGTTCGTTATATCGGGAGTTTATAAAACTGGGAGAAAAAGTTTTTAGGGCTTTTCGCAGTACACACCTAAAAATATATTTGGTGAGCTTGTTTAGGCTATCTCCAACCTCTGTGCACATTTTACTCCAAAAACCAAGCTGAATTCGGATAATACTACTGGTTGGTCATTGAAAATGAAGATCTTTTTTTCTTCTTATAATTTGGGACCAAGTGGTTGGCAAAGCTGGTAAAAAACGAGGGGCAATTCACTCTTGCAAATAGCGTACGAGATTTTCCCTAAAACAAAAGGATTTCCAGGGATCCTCATACAAAACGACAGGATTCTCACAAAAGGTGTACGAGATTTTCTTGGAGTGATTTGCCCCTCGGTAAAAAACAGATGAAAAATTTATGAAAAGTTCGTTATATCGAGGGTAATTTTAAAGAAGGGACCCAAAATTTGGTTCGTAATATCGAGAGTTCGTTATATCCGGGTTTCGTTATACCGAGAAAATTTGCAAGGAGTTTGTTAGGCAGAATCCAAGAAGGGACCAGACATTTCGGTATTTACACCGGGAAGTTCGTTATACCTGGGGTTCGTTATATCGGGATTCCACTGTAATTAGACGACTGCAGTGCCCAAACATGCAACGAATCGATTTTTATCGATTTGGCAATCCAACGAGTTTGAATTAAACCGTACAAATTGGCTTGACCAAAATATCTTTCATCAATGTGATGGGCACATGCTAATTTTTGTTACCTAATTTTCTTAAAGCTAGTTTGTCAGTTCGGTCTGTTTTTTAAAACTAAATAAATCTTAATTGAGAAAAAGAAAAGGGGGTCTGCTCAAGAACTCTCCTCTTGACAGAAGACAGTCTATAAGAATTTAATTGTATGTGATGGCAATAGAGGAATAGAATGTTATGGAATCATCACAATCTAGACCAACGCTCCTTACAGACTCAATAGTATTGGCTAGTATTGTTCATAGTTCATGGTACCGTTTATTCCAGTATAATATTCATTTATTAATTGTCTACAAACTAAAGAGGCAGTAGAGTAATAAGCACTTGCAATGTGCAAGCTTCAGGAGATTATGAAAACTGAAAATAGAACATGATAAAATACCTGTGTTAACCGCCCAGTCCGGGAAGCCTTCGACGCAGAATTTTGGGGACATAACATCCTGATGCATGTCAAGCAGCGTGTAGATCCCATATTTGGCAGCCTTTGAAACAATGGTTTTTATTACCTCCATATAAGTCTCGTTATACTGGCCTCGTTTTGGCACATATCCTGGCAACATCATGCCTGCAAATTAGGAATATAAACTTTGGTGAAAGTAGTCCTATGATTATACTCTCACTTGTTGTAAGAAGCTAGTACAAGATATTAAAAAATTGCAAAATGCAGAATTGTAAAATTTTGTTATTCTTTGAAAACATGATTTTCTGGTTTCCATAAAACTTCAGATTCAAGCCAAAAAGATTTTTCCAAAGCCACAGCAAATTATTCACACACAACCAACTTCCAGAAGCTTGTTTCATCTGTAATTAGATAAAATACTAAAATATAAAAATTCTTTGCCCCAGCATGCAATATCATATACAGAGCCAAAACCTGTTAAAAGATTGAGCAATGACATTGGTACAATAATAGCCAGAGCCTCTAGAATCTGGAAGGGAGCAAAAATTGAGCGTATTCCCTTTCTTCTTAAAATGATGGTACCAATGTCTTATTCGTGGTAGCGATGGGAGGTGTGGGATGTGAAACACAAGGGACGATAGAACAATATTTGGAGTGCGAGTGAGGCTCTACACAAATTGGTAAACTATATGGTTTGCAACCATTATATTGATGCTACAACCTTAAACCTTACATTAAGAGATATAAAAGAAAATGTGATGGATGGGAGGGCTACAGCCAACCCCCCATCCCGGTTCCCGCGTTTCTGTAACTCCTATCTAGGGGTGCTTCCTCAGCAAATTTTCAAAGTTGTCGGCAAATAAAGGATTCTTCACCCGGGCACACCACTCATTTGGACAGCAAATTGGACCTGGACACCCATCAAATACAAACACAACCGCCAGCTGCACCAGGGTGCATTCCATGTACTTAGGCCCGAATATCTTCGGCGTATACTCAGGTTTTTTTCGGCGTTCGGTGTGCAAACCAATAAAAAATTTTTTGGCGTATTTAAGATTTTTGTTAGTTGGCATGCTAAACATGAAGCCATGTACATAGTTAACGTAAAATAAAGACTCAAACACCACAGTTTTCTCTAATAATCAATTTTCTTTGTCTGGCGCAACAATTTTACTAATTTACAGTTTTACTAACTCAACTGCTTATATATTTTCGGCATACCTAAACCAATGCCCCGGCAGACCTTCGGCGTACAGTTGACATGGAATGCACCCTGGCAGCTGCGTCCACGGTAGTAAGAAAAAAACAATGTGGGTCTCACCTAGACGGATGACATTAAGTCCAAGATCTTGCATAATTTGCATATCAACCTCTGAAAAAGAGTCGTTTGTGTATCCCTCCAAAGTAGGGTGGAAAGGAAAGTGCTTGTACACTACATTTGTGCCATGGAAAAACCTTTCTCTCCCAAGGCTGTCGACCAGCTGTTGTCTTTGAGGATTAACCGAAATTAGTAGCGAGGTGTCGTCGTGAATAGGCTCTGCCTCAATGACGAGAAATTGGCAAATTATGGAAATCCCAAGCACAAATGATTTTGTAGCCATCTCTACAGAGGCCTGACCCAATCGTAGGCCCGCCCCGGTTCGTTCATGTGATGGAATCATGTGACAAAGAACACTTCCGCGTTTCAACCTCATTTTGGTCCTGTCCCCATCCATTGTTGGGTGATGTAGCCTAAATACACAAAGAGCCTTCACCGTCGCCCTTTACATGAGTTCTGAAGTTCATAAATCAAGTCAACACCAATTTGCACAAGAATTTCTAACATTATCCGCATGCACCCATCTTTTATAAGAACAGTTTAATAAGAACGCGAGCCTCAAAATTGGTCCAAAAATAAGAACAAGTTAAGAACAAGCTGAGGCTGAGATCACTGTAAATTGTAATTCTGAACAATTCTTTATCTTTGAAATTAGAAGCGTTTTGCCATCTAGGGGTGCTTTTTTGATAAATTTTCAAACCTCTAGGCAAATGTAGGATGCCTCGCAAACTTTGTTGGCAAACGAGGCCTGAATACCTCACTATATACATAATGTTGAATAGCAATTGCACTGCTTACACGCTAATAATTTTTCGAACAAATTATGAAAAATACATCCTCAGATATTCGAAAAGAACAGCCAGCTTGAGCTTCAATTTACTGGTTCTTATAAAAAGTGTATTTTACAAACAAATTCTAAACATGAAGACCTCATTTCACTTATTTTCACCTCCAGGTCGCTTTAGCTTTATTGAGCAATCTTCGAGTCGATAGTTAAGACAAATCATAGTATTTTACGCAGTTACCCAAATTATGCTTTGAAATAACACAACTAAGTTAAACAATTATGTACGCTTTTTGTACAAAAAATTTCTAAATGAGAAGATACAATCACCGTTACAGGGGATCGTAACAGGTAACAACCCAAGTGACGGGATCGTATCGTAAATGGGTGAAGGTTCAACAAACTTTGAGTAGGAAGGGGACGCAAGGGTAGAGACGCAAAATCTCAAGAAATTACGTCTGACTTGCACTATGAGTATAACCTGACTAATATATCTACAAAAATTATTCACACGCTTTTTTATAAGAACATTCGGCTCCAGTTTCAGCCTGGAGTTTCTTATCGTTTCGCGAAAAATTTCAGCCTCACGTGTAGATACCTACCTTTTCAGATAACCTTTGCTTGAAAAAGTAATCAATGCTGTTTTATTTTTCTGTTGCTATTCTTTCTTTTTCCTTGTATTTTATTTCTTGAGTTGAATCTCATCCTGCCTTGTTTCTTATGTTTTTTTAGGCAAATCTCAGCCTGATGTTTCTGATATTGTTCTTATAAAAAGAGTGTGTAGTACAGTGGAAAGGAGACAAAGCTTTCGTCAGTTCTACTACAGTATAGGGGGAGAGGCCTCGGCCCCTAAGTTCTTCTGGTGACAATTCGCTCTTTTTTCAATTTGATTTGCGTATAAAAACGCTGCTTTTGTCATTTGTATTTGATTTTGCCCCTACCTGATTCAGCCCTGAGATAACGAAACGCCATCGGCTAAAATGCTTAATTTTTTGTTTCTCTTTCGCTGTTTGCTTACTTTCCAACACCAATGCAAACCACCCATATAAGGACTGTGGCAAAATGTTTCCTACCCACAGGCTTGTTCCAAGAACACAGAGCTTGAGATAAGGCTTCAGGTCGGTAACACTTTCATCGGAGGGTCAAAGACAATAAGCGAGGATAGTGACGAGGAAGTTACAATTTCCTGAAAGTAACCCCTTGAACATATCTGATCTGTTACTTTAAAGATGTCATGAAAAACCAGGTCATATTTAATTAAGGCAGTCAAAGATTGTAGCTGTGAATCCCTCAGTTTTTCTAGCCACCGTGGCAACATACTACAGATTCTAGTTAAACGATGGGGACGAAATGTATTAAGCTTATAACCGATTTTAATTTGTGACGGACAACTACATTTTTGCGTATCTTAAATGCAAGCGTATCCTTTATGCAAGCAAAGAGATTAACATCAGTTGTGTGCCAAGTCATCTCTTGATGCTGAAAATGGGAAGCTGCTAATCGTTTGCATAAAACGTCTTCTTGCCTCGCTGAAAGTATAGAGATTCTGAAAATGTTAATGTCTTTCGAAAGAAAACGTTGCCACTCTTGATACTTAGACTGAGTGGAGAAATATTTAGACTTGGCTTTTTCTGGCAACTTATTTCCTTGTTGCTCTATAAATTGATGTAATAGAACAATGTGTAATGAAAAAGTTGCAAAGTCATAGCATGGTTAAACAATCCCCCGTCTATAACATAGTAAATATACAGTCATAAGTTTGAAAGAGCCTATGCAAGATTATATTTAAGCCACTGCGCATGCTCCCTGGCTGAATGGAAGCTAACTGTACTACTGGCAGTTACTCATCCATCAAGTAATGTATGAACCAGTTGGCTTTTTTCCCAGCTGGAAAAGTTGGACTAGGGCTATATGTCGATTCCACCCCCCCCCCCCTAATTCAGAAATCAGATAAAACCATAATAAATTCTTCTTTTATCCTGAATTAATCCTCTCTCCCTTTTACCCTGACGAAATACAATTAAATGAAAACGAAAGAGATTACAGGAGAACTCTACTCACTGTGTTTGGGATCAGGTCATGTGATTGTCTTAAGATTCAATGAATGCAAATGTTTCTGAAACAAGGCATCCCCCTTTTATTATGAGAATACAACTTATCAAGTTTACGGAAGAGAGGATTAATTCGAGAGTCTGAGAAAAGTAGCAAAATTCAAGAAGGAACCAAAGTCTGGGCGTGTCCAAGGAAAATTATTGTTTTCTAATAAGTTGAAGGCGGCTGTTCCCCAAAACATTGTGATAAATTGGCATCAGCAGACTTCGGTGCATGATTTGGGACAATATTTATGAGAAAATTTAAAAGCCATCAGTGCAGAATTCGGTAGTAATTTTGAAATAAAGTATTATGTTATACCCACAGCGCACCCGTTATCAAAATGTTTCCTTTCATTTCCAACAACGAAGGAATCACAAAAGTTAGAAAAAATTGAAATTGTTTTAGCATAAGAACCTTTGATTGAAAATTATTTCTTGGAATGTTGTTATGTCAAAATTTGATGTGACATGTCATATTCTGTTAATAACTACCTTATTATTTATAAATACGTGGGAAACAGTATTTGCAAGATGTTGTTATTCGTACTCTTGTATTTCACATGATAAAGCATCTTGTACTCCAATCATTTGAAAAAAATACGCAAAATGCAAATCCTGTTTCAAAATACAAACTAGAATTTTCTGTGAGCACAAAATGGTCTTTTTTGCAAATACGGTTCAATCTCTTTCTTAACATTATGATTGCCAGCAAGTTAATATTTTTTACTTACAGAGGGAATCAATAGAGAGGAGGAGGGGAAGGGGAAGTGAGCTACTAGAATCAAACGCGTAACCCACACATAATTGTCGAGAGCAAGATCTTTTTTATTCTAGAAAGGCCCTTTTCCAGGGATCCAGCATCCAATGATTGGTTTATTGCATCAGGGGTCCGCGCCACAGGTGGGCCGAGGGGGCTGAATACGAAGATACAAAACTCGATGCTTATCCAATGCAGCACAAAACTTATTTAATCACTTCAACAGTAATAGGGCAAGGGATAACTCAGTACTATACGGAGCTTCTCCGATTGAAATTGTTGCTTGGTTTCCAATCAAACTTCTAAATTCAAACTTGCTTATCCTGCTTTCGAGGAATTGTCAGATAATGTTCTAGAAAAGCCTCAGTTCTTCCTTGCATTATCCTTAGCGTAGCAGCAGGAAGAGGTACACAGCGATGTTACAGTAGCTTGTTGGATTTTGTTATCTTTTTGTTATAACTTCGGACCCCTGTGGTCAGTCGAGAGGAAGGAGTCAAGAGTCGAAGATACACGGAGCGGTCACGCAAGGAGTTGTGGCCGCATTTGAACTCAAACGAACGGTTTTTTATAGCGATTACGAATTATACATTATACTATCGACTTGTGTAAGCCATTCAATTAGTTATTTTACGGTAAATATAATCACACTAACTAAAACCTCGTTTTTAATGTTGGACGTCTTTGGTCATATTATGCCGAACCCCGTATACTACTTACAGATATAAGCTTCTACAGTTCGTGCCTTGTAGTGGTGTCTGCAAGATAGTCAAATATTCAACATAGCTAAAGGAGGATGCCACACACCCCAACCCACTCAATTTCAGGCTTGTCGGCAAATTTCTTTTGGATTCTAAGGAAATTACCTGAATGTTTCAAAGAATTAAACTTTGAAGATAAATTGACTAGGCCATTCATGCCTGAAGCAACTTTACGTGTATTTTCAAATGGCTTGAGATTCTCAAATCACTGGCAGCGGTTTGACCAACGGATACACCCTAGGAACGTCATTTCGAACAGCAAATCTGGGGATCTGCACCCCTGTCAATTTTCATTAGCTTCACCCCTGGTAACATCTTATGCAAAATGTATCTGCCCTATATTGGAGGGCACCACCGAATTAATTGTTTTTGTTGCCAAATAGCAACAGCTTTGTCAAAAACATGTCTCCCGCGTTGTTTCTCAAATCCTTGACATGGAATTCCAAATGTTTAAAAATGCCGTTCATGAAAGAAAATGAAACTGTTTTCTATATTTCGGAAGTATAGGAATCCCCTTCCCCTAGCAATAAAAGAAACTGCAGCTCGTTCCTAACTCCAGAGTTCGCCGTTGGCCAAAGGCGGACGCAACCAGAGGGGTGTTTGATTACAGGAAGAAAGAGGACTGACTCAGGCTACAAAATGACCCGGATACTTTTGCTGCTTGGTATGTTTCCAAACCTTCGTTTCTTTTATCTTTAGATCTAATCTTTTATAATTGGTATTTTAGAATGCTTTAAGTGATACGGAGCTTATCTGGCAGTTACTACTGCTCATGACATACCTAATTTCATACGCATAAAACAGTTCATTTGGCAAGGCGTCTGCTCAAAGTTTTTCTACGCAACCTCAACATTTGTACCAAAATTTTGTCATTATTGCCCAGATTTTGCACCGTTCCAACAATCTTTTCTTCAAAATTCATTTGACAATATTATTGCATTTCTCTGTCAAGAATCTGCTATGAAATTTCCAAGCAAGCAACCTTGACCAGCTACGCAGCAACGCTTTCAATGGTTTCTTCAATGCATCCGCACTGAGAACAGACAGAGCTCTGGCGTGAAAGTATCAGTTTCATTGAAATGTATAGGGCTGTTTTAGGTAGAAAGAGAAAGTGCTGAAAATAAAGCCGGAATGAAACAGCAAGCTAACTTTATAGATTTTTATCATTGCTAGAAACAGATCTTTATTTGCTCGATCGCATCGCAACAACCCCGAACGCTCATTATCATTCTCAAATGATTGTGACTATTGCTTCAGACACCCTTTCTGAAGAAACGTTAGCAGAAGTAGGGGAAGGGCAGTTTTCCATCATCATGTTTATAAGACATCTGCCAGTACTTTTTAACCGTGTAAGAAGGACAAAATGCAGGATAGGCTGTTCGCCGGATTCTGTGAATCTTGCAATGAATGATAATATAAAGGTAATATAATACAACGACGCAAAACGCAAAGCGAAACGAGGCAATAATCAAATGTTGTGTAATATAATTTTAAAATAAATTTAATGAAATAGGTGTGGCGTCACTGTTGCAACATCCTTACTTGTTTATCTTATTCTACCAGAAGAGGACACCTTTTACTTATACACTAACGGTTGGCCATCAGATCAGAGACTTTGCGCCAGGGCTTTGAACAGTTGTGAATTAAGAAGGGTTATTCCGCCAAAAAATGAAAATTGGCTCAGTCTTACGAAAGTACGCGGATCTCTTACTGCAACAAACACGGTTTCAGCCCTGAACTCTGTACCGCTTTGCGCAAGCCTGTAAAAATTGACAGGGTCAATGCACAACAAATTTTCACTTTGAAAGCGTTTACAGCAGCGATATTTGCTTTTGTTATTATTTCGGCACCGTCTGAAGATGGCTAGGCGTTGTGAGAGTCTATCTCTCCTCCTCCGCACTCTCCCGCGACACTCTATTTCCCCAACGCCCCAATTTAAGGAAGCTTCTTGGCAAATACCAAACTTAACATAAACCTTGTTTCTTTTCCTTCATTTGGAGATCTCTACTGCTCATGACGTAATCGCGTTGGCACTCTATGCTCACAAATTCATGAACTAACACTTTCACTTTCATTTTTATGCTAGCTTAAGAGGCCGCTTTCCATTTGATTCGGGCTGGTCGCGCGACTGAGCGAATGTGCTTTTGAGCATGCGCAAGATTCAACTTCCTCTTTCACTTCGAATGCGCGACCATTCGCCGAGCAGTTGAACTATTGAGCGACTGGTCGCGTGCAGCTTGAGAAAACATGGAAGGTTTGAAGAGCCAATGGACGGATCAGGAGATTGGCGGTGCCGTTAACTGGAAAGTACCACTGCCCGTCCGTAGAGAAAGAGAAAGTTTGAATGGCGCCTGAGCAAAGTGAATTTGTTGCATGACTTGAACAAGTCAAATTTAAACTTTCATTGATAATCGAATTTTCTTGGGTCGAATAGTTAACATAAACTGATGTCATTTGTGCTGCTTCCGAAGACAAAATATTCGAAGTTCCTTAGAGGATTTGGTTTAAAATTATTGCTGTTGGCGAAATACTAAAACCATTTGTTATGAGAAGGCAACTTAATTTATTAACTGATTTCATTGATTTCTTTGATTCTTTGATTTGCTTCTTTGATTTCATTACGAAATAGCTACCTCGCCCAAATCCTCTATCTACACTCTTTTTTCTATAAGAACCGGACCGGATAATTTTTGCTGAGGCTCGATGTTCTTGTTTTTGGATATTTAGAGGACTGGTGCTTTTGATATTGTTCTTATGCCAGCATTGATTTTTCTACAACTTCATAATATAAACTGTTTATGAGTCTATTAATCAATTTTGCATCACATTTTTAGTAGCAGGGTTTATTAAATGACATATGATTTTCAAAACACATTGCTTCACTTAGAATTTTTCTCCTCAGCCTTAGTGTTTTATTATGCTGTTCTTACTGTTGTGGCAAATCGAGCCCCAATAGAAAAGGATCGATGACCAGCCCCTTGCCTTTTAAATTTTGTATCCTGCTTTGGCAAAACTTGTGCTAATCATGTCACGTTCTATGAACGATTCTTTGACGTTGCCTGAAAAACGTTTTCTGCCACAAAACCAAAAAACAGAGGATTCAGGCTTTTAAGTTTTATCAAAAAGTGCTAAATTGAGAACTGCCAAACCAGTGAAGTAAATAGGCATAGTCGTAGGTGGCTGGGAGGGTTCCTGCCCCACAAAATGTATCGCATATCATGATTTAGGCTTAATTCATGCAGTTATATTTCAATGAAGCAATCATATGAGGGGAAGATCTAAACTAAACCCCCTTAAACGTATACGCTACACCCATTTATAAAGGGAGGTGTCCAAATTCCGCAACGCAGAAAAAGAAGTAGGAGAAAGAACATGAAAGCAGCGGTGTGGTGCTAGAGGGACTCAAGGGGGCTGAGCCCCCTTCCTAATTGGCAAATTTCTACTTTTGATAGTGTTTTTCGCAATATTTTGTCCTAGAGCCCCCTTTGTTATTTTGATAACATTACACCATTGCATGAAAGATTCCACAAAATATAAATATTTATGGAGTTCCCCCTTCCTCAATAAAGCTACTCTGTCTCTTCTCGTCAGACATTTATTTCAGTTGCGTGTTGTTCAATGATTTATCGTTTTGTTTATTTATTCAAACGATTCTTTTTTAGCTGCAATGCTGGCAGTATGCTCTGGCGTTCAGCTTATGGATAAAAGAGACATCGATACTGATTGTGTAGAGGTAAATATTTCTAAACACACATTTCAACTTTTGAGCCATTGAGAGCAGAAAACCATTCCATAACTCCACAGTGATGCATTCCACCCCACCTGTGATGTAAATTTCTCGAACAATCATTCTTTGAATTTGAAAATTTGCACGATTTCTCGTTTCTGTCTTATTTTAAGTGTTAGTAAGGTTTCCGTACCCCACCTTCAAAATCAGTATTGCTCAATGGCCGGTTTTCTAGAAGATAAAAGGAGGAAATTTTTGCAGTACTGAACTGCGAAAAGGAATATAAAATCGTTTTAAGTTACACCAAGCTTCTTACGTTGCTAATATTGATGGGCTCAAAGGGCACCTTCTAGCCCCCCTCCTAATAACTAAGATGGGTAAAGCTTTTGACCCCTTTTTATACAGAATTTTTTATGTCAGATTATAGGATTATGCGTCTTTGAGAAAAAGTTATCAGCTTGCTTAGGTATTCTCATCTCCGTAGCAAGTTTCCTTTTCTACAATTTTCATAATTGTCAAGTGTTCATTTGGAGCCAGGTAGATCTTCTGCTTTGCTGTGGACGGAGACCTGAACAATTTTTTAAAGATGCTCTCGATCCATCCAACAGCTGTGACGATTAAATGATTGAAAACCGGGGCATATAAAGATAACAAGGCTAACAAATAACAATGTTCTTGCCGACGGAATATCAGTAGCATAACAAGCATAACATAACAAAGCATATCAAAACAAGTATTTGTAACGTATCTATAATGAGTACCTTCTTTGGAACTCATTGACTTTTTTATTAAATATGCCATATGTCCCGATTATATCCACATTTAACATAGGGGCAGTTCAATCTTGTTAAAAGCCTACGTGATTTTCACAAAAACATAATGATTTCCAAGAATTTTCATTTAAATCGATAGAACTTTCAACGTAGGTGCAAGAGATCTTCATACAGTAATTTGCCCGGCTAATTCAACTGCTTTTATAGCCACCTAAATTACCTACAAATACTACTTTAAACAATTATCAGTTATTTTAGCATACGCATTTTCTGCAACTGAATATGATCTTAAATGCCATTCGAAATTTGCAGAGTTAAGGTAAAACCCTATAAACCTGTATCAGCATTTTTGAGGAAAATTGATTTCATCAGCCAAGTTCCCCTTAGGTTGGTAACTCCTTAATGTACCGTACCGTAAACGGTCTGTTTGGCTAGGGGGAATTTTCTATCTTTTCAGTCCCAGAGGGGGCTTATTAGAGAGGGAACTTATTAATACATGGACCGTATTTAATGCACACGATCTTTTCGTCATCACACCCGTCAAGAGACCTACTCGATGCATATTCTTTCTTTCTTTGACATCGGAGCTTAATAGAGAGGGGGGCTTAATAGAGAGGTGGGCTGAAACATAGTGTAGTTAAATTTTGTAAACCTTTTTAAGACTCTGATGGAAACAATATTTTTGTTTTCTCAGGGGAAAATGACGAACAGTGAAGATGTTGACGATGCTATTAACAAATGCTTTAAAGATGCACCAGATCCAGCATTACAAAGCGATCCAGCAGGAGAGATGATCGCTCTCGAGAATAAATACAAGAAACTAGTTGCAGAATACAAGAAAGCAATGAAGAAATCTGACGAGGCTGCGGTTAAAAGCACAAGCTCAAAGGTTTCTAGTGAGGACCAAGAAAATGAGGCAGATGAAAATGATGAGAATTCTAAAGACAGAAAGCTAGAGTCAGGTGCCGGTCAAAAAGAAGAAGAGGACAGCGCCAAAAGTGAAGAAGACGAGCTGGATGAAGAAGAAGCACCACAACAGGATGACAATGATCCATCTTCTGCTGAAGGGTCTGAGAAAGAGTCTGATGAAAAACAAGAGGAAGATGAGTTAGAAACGCCGTCAAAGCAGAATGAGGTTAAAAGCACCTCAGAAGTTTCTGAACAGGATGAGCTCGAAGAAGACCCAAAAATTAGCGAGAGGGCTTTGGATGTTCCATTAGAAGATGCCGAAGAACAGTCAGAGGAAGAATCGTTAGATGAAGAACCATCAGAAGAAGACTTCCCTGAGGAAGAATTGTCAGATTCTGAGGATGAGCCGTCAGAAGACATAATGGAAGAGGATGTTGCTGAAGATGAAGATCCTGCAGCAGAAAATCAGTTTGAAAATGTAGACCGTGACTTAGATGACAATTTTGACGATAAAAATGAAGCAGATGGCAGCGTTTCAGACTCACAAAGCTCTGATGGTGATAGCGGTAGGGGATTTTTTCTCAAAATGTTAAAATATCTGTTTGAATTATAAAGGCGTTACATAAAGCTGCATTTCTTATAATATCTTTGTATTGGTTTTGTTGTTTGGGCTTGAGATAATAACATTTTAGCATTTTGTGGCCGAGAAATATTATGCTCTAGAATATCTTCGTTACGTTTTGCCAGTTATTCTATTATAAAGACAGAAGCTCGTGAAGGCAACACAACATATGAATGTAGCGCTATTTTGAGACAAAAATCGTTATAGAACTTTCCATTGCTGCTTTTTCTGCTGACAGGAGCCTTTAAAAAGGAGCCACGAGCTTGGGGAAGAAGCAGAAGGGGCTGGTCATCTAGGCGTAGCTGGTCAACAAGGCGAAGTTGGTCAACAAGACGAAGATGGTCAACAAGACGGAGATTTGTCAGTCGAAGAAGATTTGTGTCTAGGCGCAGATGGTCAACACGGAGAAGGTTTGTAAGCAGACGAAGATTTGTGACACGACGCAGATGGTCAACACGAAGAAGGTTCATAAGAAGACGAAGCTTTGTCAGAAGAAGAAGCTTTGTCAGAAGAAGAAGTTTTGTCAGAAGAAGAAGTTTTGTCAGAAGAAGAAGTTTTGTCAGAAGAAGAAGTTTTGTCAGAAGAAGAAGATTTGTCAGAAGAAGAAGATTTGTCAGAAGAAGAAGAGTTGTCAGAAGAAGAAGAGTTGTCAGAAGAAGAAGATTTGTCAGAAGAAGAAGATTTGTCAGAAGAAGAAGAGTTGTCAGAAGAAGAAGAGTTGTCAGAAGAAGGGGCTTCTTTAGAAGAAGATCTCTCACAAGACGTCGCAGATCCTGGTTCAGAAGAAGAACATCAATTCGAAGAAGGACATGGAGAAGAAGATCGATGGGAAGACGTAAGGAATTCTTGAAATAACTGAAATTGACTTCTTTATATAAAGGCTATTATTATTGAAGCATAGGAAACTGGAGCTCTGCCAGATCTTTATTTTGTGATGAGTGATTCCATTGCTGCAACGAGATAAAAAAGACGACGAATTTCCTTGAATTTGACGTTACGGAACGATTTTATCTAAAGAGCTTATTGGCTCAACTTCACGTTATGTACACTAACTTTTACCTGATAACGTCGTTCCAAGATCAAAGGAGAAATTCTTCATTAGTTACTTTGTGAAATTGGTTTCTTCTTACTTCCAGCTGGCAAACCAACTGTAAATGGATGCAGCATACCATTTGGAATGTACTTCCCGTACAAAGGAACGTTCACATCAGCTTGCAACAAGCATGATGTTTGCTATTACAGAGTAAGTATCATCATTATCATCATCATCATCATCATCAGTCTATGTTGAATAAATTTGAAAAGTTTGGTACAATATCGACATTGCACGGGTTTTTCATGCTGATGTGGGTCAAATGTTTCAAATTGAGTCGTTCAGTGTGGAGCAAAGGGGCAAATTGTCATCGCCCTGGGTCAAAGGGAATGCCATAAAGTAAATCCGACCATTCATTTTTGGGAACAAGGAACGTTGTTTAAATAAGTTTCAAAAGCTTGACTGATTAGTTCCCAGAACAAACTCTAGCTGCAAAGCAAAGGATTTGATTACACAAAATAGGTGGAGGAGATCCACTTGGCTTGTCGTTGGCCATATTTTTACGCTAAATACAAGGATATACATGGTATCTCTTGTGTTTCCATTTCAATTATTTAAAACTGAAGCATCTACACTTTTCTACCATTTGAGATTTTTATTCAACCAAATCATGGTTGCTCTTAATTATATTTCATGACCTTGCTGATAACTCTGAAGTCTGGCTCGTTTTTTCACTGGTAATTTAAGCGCATTGAACCTTTTTTCTAGGAGGCAATCAACAGAAAGCGATGTGACAACAACTTCTATAGAAGAATGCTAAATAGTTGCAAGAGATATGGTGCAATAAAACGGTTCTTCTGTAGACGGTTCGCAGGAGTTTACTACGGTGGTGTACGAATAGGTGGCAAGTCCCACTATGGTTAACCGAACAGCACCTTTGTTTACCTCTTGTTACTGTCATAAACCATTTTCATAAGCATATAGCCAAGATCAAAGAGTATGTTAATTTGATACTAAGTTATTTTTGTAATTTATATAAGATAAAGTCCTTTGTAATTTCAATTTTCTTAAACTAATCTTGCTGCAATTATCGCCAATAGGTTTGCTTTGTAATTCTGTTATAATAGCTCTCAGAATGAAATTTTTGCCTAATTTTCTCCTTTATTATTTTGAGATATAACTTTAGTGACAAACGAGCATAATAGTCCAAACGCAATTTAAGATAACTTGGCCTCGTTAGTCACTGTGATATTCATTACTTCCAAGACTGTGATGTTTGGTACGATTCTTTCTCCTTACAAAGACAGACTGTCTATACAGTATGTTTCGACTCTCGTATAAAAGTTTTCTTCAACTTTTGCCTCTGAATTAATCGCAATTGTGTTATTGAATCGGGGATATTTGCTAATTCTTCTTCAATTTCATAGGTTTCTTAAAATCAACAACTTTTGAAAAAGAAAACAGCAATCCAATGTTTCCCGCGCGTTTTTCAACTAGTTGGCACCTAAATAAAAATAGCAAACAACAGGAATTCCTTCAGTATTTCAACGTGATCGAAGGATTGCTTTAGGAAAACTGAAAAAAAAGAAGCATCAAAATTAAGCGCATGAATCGTTCATCATGGTTGCGTCTTTCAAAGTATTATAATTGCAACTAGATATGATCACTGGTCCCATGAGACATACCAGATACTCATCAAGCCAAACCAGATACTCATCAAGCCAAATCAACGCAATCTCAAGATACCCTTTCCAAGCATCTTTGCAAAAGTCTTGTCAACTCTGGAACGCTCTACCCTCTTCCTGCTTCTCTGACTCTTATGACCTGTCTTTATTCAAATCTAAAGTTAACCAGCTGGAATTTTCTGCCCTCTTTTCCAAACACCTTTCTCTTTTTCCTTCTTAGGGCTTCGCTGTAGGCTTCCGGGCCAGTCCCTAACATAACCAACTAAAAAGGAATAGAAAAATTAGTATCATCAAAGCCATGTCATCAGTCGATATCCAATACTCCATGATTTCTCTGTCTTGGAATTTTTCATACTTTCTTTGAATGTAGCATTCATATTCTTATGCGTGTCAAAATATCTAGATTTTGGGATTTTCCACAATTTAGCTGTTGAGACAAATATTCAATGTCATTATAAGAAGCTAGATTTTCAATATTGGGGCTCTTTCGAATTCAAAAAACGTAACACTCCGCCTAAAATTCTATTTAATACATTACGTATATGAATTATGAAAAATGTCCACTCGAAAATTAATATCAAAAGAAGCTTATCAAAATATTCATTTGAATATTAAAATTTGTTTATCAAATATTGTCTGAAGTTAGTCAAACTTACATCAACACGTTTACAATTAACAATTAATGATTTTTGCTTTATAAATAAATATTGATGTGACCGAAATTGCTGCCTTTAACTTGATTTGGAAAGAATCGAACTTTGATATTAAAGTTTTCAGATTAGGAAGAGACAACAAAATTAACTGTTTGAATTTACACATTCCAAGGAAGTTTGTTCCAAAAATCTATCATAATTTATCCTAAGTTTTACTAGTAGGTGTGTTATAAAGCCGTTTCTTATATATAAAAAACGTGTAAACAAGAAAATACACATTTTAAACACAAAAAATACTCAGTCTAAAAAAAAATTTGTCTTGCTATATTTTTCTATGTTGCGAAAAGTTTCGGACATTAAAAATTTCGAGATTGCTAACAATACTAATCAAACTTAAAGATTAATAAGTAAACACAGACAAATCCCTTTATACAAAAATCTTTAAACTTGACTAAATGGCTGCTAACCCTTCAGAATTTGTATCCAGAACAGCTGGAAACAAGGTAAAAGCCTATTTTAGATAAATTTGATATTACACCCAACCTAAACAAAAAGGCAGCAAATGGAAGGATCGGGCATAATGTTACCCTACATATTGTAGAATTTCATTTCACTAGGGGGTTCTTATATTTAGCTGATTCGTTTAGGTTTTTGTATGGGTAAGGTAGAGCAACCTGTGCCGATGCACCAGCAGCCCAGTAGCGTACCCAAGGGGGGGGGGGGAATGGAGGGGTCCGGACCCCCCCCACTTTTCTGAAATATGGTCCTCGAGATTTGTCCAAAAACGATGTAAAACTCATTGGGGGGGATAGTATACTGTATGCTTGTGTCCATAACAATTGTAAAATGCTTTGCTATTTACCGTAGCTAGCATGAATCAAATAATGGGGGAAAATTTGCAAAAAGGGCGTTCCTCGCATTTGCGAGTGTTTGAAGGGCGTGGTCCAAAAAAATTCTAGGGACTGCGTCCCAGACCCCCCCCCCCCAGTGCTACAGCCCTGGGTACGCCACTGCAGCAGCCTAACGTTGCTTCCTTCAATGAGGCAATGTAACCTCAAAACCTGATTTGATGAGGGATGTGGCAATATCTTCTGAGGGAGCTTTATTTATTTCATGGAATTCTTTTGTTGATGTTTTTTCCCCGAGGAAGATGATATAGAAAGATCTGTTTGCTCATTCTGTAGAATCTGATATCCTTACACCATATGATATTGTCAATCTTAATTAGTGCGTTCACTGATGGCAATTATGCTAAACTTCATTCTAAAGCCTATTGAAGTCAGGCCAGGGATCATGAAATCTGATATGATGAAATCAAACTTTGTACTCGTACATTTAAACTGGTTGTTTTGCCAAAAAATGAATTAAGTCTCATATGTGGCATCAATCCACGCATTAACCAAGCAAGCGATTTCTACTCATTGTCTCTTGGGCTTTTATTGCCAAAAGCTAGAGCTCTCGCCTCGTCTCAATGGAAAATTACCTTTGTAATGTCGAGTTGCAATTTTCTGTGGCTGGATTTCATCATACTATTGAATTTCGTTGGAGCAAAACGAATCTTTTCAACTATCGTTCTTTTATTGCGGTAAGTCAACCAAAGGTCGAGATAGCATAGCAAGATCATTTCCGCTTTGATTTCGTTTATACGCAGAGAACGTAAATGGCAGTGTCTTCACTATCTACTAATAAAACGTGAGCAAGTTAAGAAAAGGGGATAAGGAGCCTGAACTGGAAAGATATAACAGTGAGTATTAAACATGAATCATTTCATCTAAAAGTTAGATAGCCAGTGATTCGATTCCAAATATGTCCTTTCCTAACGTCATCACAAATATATAAAAAGCTGTTGGGCAAGTTTTCTACCACTATGATATTGACTTCCAAAAAAACGTCAAGCTTCCCACGAGCTTTAGGCGCAAAGTATTGGCAAGTTTCTAACTTTTCAGCAGTTTTTACCATAGAAACTTGAGGTCATGTTCGCATAGTTCGTGTCCCTTTGTATTCTCCTTTAATTGGTCTGCCACCTTTGTGGTAAATTGATCCAATACTGTTATGACTTTACCTAAGGAAACAGGGGTAAAGGATGGGGTAAGTGAATGACAGAATGTAGCAATATTCTGTATGAAATATGTAGCGATAGGTTTCTTAAGGGGTTTCGGTGACCGTTCAGCATTTTGGTCTTCGAGGAGCCTTTATTTAATAGATTTTGGCTCTTGCTTCTCAGAAGAATAAGAGTTTATTCAAACAGGAACTTTGACTGTCATGACGTCATAATCTAGATCTTGAGATGGTATTTCTATTGAAACTTTTTTGGTTAAAGCAAGAGTGTTCTTTCTGACAACCTTATTTTCAGTACCGTAGTTTGCCCCGCATAAAGGTTCCACTACGCAGGCATGAAATAAGTAACATACACGCAACTCCTAACATGAAATGCTAAAACATATGAAGCCTGCAGGCTTCAGAATTGTGTTCGTGCGCATGTAACCACGGCGTGAGATTATTGGTGGGGCGCCATTATTTGAAAACAGTAGAAGAAAAACTGATTGTTCATCAGAAACAAAAGATCTTTATTACTTTGTAGAGTCACGAGCCCCCTAAAAATCAGGAACATGTTAGAATTCTTCATGGTCTTTACCTTATTGAATATTAGATCACCCACTCAGCTTCTTTCCTATGGCAGTGAATAAAGAAGTCCAGTTCCATTGAGAGAAATTTTATGAGTCAGAGAGACAATCATATCATGCAGCTAAAGCAAGTTAAATTTTTTAGTCCGCCCCAAGACACCATTTGTTTGCGCAGTAGGCAAAAGTTACGCACACGAGAAAATCTTGAACTATTTATAACGATCTATTTGCCGTGATTCATTAAAAGCACTTTTGCTTCTTGGCAGCTGTGTCTACTCCTCCAACATTACCCTTTCGTGTTAGTTTTATTCATTTGCGGGTATATGATGGTATTATTTCTTCACAACAAACTAACTAATGGCAAGCCTTGAGCCCTGAACGTTTTGTTTTAGTTAGGGGCTTGTTCATTTTTTGCACTATGCTTGTCAAGTTGCTTATGTTTGTAAGCCAATTCAAGTCGACAGAGCACCTAAGATAACAAATATTTGAAACCAGCTTCAAGTCTTTTTGCATTTGAATCAAATAATAACTGACTGTTCATAACCATAGAGGATGATTTTTAACAACTCTTAAGTATAAAGATTTATCAAACCAACACCAACAGACAACAGCATTGCATTTACACTGTTGAGGAGATCATGTTTATTTGCATGGCAGAGAAGGAACTAGTGTACAAAAATATCCCTTGCTTTCTCAGTCTTTTTGCATTTTGTCATGCCTAGAATATGGGAAATGAAGTTTCATAAATGTAGACGTTAGACAAAATTGCTGAATTTTTATTTTCACAAAGGTTTTTCAAAATTTGAAATAAGAATATTTCTTGAAAGAGTGAACATGACGTGTCAATGATGCATCGATCTTTGTGTATCCCTATCATGATTATCACAAGGTCCGTTTGATAGAGAATCTCGACTGCTAAGAACACCTGCTCTGATTTGAAGTTTCTTATATAGAGAAAATAACTTGCTTTTAGCTTTTTCCCAAAGATCGGTTCTACATTACGCCAATTCATAGTTTCCCAGGGGGCTTGAGTTTTCAAGCATCCCCGTATCCAGCGCCTATATCCATCTCAATGTCCCGAAAGTTCAAGTTTATAATTAAATATGCTTCTACAGCAACTTGTTTTTGTGTAAAAGACGAGGGACATTTGGAAGAATCAATTAATAATGAAGAACGCGGTGATAAGATAAGTCTAGCTTAAAAACCTAGCTACGTTCATTTCACCTACCACTGATACGCACCGACCTGGACGTAGGTCTTCATTTGAGATGTTACACAGTTGAGAGGCTAAAAATTTTACACAACTGTGAGAAGTTACATAGTTGAAATGAACGCACGCGATCCTGATGGGAAACGTAGGGGGAATCCTAAAATGGTCATGGAAGAGGTGATAAGGGGGGTGGGCTGACTTGGCCCTTCATGCAAATCCATATAATCTTTTGATAGCACTTTTCATACCTCTGTGGTTTTAGGAAATCAACCTCGCTCTTTGGATGCTTCGTTGGAATTTTTATTATAAAAATAAAGTTTACTTTTTCAGTAACATAGAATTGATCAGCCCCAGTCCCCCACACCTGTATCCAATCGGGAGGTTTCGCATTACCTAAAAAGCATGCGCAAACTTCATTGTTTGGGAGAATGAGCACCTAAAGGACAATTGCTTCCAGTGACCCAGTCTTTTCCACGGATCAGTAATCCTTCCTCGTTTTTGGCTGTGAAATTTGCAATCTCCGATGCAAATGCTCACAGTTGACTTGGAGGATTTACCATTATCCGCCTTCCCAACACGCGAGGGAATTTTCAAATGTCTCAAATCTCTTTGGTAAAACAGCAACAGGGACTCCGATGCAAGGGGGAAAAGAAGAGGTTGCCATGATCCTGCAATTGCAATAAGCCCTTCTGATTTGCAAAACAGTTGGAAGCCGTCTTCGGAGGCCCCCCAGAGTCGGCATTCTTGACCAGGGCATCAGATTATAGACAATTGCTGTGCCCTGTGGGGTGTTGTATTAGGGGTATCAGGGGCACGTGCCCCAGGATGTAGAGCTGGGGGGCTCAGGGAGCCGAGTCCCACTTGTTGATGCCGAAATTTGGAAAATTTCTACTATTGTTTTTCGCAACATTTTGTGCAAGAGCCCCCCTAGTTATTTTCATAGCATTACACCAGTGCACGTGCCCCCAATTTTTGGAAACAGACCTACTTGAGTTCTCCTTCAACTCTGAAAGTGCTTCCGACATCTTTGTATGAGCAAGTTCGAAGCAAGCCAGATAGGCCACCAGATGTGAATGCGAACTCAAAGAACCGTACTACCAATCAGTGGCGGATTTAAGGGGGGGGGGCAGTTGCCCCTCCCTCACCGAATTGAAGGAAGTCTGGCGCCCCTTTTGAAAATTGTGCGCCCCTTTTCAAGAATGAGAGTCAAGTGAAAAACTTTCTGAGACGTATAGGTTGATTTACTTCAAGGATTACCTCAAAGTATACAAGGATTTTTGTGAAAATTCCCTTACAAAGTGAATGGAGAGCCTTCTATCAGTAGTTAGGGACTGAAATTGTTGTATACAGCGTACACTTGTTACCAATTTTTGAAATTTTTCAGCACCCACACTACCAACTGTCCCTCCTTCAAATTTGCTCTGGATCTGCCCCAGCAACCAATTTCTTTAACTTGCATCTCTGCTATTCTTGCTTGAAGACAATTGGTGATCTGTGATCTAACTCAAAGCGTTATTACGTATGACACTAATAGGAGAGCTATGGTTTCGTTTAAAACAAGAAACCCAGCAGCACCAGTCGCTGAAGTGAGTTCAGCACTGAAAGTGTATTGATTAAAAATCGGGTATAATAGAGGCTCATTTGGTGATCTCGAGAAAAGGCTTTGGACACTGTATATCACATGAATTCATAGCACGTTTATTCCTTTTTCTGTTTTTTGTATCTTAGGACAAAAATATTGATAAGGCCCACAGAAAATTGAAGTTCAGGCTGGCTGTTCTTAATGTTTTCGAATAAGTTTAAGCTGGATTGTTCTTAATTTTTGTGTAAAGAAGTGTAAAGAAGAGTGCAAAGAATAAAGAAACTGGAGCAAATTGATATATCAATGGGCCAAAACTGCAACGTTAGCAAGGTTTTTGTAAAGTTTACAGTCGCTCATTAGATAGGGAAGGGCTGCATGATGGCCGAAGCATTTAGATGGGGCCCGGGCGGCCGGGGGGCACTGAAATGACTCAAGATGATTTATTATCATGAGAGTGTAGTTTTACTTTTAAAAAATATTCTGATCTTGACAAGTATAACAAGATAAGCAAAGATAATTATCTTTATAATCAGAAAAGATGGATAAACAATCTTTATTTGTTTTGGTAGTGTTGGAAAATAATGATTTGATTGTGCTGATGATAAGAAGGCCGTGATCTCTGACAGTAGGGATGTCTAAATTTTTTGAATAAAGCTGTTGTACAATTTTGAACCTAATAGCTCTGGTAATGAATAATAGATGAGGCAATATAAATTGGGCTGTTTTGGTATAATTATAATACGTTAGCGTGGTATGGATAGAGAAATTCAATTTCAACGAAGAGCTGGTGAAGCCTTATGCACTGTTTACTATTTGCTTGCGAAGTCTTAACCAGTTCAAAAGTTTGCACAGTGTAAACAATACAGCAGGTTTTTGTAGCTGTCTATATCACTTTAATAATCAAAAGCAAGGAGCTTCAAAATTGGGATTGGGATCGACACAAGAAGACAGAAAAAGCTCCCCCAAAATTTCGTCACACTGAGAATATGGAAGAACTCACTCGCTGGCGTGTTGACAGATTGATCGACCAGGAGATAACTGCACAGTTAGATCATTGACTTGTATGTTGCTAGTCGTCTTGTGAAGAAGTCAATATGGCAGACGAGGAAGGTCGGCTTCCTCCTTTTTCGATCAAGAAAAAACGCAACAAGAAGCAAAAGATTCAAAATTTTGTAGCAGGAAGAACGAGAAGGCGAATAAACTCCGAGAGTTCCTCAACATTGTCGGAAACTCGTGCAAAATTTATTCGATCGTCCTCAGTTTCAACCAAAAAAGGTATTTGTGCTGTGTACACATTAACGATAATATCTTATCTAGGTATATCCAGTAAGTCTGTAAATCTGTTGTGCAATCTTTAGAATTTACTTTTTTAAAAGCTGGCCTGCAAGTTCGTTCCTAAATCAAACCAAAGGTGGAGTTTTTGCTAGATTTTGAAGCTCTAGCGCGCGAAAAATCCGAAATTTGTTAAGAGACCTTTCAAGTCATTTTTTGTATAGGTTTCGAATACAAATATGGAATGCTACAAACATTTATTTTTCATTAAAGACTTGTTATTTTATACCATTTTGTTATGAAGATGCAACTTAATTGGTAGAACCCTTTTTAAGGTATTTTTTAAAGCGAATATTTTTCCCTAATTTTTTTCGATGAGCCAAGAAAGTTTCGACTAGAGGAAGGTGGGAGGATAGGGGAGTCTCGATATCCAGTATTTCCTTCCATAAATACGAAGACACAAAGCGGAGATATAAATCTCATGAAAACTTTATTTGAAAAGCATAACACCGTTGATTTTTCCTGTGGAAACGAATAAAAGGCAGTTAACAGCTTTCCCATAAGCAACCTTTGTTATAACTTCCGCGAAAAGTTGAATAGGAATCACAGATTCAGAGCGCTGAAAACAGAAGCTGATCGCCCGACACGGATATTTTCGGAGGTTATCGGGTCGAACCGCAAATCAGCATGGAATTGTGTAAAGAATGAAAACGAAGTGTTTCATGTTTAAATACTAGTTTTGTTATGTTGTCACAATGTTTATGTAGTGTATGATAACAAAGTTTTATAAAGGGATTACAAAGATAGGCCTAAGTCCAACTACTTTTTTGAAGGATGGCATCACAAAAAAATCATCTTGGTAAGACGGGTTAGCTTTATTTTTTATTCTGAAAGCAGCAATTATGAATTAATTTTAATTTTTAGCTTGCGCTGAAGTTTCGTCAGCCAAGTGTAGCCACTTTCGGCTGATAACAATGGCGATAATATTTTGTTTGCTCTCATTGAGTATAGTGTAGGGCATGCAGTAGGCCTTCGCGGAAGATTAAAAATCGATCAAATATCGACAATGAAACGCGTAAATTCTGACCACTATTTATGCGCATTTATTTACAAGCAAACGATCTACAAGTGTGTAAACGTTGTTAACAGTCAATCAATGCAAATGGGCCTAACTTGGGTGATCAATTGGACGATGAAATTAACTTTTTTCTTTTCACGTTATCGGCTCTAATTGCTAGCCCTATACCTATTCTTCTTAATTTCAGTCTAAGTTAAGAAAAAACTTAAATTCGCTGTGATCTTTATGCTACCGGTCAAAAGCTGCAAATATTCTTATCAGAAGAGCGATACGTAGCGATAACGACATAACAGAGTGTTGATATTAAGAAAAGTACGAGGCTTTAAAATGGTCTTTCGAAGTGCTCTTTATATATGTTCGGCCCCCGAGAAGTCTTCGCTGTACAGAATCATTTGCGGGATGCTTTTGCAGGCCACTCGTTTATTTTTAAATTAAAAACAACTCATACTCCGTATTTAAAGGAAAGTATTTAATTTAATCATATTTAGGTAAATTGTTCAAGTTTTTTTATTATCTGTAGATGTGATATAGTCCTGTTTTATCACATTTTGTAGTATTTTATTTGATCAGTTTGTTATAGGTGACACTCTTTTCTTTTTAAAAGAACAATTTTATAAGAGAACACGAGCCTCAAAATTGGTCAAAAGTTAAGAACAAATTAAGAACAAGCTGAGACTGAGCTACTGTAAAATTCTATTTTGAACAATGCTATTATCTCAAAAATGAAGATTTTTAGCAATGTGTGGGTGCTTTTTCATGAAATATTCTTACTTTTCAGCAAATGAATGTTGTCTCACTCACTTTATTGACAAATGAGGCCTGAACACCTCCCTTAAGCAATTTAAGAACAAATTAAGAACAATTCAGCCTTGGATTTTTGAAAAAACTAAGAACAGTCAGCTTGAACTTAATTTTGCTGGTGTATAGTTATTTTTGGGTGTATAATTAAAGAAGAAAAGAGTGTAAAGTTATTTTTGGGCTCTTTAAAATTTCATCCTTAATGCAAACAGACTGGAAAATATGTCAGTTTATACCAAAACTTTGCGAGTGCAGAGTTGCTTTTGATTTTGAGAAAGTTGAAATTTGTAAAAATGTAGGGTTTGTATGTGCCATGCCTTGCACACATGACCAGTTAAATGAAACAAAGCCTTGCAGGTTATTTTTTTCCAAACAAGTATTAATTGGATTTTCAGGAAATTCTACCTGATCTTCTTGAGTATTTTATATAATACAATAAGTGGACTTACACAGAAGTTGATAATAAATTTCTGTGCTATCTTCTTATTTTTGATAGCCAATTTTGAAATATGATAAGAGAAAGTAGGAGTAAGAAATACACTGACAAAAAGCAAACTGGTCAGATTTCTCTGACAAAGAGATAACTTTTGAGCAAGTAACATTTATTTGTAAATACAGGTCAAGGTTCTGGTAGCTCATTTAGAGCTGATCTGGGCCTGCAGCCCCCCACCCCCAGATTGATAAACTATACCAAATACCTTGAGTACGTGTGTATACATACCACAAAAGTATGTTCCAGTCACTGTTTATTTATCTTACCATTACTTAAGAAGACAAAAGTGATGTAAATTTTTTCCCATGATATTCATTTTTAGCATTTTTAGACTTCCAGCAATAAGTTTAGTATTTTTAGATATTGTTAGAGAATTCTTCAAAATGTTCTTATTGAAGAACATCTAGATATTATTGAATGTATTTTAACTGTACTTGGAGATTTTAACCAACTTAGTTATGTTAAAGGAATGTATTAGCTACTTCTGTAAAGTGCAAAAAGCAGCTGATTTTGAAAAAAAACCAGTTGTATGTTCAAGATCTACTGGTTTAATCATACTTTTAAGGATAAGTGTTTACTAAAAGATTGCAATTTATTAATGTTTTCTATTTCTATTCCCTTTATCTCAAGTCTAATCTCAGTTTTATACAATTTGCTATCATTTGACATGAAAATTGTTGTTTATTCTGATATGGTATTTTAAATATGTGTTTGCCAAGTTCATTGAAATGTTTTTTCCCCTAGTTGCAGAACCAATAGTAGCACCAAATTCAGATGCTGGTAGCAAAGCAGAAGACAGATATGTAGAGGTTTGCTATTAGATCCATACAAATTTCATTTTTTAAAACTCTGCTTATTAGATTTACTTTTTCTTGTTTGGTATTGTTTGTGAAAGGTGCTGCAGATGATATTGACTCTACAAACTGAATGATCTAGAGTTTACTGTGTAACACTGATTTTACTTTTTGTTACCGGTTCTAGCTGTTTGGAAGTAGCAGGTGTTTAGGTAGAGGAAGTTCAAATGGAAAAGACATGATGAAAGGAAATAATAAAAGGGACTGCAGAGCAGTATGGAATGTGGATGGGGGGTTAATCATACTTTAGGGGGGGGGGGTAAAATAAGTAGGAAAATTATATTGTTAAGACTCAGAAGGGGTTGGAGTGGAAAGGAAGCTTGTAGAAAGGGGTAGAGATTAGGAAGGGAAAACGACTCCTCCTTCACAATGTATTTGCTGCTCTTTTGAGACGTTTGAAATTCCTCTACACCACAAGACTGCTGTGTCACTTCTGTTTAAATTTGATCTGTCTCTTTTGGGCCACTCAAAACATGTTGACCTTGTGGCTTGTGATTAAAATGAAAAAGAACATTCATTGTTTCAGTTATTGCTGTAGATTAGGAGTATTAGCTTATTGTGGTCAACGAAATGTGACAGCTGTACTATTTTTAATTTTTGGTGGTGTAATTCAAGGATGTTTGTGGCTCATTGCCCAGTAGTTCCTTTAAAAGACTTTGACAACGACAAAGATAGTTTGATATAAGGCTTGTGGGAAACCCTGCTATGTTCAATAGTGGCTACATCCTCTACTGTTGCCATCATGATATTTGTGCAAGGATTCTTTTGAAGATTTGTGGGGAGAGGTTAGGTGCCTCTCAGCCAAAGTTGTGGAGAGGTACAGGCCTCGCTCAGCTCTCCTTAGCAATTTCAAGGTGAGCTATTTGAAGGTTAATTAGAATAGAAGCAGAGGGAAATTGATTTCAAGGGGAGCAAATTGCTTTTTAGAGCAATTTAGGAGAGCAATCTGTAGCTCCCTTCCAGCATTTAAGGGGACCCTGGAGGGGAGCAAGAGCTTTGGCTCTTCTCAAATGGCCAAGCCTGAGGTTCAATGTTTTAAAGGGAATTGAAGTCGTACCTTAAAAAATTTGTAGGGATGTCTTTGGAGGCAGCAGTCTTCTGGTTCTTTATCCCAGTATTCTTATATATTCTTCTTTTCTTAAAGTTGCTCGACTGTTCTTGTTTCTGACCTACTGCAATGGGGAATTTGATTGTCTGAGATTTTCCTGGGAAGGTTTTTAAGTTTAAGGGGGATTGTCAAAGAGAAAGGCGAAAACATTTCTTGATTCTAAATGTGTACCGCATTGGACATTTGAAGCTATCAGAGCCAGATACATCATTTTTAAATGCAGAAGGCATTTTAAAAGAAAGAATACATTAAAGGTGTGATAACCATTGATACACCGCGTGGCTGAAAGCTTTTCACAAAGACACCTCTACCAATGCAAACAACCATAGATGTGAAAAAAATTCTGCCTTGGCGAAAAGACACGTTGTAATTCAAAGCATCATCTTGAATTTCTCGCGCGTCATTAAGACAAATGTTCTTTTTCGCTCGACAAATGAATATGCAATTTCGTATATCTTGCCGCAGAAAAAAAGACCGCGAGATGTCCGATGTTATGGTGAAAGTATCCTGTGTTGAATATTTCTTTTATCGGCTTCTGTTCAACGTTTTATATCAATGTATATCGTCTAGGCAGAAACAAGAAAGATGACTGTTGGCGTAAGATAAATTAAATATCGTCAGCGCAAAACAAACGCTACTTTACGACGAAAAGAAACATCTAAACTATCAGAAAAATATCCAATAGTAACCAGATTGGCCTTCGAATCAAGTTTTATTTTAACGTGCAGTTATAACCAATTTGTGCAGTGATAAATCGTAATTGTGCAGTGATAAACTCAAATTTTGTGCAGTGATGAAACTAGAATAGAGAGATTTGGCATTTAGAAAGCAAAATTGCAGCAACTACCAGTAGAAACATATAAAAACTTTGTTCAGCATTACATTTCTGGAATTTGTTCATTACCTAAAAAGCTATCGAGTTTGTTTTTCATATCTTTAAGATCTTTTTTCTCGAAAACATGTTTCAACCTAGACCACTTTTCTTCGTCGAAATCTCATGAAAAGCGTGGGTGAGAGCTGATGTAATTCGATAGTTCCACATACATTTAGTTTGATGGGTGTGGTCATGAAGATTTTCAAAAGGTGATACCCAAATTTTCAAAAATTTTGAATATGTGCAGTGATAAAAATTCCTTAAAATAAACCTTGCTTCGGATTACGTAGGTAATTTTTTTCCACGAATATGGCAACTAAAGTATCGTGGTTTTGGAAATTGTTATTCGCATTTTTCATATTGGTTGTTGGTGGTAATTTTCTGCCTATGGCCATTCGTAAAATTTTCTCATTTAGCCACGTGCGGAAATTCGATTGGTAACAGTTGAATATCTCCTCTCATAGAATCTTTAAATGTCTCGCGTGCCTTAGAATATTTCATTTCTAAGGCTCTTTTGTCATTTAATTGTCCTACAGTAATTAGGTTCTGCAAAGGATTTAGCTCTCTATATTGCATCCAAGTTATTGAACATGGCTATTAGCAAAATGTTTGCATTTTATGATATGAGTTTGAAAAGGTTCTAGTCAATGCCTTAATTGTAAATGCCAATTAATTGGTAACTGAATGCTCTTCAGTTAACTAGTATTGCCTTCTTGCCGGTTTAAACGACGACGTAAGGTTATGACGTAACTTTGCGGAACTTGACGTTAAATAGAACTGTTTCTTTATTTTGTTTCTGTTTGATGTGGCTATTAAAAACAGTGTATGTGCAACAGAAGAATTGGATTTTAATTGAATTTACAATAAATTATGTTGCTTTTTGTTATTGATGCCTTTTTTTGAACCGACACAAAAATAACAAAACGGGTGACAAGTTGCTAGGGCGTTTTTAGACAGGAAATTGGGTCAACACCATGTTGCTGCTTGTGGCTTTGTAGCAGAGTGCCTTTTGGACTGATAATCTTCAATTCCCATTTCTGAGAAATTTTTGTTCCCTCCATCGCACCACACTCCTTTTTTACAGGAACCTTTGCTAAGTACAAACATATGTTTTTAATGAGTAAATGCTCGAAACGTTATGTTTTTAACAATCAAACTATTATATTTTCATTCTGGTACTCAATTTATTTGCTAACTCTATTATCGTGTTTCTTTTTATATTGATTTGTTTTAGGACTACATGCTATAAAGTGTTACTAAGACCACTAAATTACAGTTTTGCATGATGTTTTTAGTAGCCGGTTCATTAAACAATAAAAAAATCTGCACTATTCCATTAACGCGAGAGAAAATTTTCAAGAAACACATTGTCTTTCATTCTAACTTTCCATCTGAAACTTGGCATGTTCTTACACTGTTCTTATTCCTGTCTCGATGTTCTTTTCTAATGTATTCTTATAGAAATGTCTAGTCTTGAGTTCTTGATGACAATCTTTTTCACCAGACTTAATTCTATATTCGATTGCCACCCTGATAATGTTTTCACACGTCGTGCTGTTTTTCTGTCAAACTCTTTCATCCCTAAAACCTCAACAGTGCAACTTATTATTTTTAAGAACGTTCGTAGCAAAACGTACCTTATAACAAGTTTCTCTGCTGTTCAGTGTTTAGGCTTTTAAGCTTCCAGTTTATTTTGTTGGCCTACCCATTTATATAGGGCAAGTTGTTTTCATTAATGTATAACAACCAAGGATTTCTGGAATAGGGTGTTACCTGCCCCCATACCCCAGATGCAGGTGTCCCTTCCTTTTAGTTGTATAAGGATATGTGAGAGATCCTAAGGGATCTTTCAGCCATGCCCCCATTCTTTCTACTTGTCGCGGACCCGTTGGCGTGTGGCTCTAGCAGAGAGCTGCAATGTGAGGGTTTGTCCAGAGTTTATTATTAGAGGACAGTTCCCCAGAGAAGAAGGGTTTCTCCCTAGGCAAGAGGCTGAGTCTGCAATGCGTGAAATCAAGGATACTGCTGTAAATGCACGTATTTCTTGCTTGAAAGAGAGAGTGTCCTGTTCCCCTGGATGACATTTCTTGGCTTGCTAAAACCCAAGTCCGCAACGCAACTCGTGATGATTCTTCGTGATGATCCCTATGACTTTAAGTGGGCTCTGGGAACAACCGGGAATTACGTGCTAATACTGTTGTTACTGTTGCGAATCACGTCACTGTTGCTAATAACGTCACTGTTGCTAATCACGTCACTGTTGCTAATAACGTGATATACCACTATCATTCTATACACATATATCAAGATGACATGTTTACTGCTTTTTTAAGATCTCGTCCGTGTCCTGCCTTGTTTCCTGGTTAAAGTTCAAATTTAATTCCGATTAGTTGTTTTGTAGAGCAACCTACTTTGAAGGATGCTTGTCACCTAAGAAATCCTCTGGTTAACACCTACTTTTGCATGCTAATCTTCTTTCCTCTCCAGAACTTGAATTTTCTATTCAAACGCTAAGTATTTCCAGTATTGTTAATCGTTCTTATTTACTCATAGGAGCTTGATTTTCTTGAGATGCTTGGCAGGCTGCAGGTAATTTCCACGATTTTTTTCTCATGTTCACAGTTATTTAACTTAGAAAGTGTTCTATTCAAAGTTTATAAGCATCTTACCCCTGCGCATTCCTCTCATTTATGATATGAAATCAAAACTGTGATATGACTGAGCAACGGCTGCGCTGTTTCCAAACATTTGCAGCACGTTCGATGACCTAGGCAGACTTTTATCTTCCCCGTATATGATGTATTTTGGTAGCACTGCTTGTTTTCAATACCAAAACTTCTTTGTAGGTAACTAGGCCACATTATCCGCCTTCGAAACAAGAAATAAAAACATCAGCCAGTTTGTTTTATTGTTTTATGTTCAAGAGAGATTATCAGAATTATTTCAAGTTTCATTGAAAAAAGACGGCATTGAATCCTTTATTTTAGTGACATGGTGCTACAATGACTTCATGGGGCAATTTTTTATGTGGCATATAGTCGTATTAATAGTAGTGTGGATTTTCCTCTATCAATTATGCCCCTCTTTAGACATGGTCTTGTCATTGCAATTTTAGCCTGGTCAAGCAACACCTTGAACGCAATATTTTATGGTTTCAACAAAGTCGACTTGTGCAATGAATTTTTTTCATATGAAAGTAGCTAAAGTTTGACTTGTTATCGACATAAGATTAGTGAAAGTTCTATTGAAAAAAGACGGGGCGAATTGAGACCTAATTGTAGCGTCGACGTAAATGGTTTTTTGAGTAATGCGATTTTGAATGGTGTTAACCTTCCTTAAAATATAGACTTTAATGGCCATTAAATTACAGACCTTCATTGGCATTTAAATAAAAACATTTTTGGGTCGTCTTTGCTTACCTGTTTGGTAAAATGAATGACACCGTAATCGAATGAATTTCCTTCATAAATGTCTGTCTTTAAGAACCAAAACATTTTAATTTTTTTGGACTTTCGATTACTGCAAATTGGCCATTTCAATTTGGTTGTTGCCTTTGACAGTGGTATTTAGTTGGCAAGCGTAGACGATTCAGTTTCCAAACAATGTTGCATTGAAAGATTTTTAAATTAAAATATTAGTTTCTATGCCTTTCAAAACAGCTGTCAATTTAAGTGTTTTTCTTTAGAGGAATGAAAAATTTTCATTGTTCGATTAACATTAAAATGACCTCCCTTTTCATTAACCGTCACTACAAACACGTATTTTTGAATTGGGAAAACATTGGAACTTGTAAGCCTTTCAACATCTAGATTTGAAAGGACGAAAGACTTTTTTGCTGATTCATAAGATGTTTGAATGGTATTTTGTAAAAGACTTTTTGGTGATTAATAAGAAGTTTGAATGGCATTTTATTTACTTTTCATTCAAGTTTTAATATTTAATGATGTAAAACAAGTACAGTTTTGATTACAGGTCAGTGACAACTTAGGAAAGTCATAGAGATACCTCTGTGATGCGAGTCTGTCCCTGTTGAATTTGTCTCGTTTTCATAAATTTAAAAAAGAAGCGTTATCGTTTCGAAAGAGCTATTTTAGAAGCGCTGTAGGAAAGATTGAGTGAAGCTAAATCCCTAAGATAAATTCTCTGTAATGCTACCGTTGACCTTTCGTTTACGAATAATTCGAACGATTTTAAGCCGTTCATAAAAACCCTTTCAGTTTGGAAAGCGCCAGAGGCAATACTTCCTGAAAATTTTACCCTAACAACTGCAGCCTAGTGATATCTCTGAGCTGGTTTTATGTTTGTTCGATTTATGTGCTATTCTTCCTTAAAGAATTGTGCAAGGCTCGTTTAGCAGCTCGAACTAACTCATTTGACGAGGTAGTATCGACTTTACCTTACAAATGTCTGGAGACATTTTTAATTAGATGGCTTTGTTCAATATTCCATCATTTAGGAGACCTGTTCTATCTGTTCGTTGTTGACATTAGACGATACTAAAATCGTCTTTCCTTCTGTATATTTGACAAATGGGATCATCAATATTTTTTTGTTATTTGTAGTCAAGCCGCCTGGATGATCAGCGCACAAGTCTTCCGGCTTCTCTTGCAAAGGTAAAACAGAACAGCTATTCTTGTTATATTTAATTGTAAGATTTTATTCTAGAGAAGCAATGTACACATCACAGGCCTACGGTGTCAATTTTATCACTTCTAGCCTAGTTAAGTTTAGAGACGGTGGTATGTTGACAGTTGATGCACCGTTTTTCACCTCTTATTCTATCTTTCTTTATTACAGTATTAATTTTGTTTTTTTCCAATACAGCGTTTTGTAGTTTATTTTCACGAATCATAAGCTCACTTTGTAGTTTTTTCCTAAAGGCGCTTGAGCGGCAGGTACAATCCTTTCCAAATTTGTTGGAACACTTGCACGAGGATGAAGATATTTTTAAAAATGCATCCCCAACTCCCCTTTACAGTGTTGCTTAATTTGGATGTTTAGATGCTGAAGGTAAACATTTTGTCACTGAAAGCTTCACGAAGGTATTGAGAAAATATATAAACATTGGGCAGTGGTAGAGGGGCCAATTTTTGGAAGCAATAGTTATGTATTCAGAAGTTAGTTCTAGACTTGCTTTGTCTGTTAGCATGCCGTCAGAGAAAGGGGTGTAGATGTTTTGATGTGGCACCCACAAAACAATGCTTGTTAGTTATGAAGAGGTCATTGAATGAAAAGCTGTATCAGAAAGTTCTTGGATTTACAAAGAGTTAATCTGTGAAGCAATGACAAAGAGTGTTTATTTTTTATTGCGTAATGACCGAGTGTAATGAGATCCAATCTAAGTAGTAACCACACTAGAGGGTTGAGAGTATTAAATGCTTGCTGCTTGATGACGTCATTTTCAGTCGAAATTGTGTCTGATACGACACGGAGATGTAAGATTTTTGTTAAAGCTTCATGCTGCCTGGCAACGTAGACACGACGTGCATGAAACTCGTAAAGGTCATAGCAGTTCGAAGTTCCTATTTAAAGTATGTCTATTCATAAAGATTCAAGCTCACTCTTGTGTTATCAGTTTGAAAACGACGAACACAGGTAGATCTTACTTTGAAAGGAGTTTTAATGAATTGAGCACGTATAGGTTATGAAAGTGTGTTGGCTTCTGCATGATCTCAGAGAGGTAAGTACAATTGCAGTATGTCCTGTAATGTAGCATGGGATGCGTTGTTTCAAAACATTGATTATGCGGAATCATTGGGTTAAGTCTCGATATCTAACTTGAAAAAATTTGGATCGACAAATTGTTCTGAGATGCTTGGTGCTAATTTGAGCAACATCGAGCAGTCTAGCTTCCTGGTGAAGTTCGTAGTACATGAAGTACTAGAAAGTTAGATCATTCGTTCAATATTGGTTTCAGTTGGTTTCTGCCAATTTAAAATAATTTGTTGTGCGTCAGGAAATGTTCGTGACCTTTTTTTACGTCAAGAGATTCGCTTACGTACTGACGCTGTATTTAGAAGTAGGATGTATATCTTTATCCCTTGTGTCTTAAGTTCTAGGCCATCAGGGCAATCATGTTCTTGGATTTTACAAAATTTCTTTGTTCTCAGTTTTATCACGATATAATAGTTTCTTAATTTTTTTGCTTCGAGTACTGAAGTTTCTTAATTTTTTCTGACTGTCCAGTACTCGTTCTTTATAGCCAGTTTTTTATAAAAAAATAAGTGTACTCCAGCTTTTTCCATAAGTTCTGAGATTAATACGGCTGTGAAACAATTGTGGCTGTTTTAGTGGTAAGGTCCCGATCAGACATAATGAGAGGACGAAAAAGTCCACTTTCTGCCTTGTTACCTTACATGGAGACGACAGCAAGCTTGATGTTCTTTATGCATTCCAAATAGCTCCTCGACTAACTTTGTTATTTCGAATTTGAGCTTCCAAACTTCTTGATCGGATTATTATTACTATTATTATCAGCGGTCTACAGAAACCTGTTTCCATCGTGCTTGTAATGAACAATGCAGAGGATTTTACAGTTGATTTATTCCCACCATTGGGTGTTAGAACTATCAAACTGTACTGTATCGAGGTATAAAATTTCTATCGTCAGTAGACAGATGCAGAAATCTTGCATGGCTCTTTCTAAGGTTGTATGTCATTTTGGATCCTGTTCCCAAGTTTCAGATTATTGGCTTATGGCCTCAAAATGTTATTCTTTGTGTTATCTAATGCTGTAGGCAGCCTATTGAAACTTTAAGAGTTTAGATTAGAAAAATGGGTTAAGAGATCAAAAGAAAGGCTTCCCTAGGCGCAGAAATGTTTTGGCTCTAAAACTGGTAGAACTGGGAAACAATTGAGCATAGAGATTAAGAGAAGAGGTTTGGATATTGAAGATGATTCCTGAAAAACATTTGTTAAAGTCATTAGCTTGATTCTCATAATGCAGAGTTTAGAAAAATCGAGACTAGAAAAACTTTGCAGAATTTTCATGGTTAAAACCGAAGTGCTTTCATGGTTCTAGAATAATGAATAAAAATTTAAATCGTAAAAGATCGGAGAGAAAATTGATTACTGTTGTGAAGCAAAGATCGTTCTTAAGAAGCAAGCAAGAAACATTTAACAATTTGATGTTGTTGCTTTTTAGTTAAACATGGTCTGGGGCTAGAGATTATAACACAATAACGCGCTAACTTTATGGGCCGTCGCCCCCAAAAGTTTTGAGGACAATGGTATTTTGTTCTAAAACATTTGGAAAATGTCACGTCATCTCAATAAAACAATAGGCTTGCCCCCCCCCCTCAATATTTTACCAAGTGTCCGCCCCTCGTATCATGCCTTTCAACCTTTACAATTAACCTTCAAAAACCCTTAAATCATTTTGATGCTATTTCACACACAATATAATCCGAAATTTGAACAAAGCCAGCCTATGCTTCCTCAATGTTCTTCTCTTGTCTTGTAGCTAGCCAACTATCTGTGCCCTGAAAATCATTGACAAAACTTTTAGCATACACCTGCAATAGAACTAGTAGATAACATTATCTTCAATTGGCTTTCATTTTGCCGATAGCTGAGGACTGATCTCAGATTTCAGGGTTTTTTGTTTGGAAGCCAAATGTACATTCCAGTTTTGGTCTTTTTGTATTGAAGTGACACAGCTATCTTTATTTGTTATCGTAAGGGTGTCAGATGTCCTTATCAGTCAAGCCGGTGCTACATTATAGTTGCCATTTATAAAGGGGGCCTCGTTTTCAAGGAAGTAGGAAGTATGGAGGGATACTCGGAAACAAGATACAACACAATCTAATGAGAAAGGACACCTAGCGTTGGTTTTAAAGCAATTTACATCGGCTTCAGGTGTTAACATCGACTGGATGTAGCTGTTTTGGGATTAGTCCTGTTCCTAAAATTCAAACCTCTCTCAATAGTTGTCTCAAAATGTTTATAGATTAATCGTTCACTTTGCAAGAGGTAACATTTCGGAATGCGGCGATCGACAAGATCAGGCTCGATTGGTCTGAAATCTTTGTTTTGTTTGCCTCTTCAGCAGGATATAGTCGAAGAAAGTACGGTGGAAATGCCAGTTGTAACAGAAGATTCCAGTACAGAGGAAGATGATTCCTTGGAACCCATTCAACAGGTTAGAGTTTATCGCCTTTTTCTATCGAAGTGTGTTTTCGAAATGCTTCTACGGCTAGTATTTTTAAATCATAAATTAATTGAATCGTCTTATCGAAAGAGACTTAATAATTTATAGTATGACGCATTTTGGCAGTGGCATTAAGTTGCTCCAATGGAAAGTTATATGAGAGATGCGTTTTTGCCACTTTGTGCCACTTTGTGCTAATTATTCTCTGAACCTTACTGATAGTTCTCTGCTTTTGCTAAAGTGAATATATGCTGGAAACCATTACGGGTAGTCAAATTAATCCTATCGAATTGCAATGAGGATGCGGTGAGGAAATATAAGTAGAGAGTAATTACCGATAGTCACTTAAATTTTATTGGTACAGTAGAGGCATTCTGACCCTTCTTCGTCTTTGCATTGTTTCAAGTCTTGCCAGAATTTTTCGATCTTCAAGATTTGACTCTCTGATTCGAAAGTTACCCTATACCAAAGTTACATACATATCTTACAACATTTAATATCCCAGTGATTTTTTCATTCCTTATTCTTCGATTTGATTTATGTAAAGTGGCGTGCACTGATCGATGGTAGGCTTAAGTTTGATAAATTGTTCTCCTCCTATTGTTTTCTATCCAAAACTGAATTAGTTTGACGTATTGATGAAATATGTTTTATGCCATTTACCCAGATATTATAGTATATTCTAAGACCCCATGAAGTGAGGCATGTGTGGGAGTAAAATCAGCAAGTTGTGCCTGCCAATAAATAACATAAGCTTATTCACAATTTTGCCTTTTTTCGAGGGGGGGGGGGAGGGGGGCTAATGCGTTTCCAGGTTGGTCTTAAGATGTTCTTTGTATCAATGTCTCAGCTGAAAGTAATTTATACGCCAATCGCTCAAGTTAACCTGTTTAGACTAGTGTCAAGTGATTTAGTTAAAATAAGAAACTAGAGCACTTTTCTGCGCAAATAAAATATTCTTCACAAAATGTTTTGCGCCCTCTGCTTTTTCTGATCCACTTTAGATTTGTTTTTATCAATTTGCCACATGAATGGTTTCTCTTTTGGCATAATACCTATTTCTGTTTCTAAATATACCAAAATGGACTGCAGTTTGATCAAATATTTGCTGAATGTCTCCACCCACCCGAAACCTGCCCGCAGTTATGCTACAGCCAAAGTCGGCACGTATATTTCGGTTTCGAATGTAGCGAATGTAGCGGCTTGACCTCTTTTGGAACAGACATAGCATTGTCAATTTTAAAAATTCACCTATGGCCTTGGCAAACCAAAAGACTCTTTGCCAAACCAGCAAATATCACTGAAGACTTTAGCTGTTATTGCCAATAGCCAAGATTATTTAAAAAAGTCTCAGTTGATTAGCAAGTTTTGTGTTTGATTGCTAATATAGGTTGACGGGGGGGGGGGGGGGGGGGGGGGGAGGGGGGCTCAGCTAGATTAGGGTCGGTTGACTCTTTTGATTTGTTTTATATGTTTGTTTATTTTTGCATTGTTCTGTTTATCTATCCCCGGAACTCTTGATTTAAACGAACCATGGGGAGGTGCTCCTCTTACCTCGAGTGGGGTATTACTCAGAATCTGAACTGCTCTATAATTGATTTAGGTTTCAAGTCTCATTCGTGCTAAATACAAATTGATATAATGAAAATACCACTTTGCACACGAAAGTTGGATATTGCTGGGACTTTTCGAACGTACCTCTTCGTTAGGTAAAGAGAACAAGAAGAGCAACGGGTAGAATGAGAGTTGCATTCTTTATAGCTAATCTCTCGAAACTAAGTTTCTACTCTCTTTCTAACCATTGCTCTTCCTGTTCACTTTAGCTGATAAAAAAGTTATGCTCGAAATCGTAACTAAAGCGTATTTTAATTATATCAATTTGTATTTACCATTCATTCAACATACAGCACGCTGAACTGCATTGATTGTTAATCCTCATTCGTGGTAGTTCTAGACCGCTCTGTTTTCTGTTTGGTAGACAGGGACTTGGGGATGAGCCATGAATGTACGTCACTCGGATTCCTTTGACTTTATTTTGTGCCAACCTGTAAGCTGCTCATGATGATTATTTCGAGTCTCTCGCCACTTTTATTTTCCATGAATGGATTGATACACGTCAGAGACAGATCATGTTTCCCAACTGTCAAATTTTACTTAGTTTTCTGACTTATCTAAATGTGCCCTAAGGTAAACATTTTGTGTCCATGCCTTCCTTTTTTTTAAATCTTAAATTTTTAAACTTATCCATAGCTTTACGATGGACGAGATTTTTGCAACTGTTTTTTTCTTTTCCCAATCATGTTAAAAAGTTTTTTCATTTCAAGAAAGATCCTATATAAAGAATGATTTTTATTATTTGATTTTGGTGCTATTGTATCTGGGTTCTTCTGAGTTTCATTTATCTCCTAAAATAAAGGGGAACCCCGAAAAAGAAGAACTTCCCACACCGTTTGGGATATTTCGGTTTCACATAGTGAGTGCAAATATAGGTACCACTTGATGGTAGAATGAAAACGAAAGTGCACGCGGGAAAAGCCAAAATCAAAAGTAAAGCTAGATTAAACAATTCTTTGCTCTGCTGTCCTAAAACTTCTTTTAGATTAAAAATTCTTTGCTCTGTTTCCTCTGTTTTGCCGATTATTATATTATATCTTCTATGAAACAATAGAGACTTATTTTTAGAAGCAAAATAAACTTCTGGTGTCCAAGTTTTTCCATTAGGGTTCACCATTTCTTCAAAGCTGATGCCTCCCCCCTTGCCGAGTTTGCAAATAGGCAAAAAAGGGAGTTATATCTAAGTAAAAGGAGCAAAATTACGCGGAGCTAAATCCAAAAAATACCATTAAGCTTTCGAAGTCCCTGCGAATTTCGCATGCTTTTAAATACAACTCATGGAATCGAGAAAGAGATTTAACTAAAGTTATCCGCAAAAGTTCAGGGATTTAACCATGTTCTTTCATTTTTAATTACGTACAGGCTCAAGACAGGATAATGTTCCAAGGTACTTTAACGGTTGATAAGTTTTGTACAACTAATGCCAAAGTTTTGAGAAGTTTAACGTTATTTCGGTATTCTTGTCAGGACTATATTCAACTGTCTATGATTCTCTGTAGCCACATGCCAATGACAAACGTACTTTGAGATTCGTTCGATGAGTAACTTTATACAGTGTTTGAGTAATGACGTCATCAAATATGTTTTTGGAATTTTTGGATTCAAACCATATCTTCCGAACATCGTAGCATGCCACTAATGTGGGAATCTTCCGAACATCGTAGCATGCCACTAATGTGGGAATCATTTCAAATTTTTTGTGGATTTCAGCTGCGTTGTATTACCGCGGCTTTGGCCAGTGTCATAAATTTTTTATCCAGATCAAATTACAGCAATTTAAAATAAAAGAGACCTGTGCTCACTTGGATATTTCTCAGCTTATTTGATTAAGTTCTACTTTAGTTGCTCATGTAGGACTACCTAACAATTATTTTATGAAACATGTAGTTAAAACTAAAATAATGTAAAATTAATTAATTTGGCATTATCACATGACTACACTTTAGTCATGTTGTTTTGGAAAAACGTGAGAGGTTTTATCAGAGAAACAATGCAAAAGTAAGGTTAAATATTTAGGCTTTTTGGCAAGGACTTGAGTATAAATATATTGCTTTTGACAGGACCAGAACAGGAGACCAATTCCCGGCGAGAGAATAGATATCACTATCAATACTAAGGGGAGAGAATATCAAATTGTTATCTGGATTTTAGTCTCGATTCTTCTCAATCACTGTTTCATTAGACTGTTTCAACCAATTGAAAGAAGGTTAAAGTTCATCGTTGGTCTTAGCTTTCGCACTCTTTATTTTTAACCCCTTTAAGAGGCTGCTTGCAGCACTTGATTTGTTTGCTTTTCAAATTTAGCAACATCATTGCCTGCATTTCGGTTTAAACAGAAAGTGGAAAACAGTATATCATTCTTCACACTAGATCGAATTTGAACGACTTTCCTTTTCAAACGACGTTGTCTAATGTATCCAAAGACGTTCAGTTTTGTAGCGAATAGCAGCCTGACCAGTCATCCTCGCTAAAGAGAAAGTCATTGGGTATTCAAAATGAATTCTGGATCTTTCTTCTCGCAGGTCCTGGCTCTTGGTTCACCTTATCCTCTTGTGGTTTTACCAGTCGAAGGGGACTATTGGATGGAGGGAACCAATCATATTCTGCAGAGAGACAAGCAAAATCGCCCTGTTATGCCCAGAGTCGATTTGAGCAAATGCGTCGTGGATTCCGATCATACTGCAACAGTTTACAGAAATAATTTTCTTGGCAAGGTACGTCAGCAAAGTTGAAATGGAGCTAGAGCTTTATGTCTGATGTCTAGTTATAAATACTGGTATTTTCAAGAACAGAAACAACTTTAGTTAAGCTAAAAAAACTTTGAAAAGGTGCACCTATATACATTTCCACTATAAATTTCCAATGTAGGATGCGGCTAGTTTGTCATGAATGTTTTCATCCGTGTTAATGCCATCAAACCCTTTGAAACAAGCATTCATTTTTGTATTTTTTCAAAAACTATTTAGCCTCAATCAAAACATAGAAAAGCTGCTGTCAATTTTCAAGGTCGAATTCAATCATCAGTAAAATAATGTTGTTCTATACAAAATGAAGCTGAGATGTACAGCTATATTTTACTTGTGACTTGTATGATAGTTAGCTAATATATATATTTTTCCTGGAAAAGGAAAGGCGGAAGTAGAAGTATTCGTAAAATGAAATAATGATATAAAATTTGAAAATAGAATGGAAGAACGTTAAGATAGCACACACGAACGTGACAATATGCACAAGACTTTAGTGTAATTATTGAAAGTATCATTGCTCGTAAATCCCCCTTTATGAACAGGTGTATCACGAGTGTTAATTTTGATAATGTTTTGTTTTCAGGAACATCTAAATTACGCGGCTCTTGATCACAGATTCGGTCCTTTGCTATTGTCAGTAAAGAGCGAGGTGCCAGGGGAATATTCGGATGAAAGTAAATTAACAGATCATTACGAAATAATTTTAAGGTAAGTGATATCAAAGACCATCACAATCGTTTTCAATATTGCTTGTAACCTGGGAGAAAGTATTTCAAGGAGGCTAGGTAAAAAATGGACGTTTTCTAAGTATCATCATTTTTTGCAGGCTAAATTGTAGAACTATCCACCAGTTTGTTGCAGCGTCGTCCATGAGTGAAAACCCACGCCCTAGAGAAATAATACAGGTATTTCCAACATAGCTTACATTTAGTATGTATGCAAAAAAAATTATTCTCTTCTTTAATTGCACGGTGCTACCTAAAATGTAGCAAGTTTGTTCTTTACGATCTGTTATGGAATTAGTAACGTTTTGTTGTGAAATTAATTCTAGAGTGTGTTTAAAGAAGATTACTTTATTGTTTGGTCCCGTGTTCTTCTTTGCGTCGTTGCCAAATATTTTCATAGCAAAATATCATTGCTCTGTCTCTGATTCCGCTGCTATTGATGCAAAACTTTAGCACATGATTTCATAGTCATGATGTAATCGTCACATAATCCGCGATTGCCTTTTTTAGAATATACTGCAAGATGAACTGGACATAGATAGATTTCACCCTATAGCGATTCCCCGGGTACGTATCTAAACATCTACCATTTTAAAATACGGTGGATGCCAGAATCTCACGAGAGATTCCCTGTTGTCTTATGCCTTCAAGTCGTTTCTCTTCTTCTTTCTACCGAGAATGGCCTCTTCGCAGTTTTCTGAGATTAGGGTGAAACTCTTTTCGCTGAAAGAAAATTCAGCGGTATTTATTCTTGGAATTTTCTTACAAAATTTATCATCGATTGTCGAACATTTTTTTTGGACCGATTATAAATATTCTGCTAACAAAATCAAGCATGCAAAAAACAGTGGTTTTCTTTTCGCATTTGGTTTTTTTAATGGAAATAGAGCTCATTGCTTTTAAACCTTTTTATCTGAAAAATCATAGAAAATAGCTAGTCTGAATAGAACTGCTGTGGACGTTTTTTGTTTTTTTGGCGGTCAATAGGTAAAATCTTTGGGGAGTTGTTCTCTTGAACATTTACATTAGCTAAAAAAAACTGGTAGATCTTTGGAAAAAATTTGTTTTATGAATGCACCAATTTTGTTATGATTGAAGTTTTTAGTTCATTTTCAATCCTCTTCAATTATCCTAGTATTTTAAACCCAATTATCCCCTTTCGTCAATTAAGCATCATTATACCTCTTGTTCTTCGTCTGTTGCTCGGTTCTGCCTTAGTTTAGGCTCAATTCTAACGTGTATTCAGAACCCAGCATAATAACTTTGTAACGTTTTTGCTTTTTAGATAACAGAACACATTGTGAAATATGACGAGCACATACTAACTAATTGTTACAAAATAGGCGTGATTTATCAGAAACACAAGCAGGTAAATATGACAATTTTTGAGGAAATACTTATTAGTAATTCTTGGTTATCGACATCTCACAGTTCTTTGTGTGTTGAATCCTGTTGACGGTAAATTTTGCGTAACATTTTAAAGCAGTTTATTGTTCTACAAACAGGCAAAGCTAGTTGAATTGGTTAGTTTAACAAATTTAGATTCTTATTTATTAATCTATCTTGTTTAAATTCTTATCCTATTAATTCATATTTTTGACAGACAACCGAAGAAGAGTACTTTGGCAACAAAACTCATAGCCCTGCCATGGAAGAATTTTTGGACTGCCTAGGCACCAAAGTACAGTTGCAAGGATTTCAGGGGCAAGTATTATTATATTCCGAAATCTCAGTTGGGTCTTTGAATGCTGAAATTAGTCTTGTTAATCTTTTTACAAAATGATACAAATCAGGAATAGGTACAAAATATTCTTCGCTAACTGACCACGTTTTGGCTTCACAGTGAAAAAGACCGGATATGAAAGTGAAAAAAAATGTATGTCATATTAATAACAAACAGACAATTTCATTTCCAAGGAAATCCGTATCTTGAAAAGGCGAACCTTTGCATAACAATAAATTCCAATTTTCAGGTATCGTGGAGGACTTGATGTAAGGCACAATCAGACGGGAGAGACATCGTATCACACAGTTTTTAAAGAAAGGTACGTTGAAAAGAAAGATCTTTCTATCACTCCATATGGTGAATAGGTGATAAAGATATATGGTTAAATTTTGGATGGAAAAAGAAACATGTGGAGATAATAGGTTCTTTTGACATCTACAATAACGCAGAAAATGCACACTCTTCAATTTAATGTATACCAAGATCACAACTAAAACAAGGGATCGATTCAAACATCCTACCTTTATTGATAACACCAATTGAAGGTTAATATGCAAGCAGTTAGGTTGAAATAACATTAAAACACTGTTATTTAACAAATAAGAGGATACTAACTAATGCAGAAGGTTTTAGAAGTATTCCTCTCTGTCTCCTTCAGACAGATCTTTGCAGTTGTCATTTCGGGCTAAATGTGTTTCTCCTGCTATTCAAATGATTATGACTGACTTATGTCCATAGGAGAGAAAGATGATATGTATCTTGTATAGATAGGAAGTAATATAAAAGGAAGGGGAAAGTTTTTTTAGTTAGTTTGTTTATGAACAAGAAATAGTGAAGGCATCCAATATTTGTTTGTTTTAGCGAAGGAAATTAATGAAAGAGCTCATATTTTCTTAAGTTTGCTGATAAAGGTAGTTCTTTTTCTCAAAATTTTTTGTGAAATTTTCGTTTCCTCTACTTTCAATTTGAAGATTTTTTCATTTTGTTTCAGAGAATTCATGTTTCATGTATCAACGCTGCTGCCTTTTAAACCCGAAGATAGACAGCAGGTTTGCATTCAACTTTCGTTTGCATTCAACTTAAATTGCATTCAACTCTCGCTGCAGTTCCATCTATTCATACAACTGTTTGTATCATTGCCTTGTCATTCTGATGTACCTCAAGTTAGGCACTTTTGATAGATTGAACCCAGGGGCAAATACTTGCTCAAATATTGGGAGGACAAGCCTATTGATTTGAAATATTGCGACCGCCCAAATCCCCCCCCCCCCTCGTGCCGCCTCCAGGTGTCCGCCACTGACTGAACCAGTAAAGTAGAACAGAAAAGTATTTTGTGTCCAAGGAGAATTGTGGAAGCACTCAAGTGAGGTGAATCTCGTTCTATATTTGTACCGATAGAATTTATACATCAGGAGGCTACTTGTTCAGGGAATTTAACGACGGTAAAAAATTCGAAAGAAATCCCTGCCCCTGGTCGTTATTTTGAAATCCATTGTGTTAGGTTTATGGTACAACAATCTTCATTTTTTTGGGAAATTTTTGTGGTTGATAAATTGCTTGTTTCTCATGATATCATTTTACTTGAATGATCGTTGACACTTGAATGATGAATAAAATGTAATAAGGTATTTTTTGGTCTTCTAGGTCCAACGTAAAAGGCACATTGGAAACGATATTGTGGCCATTGTTTTTCAGGTGAGCATCAAGCTAAACCATCGTAATGGCCTAAGCAGAATTTGTTGCAATTAACTGTGGTGCCTCAAAGAGGCCCCTTTTGAAATTGTTCGCATGGGGAGCCTCCAGCCGCTAGATATTCAGACAAATGCCTTTCGTAAAGGAGGCTTTTGATTACGGATTTATTCAGATATTGAAATTAGATTCTTCTGCCCTATTTTATGATATTTTCTGTAAATAGAGGTTTAAATTTTTACCTCTTCGAAACGTTTTACAGTAGGCATGTTTGTTTTGTTATTGTTGGCTACAAATTTCTTAGTTCTTGACCTATCTAGTAAAATTCTAAAAGAAAGAAAAGTTGTTGTTTGTAGAACTGACAAATTTCAACTTTCATAATGCTCTATTTAACATCAAGTGAAAATGTAAAATGAATTTTCTAATGAGAGTCATTTTCAATAGTGTTGGTTGATGCAATTACGTTGCACGTGCGATGACGTCAGTCGCCCCAGATTTCTTTAGTCTTTCAGTTCAGTCTTAGATCATCTTTTCAAATGGCGAAGGCATTGTTTATTTAAATTATTTCGATATCTTTTCAGGACGAAAATACCCCGTTCAGTCCTACATCTGTCCGGTCACACTTTCTCCATGTTTTCATCATTGTGCAAGTTATTGATGCAAATACCCCGAATTGTCGATATAAGGTACGCTCCATTTTTTGACTGAACTCGTAGTCTTTAAGCAAAGGATCGTCTCGTAATTTGCTGGTGTAAGAATCATAAGACTCATTTATTGCTCCTTGATATAATAATAAAATTTAGCAAGGTTACTTGTAGAGTTTTTACTACAACGGTATTTAGATCGCACTTCAGAGACCTTTTCAGTTTGAAATCTTCTTTCGTGTGGTTGTCAACATCTTACAATAAGAACTCTAAAGCTATCTTTCTCAAATCAACTTGTTTATGCATGTTAATGTGCATCTTTGCCAAACGCACGAACGCAGTCAGTTCCACAACTCTATGTTCCTCCCCAGATCTTGTAAACTTTGGAATGATCTACCCACTTCCTGTTTCCCAGACTCTTACGGCCTGTCTTTGTTCAAGACAGAAATAAATAAGCTTGATCTTTCCTACTTCTTTTCCTAATCCCTCCCCCCTTGCCCTTGTTTGGGCTTAGCTATATGCTCTTGAGCCTTTCCCTAGCATTACCAACTAAAAAAAAGAAAGAAAATGGCGGTACTACTAACAAACAATGTTTAGTGAGAAGTAAAATGAAAAATCTGTTAGAATAAACCACGCAATATCGGGCACCTTGAAGCAAGGGATAATTAATGCTTGTTGTAGCACCTTTCAGACAGCAAATATCTCCCTGCAACGGCAAGCAACTCTAGTAAGACCGGTTGCCGAATAAAAGAATGTTTAAACGTAAAACAAAGACACAAGGATAACTTCTAGAATGTTGATTAAACTCAATAAAGGTAGCTTTGTTGGGTTGGTCAAATGTATACTTTGAGTTATAGAACTTTAGCCATATATCGTCCTTTATTGTCATGGGTATGTTCTACATACAATTGCCTGGCGATCGCATCAAAAACCGTCCTGGTCTAAACACCAAAGCTCGTACAGCTCTGCATATACAGCATCGAGCACTTTATGACAGACCAGTCAAACAGTTATGTTTAAAATTGTCTTATATAGATTATTTATTGTGAATCTCTGTTTTTTCAGGTTACTGTAACGGCAAGGGATGGAGTACCCAGATTTAGTCCTGCTTTACCGAACCCTGCTGTTTTTAGAAAGGTTGGTCACTAGTGTTTAATTCTGATATCTATGTGTGGAGGAGAATTATTCTGCTTATGGTGAGTTTGATCACCTTTATCTGCCTGGGCGTTGCGTAGTTTGCAGTTCAATGGGTTTCACTGAGGCAAACGTGTAGTAGTTCATAAATATGCTATCCACGATGCTTGTAATTTTTAGAAGTAGAAGGTTTTATCAAATCTTTTTTACTATAAGGGTTTTATCTACCCGAAATCCTGTAATTGGCTTCCTCTTGTACAAGCGCCCCCCTCTCCTTGAATGATTCCCTCTCCTTAAAATTTTTGCGGTCTTTGTATCCAAGATTAAATTTATTTTTCGTAGGGGAGAGAGTTCCGAGAATTCTTGATGACCAAAATTCTCAACGCGGAACTTGCAGCTTGCAAAAGTGAAAAATTCTCGCAGCTCGCTGTAAGTATACCTGACTATCGTATGTTTGTTGTTACAAATGTCTAGTTTTTCAAGAAGTTTCACTCGGGGAATTCCCAAGATGCCAACACGGCCGCGAAATCGTCTACGAGGGTTCAGTTTCATTTTCACACCATGACCACATAATATCTTACCAAATATTTTGGCTTGACATCCTATCACATAATATTCTATCAAATATGTGTTTGGTTTTTTGTGTGGCCAGGCAGGCAGCTTGGTGAAACGGTCCAATCGTAAAGTCTACTATTTTCCCTGTTATTCTCAAGATAGCGATATGTTTGAAGTACCAACTCACTTGCAGTTTCTAGTCCAAAACCAAAGCCAGATGCAGCTTTGGCCCTTGTATCTTAAGTTGCTAGATTAGTTTATCCATTGCTGAAGATTAATATGGAATAGATCGTTTGATGTTGTACTTGTTATATTTCAATGCAGTAATCGTTTAGAGTTAAAATCATAATGTTTTACTTGTAATCAAATAATCTGTCTAGGAACGAACTCGAGCAATGCTTCTGCAACAGCTAGTAAACGATCTGATCATGAGAAATGAGCAATGCATGGAAGAGGGATTGGTATGTTTTATCAATATTGCCAGCAGCTGGTTCATCTAAACCATTTACTACGATTATTTGCTGATATGGTTTTTAAAAGGCTGATATGGTTTTTAAAAAAGTTGCTCGTTCAGATAAATATTACTAATGCCAGTCTTTGATATCTGTTGCTGCTGTGCAAGGGAAACAGCTAAAACCAATATTTTAGAAATGATGTTATCAAGGTCGCAGACATAACTGGCTCGTATAGCATACCGCATGCCGACTTGCTAACTGCCATTTTTAGCCATGTCTGCACTTACGACATTGTAACCTTCCAGACTTCACTGGTTTATATCCGATTGCATTTGAATAGAAATAACAAAATAAAACATTTGAAGTTTCAAGGAATTTAAGCATTGAGGAATTTTCAGGCATCTACTTCACCCATTTGTATTTGTATTTGTTACTGCCTAGCACCTGAAGGTAGTTTTTAGGAGACCGAAATACTGTGCTTATCGAGCAGTGTCCAGGTCCTTCCTCTTTGTGTGATCACACCTCATGATTCATACGCCTGAAATTACATAGAGCTGTCAACTCTCCTCACTCTAACTAAAAGTTTCGTAATGTCAGGGAGGAACTCGAAAGATCTTTTTGATTGGTAGTATGCAACCCTAGCCACTGAGCCATCCTCGCACCACTGGGCCGTCCTTCGCATTTTAAATTGTTTCTTATAAACCTCTTTCATTGAGACAAACATTGATATAGTGCATTTCTGCTTGGCAGCTCACAAGGACTAACTCAGGTGGCAAAGGAAAGTTGTTGTCATCATTCAAGTCAGCTCTTGCAAACTCAAAGGGTAGAAACGGCAGCTCGGTGTCGCTCGCAAGCAACACGTCATTGCAAACGCCCAAAAATGGCATATCGCTCTCACTGAATGATATCACTGATGTGTCAGCAGACGACGCTAAAAAAGAGGTAAAGCTATTCTAATATCTGCGTCTGCAAAATAACAACACTTTACCCGTTGTCCTAACTTTATTTTTCAAGTGGCTGTTAGTTGTTAGCTGTTGTGACGACTACAAGTTGATTATGTATAATCAAACTAAACTAAATTAGCAGCCAAATTGGTCTTCCTTTAGAATAACAGTACAATGCAGAAAGGTATCCGCTATCGTAAACGAGGGGCAAATCACTCTTAGAAAATCTCGTACACCTTTTGTAAAATCCTAATGTTTTGTTCGAAAATCCCCAGAAATTCTTTTGTTATAGGCAAAATCTTGTACGCTATTTGCAAGAGTGAATAGTTCCTTGTACAAGGGTTTCATTGTAGGAATGTGATTTCTGGACAAAACTATTTGTCCGTTGTTTTGAGTTGTCTGTTATTTTAGAGTGGTTATTGATAGATTTCTTCATCTAAAAACAGGAGAACTCATAGCCTTGGTATCGGTTCTTTTGTTAGAGCAAATACCGCTATGGTGTCAAGGCCATTTTTCTGATGACAAGTTCTAAACTCTTTTTCTTCGTCACGGACACTAGTCTTTTATTTATCACAGAACATAGTTTTTTCTTCTTTAATTAACGTGTCCACCAAAATTCAAATCCTTGGTGAAGTTGGTGAGATACAAGGAAACATTTTCAACAAAAAGATGTTAAAAAGGCCTTCCTTGATTGTCACTGTTTTCATTTCTTTCGATGCTTATTCGACAGATGTTAAACTTGAATTTGGCAAAGTAAAGCCTTTTACCATAATATCATAATTTAATAAAGCCGTTTCCACCGTACCCAATTATTTATGTTTCAGAAATACCCGATTCTAATTGCACCTTTCGCGCTTGCTTATTTGTCTATAGTTCTCATACTTGAGAATATCCGCCAACGACGGAAAGATAATTTTTTTGCGTTTCTTTGAACAGAAAAAGAAATTGTTCTCTCGGGGACGAAGCAGCAAGGATAATGGCCAAGAACAGACCAGAAAGGAGTCAAATAAGTATGTTTTTCATTTCTACTTTGATTATGGATCTCTCTAGATTTTAATTTCTCATCGATACTAGACATAAAGGTTTATCTCCTTTTGCCAAAATTGCATGAAGTATTTGGATGGCATTCGGCGTGTTTGAAAAGGCATTTTGGGACATTAAGGCAAACATTATAGAATTTGCTAAGATTTTAATGTTTATTTGAAGATCTTGTTTTTGAAAGATTTACCGATATGGGCCTTAAATGCCTGTTTTTGACAACATTGTGCTGTCATTTTTACGAAATATCTCAATTGGCATTTCTGTATTTTGCCGCCCTTTCATAACACAGCGAAAAATACGGTTTTGATATGTAATTATTTAAAACTCCATCTTATTGAAAATATCCTATTCATTGCTTTACTTAATTATAATACTGTATTAAAAAACATATCCTGGACATCTATTCTGGTACTTAATTACCAAAGGTCTCAATACAAAGTTTGCAGCTAAAAATCGGCTTTTGCTGACAGGTTCAACTAATTTATCCATACTTTGATATTATGTCAAACTTAATACTACCACAAAGCATGTAGTTTAAATGAAACCAGAATCTGAAAAAATAATAGACATTCTACAAAACAGCAGGTTTCAGCACACGCGATGCAGAATAATCAATCAATATTTATTTTCTGCTGGTACCAGCGTTTCAGTGTTTTCACACTTCTATTGTTTCTTTTACACCACGATAAACGTAATGGTGGCCATATCGGTATTCCATTTGATCATGTAAGCATTTATCCAACTCATTACCGCAGTTATCGCTCTGAATTTGATATCAGTGAAAATAAAGGCTGTCCAAGCCTATGAATAATTCATTGTCTAGACGCTTATAAACAAACTTACCTGCCTTCGTTACACACTGTAGCTCTGTCTCGTTTGCCCCCGGCTCTCACCAGCACAATGCACCCGATTTAACAATAATTCTTTAGCTTTAAAAATAAAATCAGAAGATTTGAAATTGCTTTGAGTACGAGCGTTGATGGGTGTGCATTTTATTCATATGATGTCGACTTTTTTAATAAATGTCTTGAATTATAAAAAAATGAATAATTATATCATAAGAATAAGCAAATTGTATAAAGTTCATTTCGCTGCCGGGCTTACCCTTCACAAGACTGCCATCTATAATGGTAACTAATAATGTGTGCTTTTGACCCCAAGCAACTGCATTGCAGTCTTTATACGTAATCGCGGTTACCTTTGAAGAAGGGTTTTGTCGCCTTTCAGTGTCCTTTGTTTGCACGGGGGTAGCACCCGTTTGAAAGTAGGCCCTTTTATTATCCTGGTATGCCTGAGTTTTAGCTGGTATCAGAAAGTGACAAAACATTGAATTTTAGTTCACTAGCATCGCCTTCGTCACCAAACAATGGAACCTGGCCTAGCACGAATTTAGCTTCTGTGAATGAAGGAAGGGACTTCTTTGGTTTTCGCTCGAAGTCAGTAGAGACTCCGCCGTCCGGAAAAACGTTGCATTACATGTACGAAGGCCCAAACAGGTTCGTCTCAAAGCTTTCCTGCTTTGGCATTTTAGGTTCGGCCGAGAAAGCATCATGTCTACCTAAATATATCATATGTAGTGATGTAGGGTATCGAAAGAGAGTTTAACGACTTCTTGCTTTGTTTTGCACTAATGTATTGCGCTTACATGCCTGCCAGTCATAGAGGAAACTGTTTCAGTTTTTTATGCAAGTCAAAAGCTTAACTTGAAGGATAAGAATTAGCTCAACTTAAAGAATAAGCATTATTCATGGTAACACCTTCAAATGCACTAGAAGCTTTTGTTTCGTATAAAGACATGCATTATATTAACATGCTAGACTGGAGAGTGATCGTAATCTGTTATGCTCATATTTACATTGCCAAGTCGGTTGACTATAACGAGGCTTCTTGCTTCAACCCATCTTTCGCTCGCCCGCCTAGAAGTAGCAAGTTGCTACCTGGTTAAATATTATGGTGGGTACGGCTCCTTTAAGACATCTTGCGGCTGGCTTAAGTCCAAGGAACTTTTTACGTATACAGAAATCATATAGGGAAACACCTTCAGGTTCGTGATAGATAACATTAAGATAGTCATGTTAACGTTGGTTTCTTTAGCAAGAAAGCAAAGTGTGTATTTGTATTGTATTTGTATTTGCTACCTAGCATCCAAAGGTAGTTTTTAGGACACTGAGAAGCTGTGCTCATCGAGCAGTGTTCTGGTCCCTTTTTTTGATGCCACCACACCTCTTGACTCCTACGCCTGGAATTGCAGAGAGCTGGCGACCCTCCTCACTCTGGACGAAAGTTTGCCATGCCAGGGAGTCGAGCCACGAACTCTTTTGTCTTTAGTCGCTGAGCTATCCTCGCACCATAGTCCTTTTACTTTACAAAGTTAATTGTAAATCTCTGCCAGACATTATTGGGTGATGTCTATTTTTTTAACTTAAACATAAACTTCCATTTTGAAGTGTTTTTTATGTATCAGTCCCCTCCAACTGATCCAATATGTCCCTCTCCTCTTGTTCCAGCGCTTGCTCTTCACCGTCTGTTACTTACAACCGTCGAAAGTTTTTAACACAACCAGAAATGTCATCAACAAATAGAAGTTCAATAAACGGTGTTTATCAAAGGAATGCAAGATCAAGTTCCTTCAACGACAGCGAATCACTGAGAAATACGGTATTCTCTTCAATATCATTATGGATTTTTTCGTTTTTGTACACGATATTTTTCTTGTGTATGTTAATATAAAAACACAACCTTGACTGAAAGATCTGTCTTTCCTTTTGTTCTTAGATGAGTTTCTATTGAAGGGGTCATGTAGCCCATCGATAAAATAAGCCCAAAAACAATTTTCCAAGTCCTAAAATGGAATCTTTTCGATAGTTTTCAGATATTTTTGTATTGTCAGAAAAATGACCTTTACACTTTTAATGTTCAATAAATACAATTCAGTTCCAAGGAGTATTGTTGGCAACCATTTATCCAGCTAACATTAAGAGTTCAGGAATCTTGCAGAAGAACCAATGATAAAGCTATCCATAGACGTGAGCTTTTCAGGAAGGACCACTCCGAGAACTGTCATCAAGGCATTGACAAAATTTTCAAGGCAGTCTGAAATTATAATTTGCCAACCGATTATTTACAGTTGAAGGCATTGAAACTTTCATTCTACTTTTCGGCATTTTTTCTATTTCTATTTTTCGCTTTTTTTATATACGGCGAGTGTTTTCCTATTTTTCATTATCCATATAAAAATTGTTACATAGGGTATTTAGAAAATCTCAGTGGAGGGGGAGGGGGGTATTTATGTAGAGTACCCACAGATAGTTTTAAAGAATAATTCTGCGAGAAAGCTCTTTGTTACCAATTCAGCTGAAATTCTAATTTGTTTTCAGGATCCCCAAGGGGTACATTCGAAGTATATTTCGGTCAGCAGCTGTTCATCATACGAAGATATAAGTTCAAGCAGCGCATGCTCAGCTTTAGGTGAGTGCTTGTATTTTCTCTTATGGCGACAATGGCCTAAGGTCTTTGTTTTTTCTTAGAGTGAATAATACACATATTAGCAGACACGATGTGGTCTAGGCTCTCAAAATGTTAGAAGGGGGAAGGAGATGTCCAGATTTCCTTTGTCTAGGCTCTAAAAAAGGCAGAGGGGGTGTCCAGATTTCCATACATCAGGAAGAGATAATATTTTTCATCAAAGAAGGAGAAAAAGTGGTTGAGATGAAATGATATACGATGGTGTGAAAATACTGCTAGTTTTTTATAGGTATTGCAACGTTGGTGATCCTTAAAGTTTAATTTATCGTTTCCAGGCTCATGAAATTATAGTTGATAAGAGGGGAGATTCAAATAGAGATCGGGGAGTTGTTAAAAAGTCTGAATAATAGTATGCGTTCCCCTACCGTAAGTTGCTAGGGTACCTCTGTTGTAAATACTGCCTCGTCAACGGGATAACACAAGGCTGACTTGATATTAAATCGGTCCTCAAACATGTAAACTAGACACGAGAAAGCAGAGCATTTGAGTGAGATCGGCTAGTTATATTTGTATTGCAAATCTTTGCAAAATGTTAAGTGAGATTGCTCACTTTGTAAGGACTCAAAGAGAAGTGAGGTGTCATCGAAAATTATGATTATTCAGGACTTTCACGTGTCTTTTTCTACATTACAGATGCAGCTCAGCGAGAAATTGATGTTTTACGGTCTGAAATTAGTAAACTTAAAACAGACAAAATGGATTTGGTGCGTCAAAATGTGGTATGTTTCATTTTCATTGCAAATGTTTGGTAAAATTTGTTCAATCTTTTTTAAACAGATGATAACGTCATTTAATTCTGTTGGAAGTAAAGCCTAATTCTCTAAATGTGAAAATATGTCCTGCTAAACAGTTATCGGTAGATAAACTCAAAAGTTACGATCATCAATTTATATCGATATAAATTTTGTCAATCTGTGTTTTAGATTTTCTTTGTACGATAATGCTTTAAGTTGAACCTAACATTTCATTTTATGCCTAAAACGTTGATTACGTTTTATAAAATTTCAGTAGACTTTTTTAAAAAATTATTAGAACATTGAAGAACCTATACTGCTGCTGTATTAATTACAACAAGCTATAATTTCATTGCCAAATTCTGTTGAATCTCTTAAATCTGTTTGTTCCAAAAAACAATCCTTGTTTAGTCAGCTGATATGGTCTGCTAATTTGATCAAAATTCTTTCATTTAAATCAGGTTGTCATATTTTTAAGATGTTAATTTTTTCGTTGCAAAGCTGATATAGTTTGAACAAAATATTTAACCGCTGCTAAAGTTTAAAAAATTGCTTTTGAAAGAATCTCCAAATTATTTCATGGTTGTTGCTATATAGCATTTTATGATTGCAGAGTTAAACTTTTTTTTTATAATGTAATGCCAATCATTTATTTTCCAACATCTAATTTCGTATTTTCGTATGTGAAATTATTTAAAATTGCGTTGTTAAGTTTTAAAACTAAAACTCAAAACACAGCATTGATTCTGTCATTTAAAGTTTTAAATATTTTTTATAATCATTATTATATCTTTTAATGCTCCGTCACATAATTAAAAATTTAAACAATTAATACTTAAATTTAGTTACTTCGACGAATGTGTGATGTTGACGTTAACGAAAATTCGAAAAAGAATCATAAGCAAGGTAAACTAAAGTTTTAAATTTCTGAATAATTTATGTAGTATTTGGTATTCCTTTGCATGTTTGGCATACCAATTGTCTTAACATAAAGAGTACAGCAACATGAATTCTCAATTATTTCTAGAAGTATACCTCTTGAGTACTCTTGTCTCTAGCAACTTTTATTGTTGTTTTGACATAATCTTTGATATCGTTAATTCTGATAACGTCACATTTATCTATTGTTACAGAAGAAACGACCATCGTCCTCAAAAGTATTGGGGGTGACTCCCTCTTGCCCCCCAGGTGTTCGGTATTATCGACCCCCAACCCCCTCACTTTTTGCTGAGCATGATGTTAGTTTTGTAGCATCAAGAATACCTACCATAAAAGTTTGCTAATTTGTCTAGAGCCACTCACCCCAAATCCAATATGTGTTCCGGCGACCCTGACAGACATATTCCAGTTCTACAAAAATTATCCCTTAATATGCCACCCGTTTATTTTCAAAAAATATCATTTCGGCAATTTACAACCTTTACACCTTTCCCTGTTACTCTGTTGTGAAACCCGGATTTTTAAAGTTTAAGAAAGAAACATCAATCAAAGCGGTAACCTTTACAACGAAATGACCCCTGTTAATCATAAGAAATGCTGTACGGATATTGTCTTAGGGGGGCATGCAAGGGAACTGACTTTTTTGCTGCTTTCTTTGTGATCAAAATATTCTTAAAGACATTGCTATGCCTATTTTTTTTCATCGTGTAAAGATATGTAACCTCTTGCTCGCTCAGTTATTTCAAACCTGCACGAGGTTGCCATAGGCTTTTGTTTTTCGGCGCGTTTATGATCGAGAAAACATTGAGAATAAGCCTTACGTTGCTGATTGGATACGTAACAATAGGTATATTATGTTGTCCAACCGATGGGAATTTTAAGTGGCCAGCGAAATCCATCGGGACATACCGCAAATCCTCGAATTAGCCCCCTGGGGGCTTATTTATTTCTGATATTTTTGGGTGGGGGCTTATTCGAGGGGGGCTTTTTCGAAAGGGGCCAATTCGAGGATTTACGGTAATGCCTTTGAAGCCAATTTCATTGTCTTTACTGTCAATGTATTGTCTGCTATCTTATCTCTTTATCCTTTCGTTTATCTTCACGTTTCCTTGTTTTTTATTACAGACATATCAACGAGAGATAAGAAAGTATAAGGAAAAATCCTTGCACCAGACTGCCGAATTGTATGCTGCAAAGCACGAATTGGCAAAACTACGCTTTGTACCGAAACACGAAGAAGATGTCAATCACAACAACGAAAGTCCTAGTCGTCAAAGCGATTACTTTGATAACGAGATGACCCCTGTCAATCATAAGGATAAGGTGATTTTCTTCGGTGAAGATTCCCCTCACACAAAGCGTCGTTCTATGACTGTTAGGAACGAACCATTAAAAGCCACTGTAAGCGATGCTTTGTCGTCGGTTCATCATCATCAAAAACGACAGCAGATTGTACCAAATAACAAACGGCATTCAATAAGCCATGTTTAATGGGAGGAGCGGTTCTTTGTCGCTAAGAGCACTGTGTTACAAACCGGCGCTGGTGGAGGCATTTCTGTCGTAGTTGTGACATTCCTGTTTCCTGATCAAATGCCGAGTCCCATTAGAAAGATGTTTGATACCAACTGTACGACGAAAGAGAAACAAATGCATTTTTAGTGTATCTAAAGTTTTCATTTGTATTGACATCCGTTGACATTTATTTAAACCGTCTTGTGATTTCTTAGGCTCTACAAAAGCCAAGATCGTACTGACGAGATTATTTCTATTAAAATAAAATGATATAATAATGTGTAAATATGATTTACTTAATTAAGTTCTTCGAATTATTGTTTTCTCCATCTTTATCAAAATGGGTCGTATTCAACGTGATGATAATTCTCAGTGGCAACAACATTTCTATTTAGAAAATTAAGAATTCTTCGCTTAGCAGGGAAGAAGAAGCTAGAATAAATCCCTATTTAACGAACAATTGTGAGACCTGATATAGTAATTGGTTAATGATGGATTTTACAAAATAGAGGGCTTGAGAGCAATTTGCTATAATCTCAAGTTCGTTAGATTTTGAGGTTGTTGATTTGGAATTCAATTTTTCCTCAAATTTTACTATAATGCAGTTCCTGTGGCATATCATTGCCTTTTGTGCCTTTCCAGTTCTTTTTTCTATCTCCTAAAGACCTAGAAGTTTGGTAATTCATGGTATTTAAACAAGTCAGACAGGAATGCAAAATTGTGTTTGCCACAGAAACAAACTGAATTCGTGCCAATCAATTGTTATTTTCTATTTTTAAATGTTGATAATAAATTGTTTCGGTTCGTTGATACTAATTGTAAAATAATAGTGAATATTTGCTTGAATTTGTTAATGTTATTTTAAGTTAAAGATCGTTCACATACTAACTGGAAACGATTTATTTTGAAACTTCGGTTTGGTAAAATGGGTGTTGACTTTAAGTTGATCTTAATGATTGACACCCAAGTAGCAACCGAACATCTTAAAGAATTGTTGTATGATATCAAGAGAAGGATTATATACTTGTTTGGGAGACGAAACCCCCAGTCATTTTTTCGAAACATACCGTCTTAACCAATCAGCGTCTCAGGGCATGACACATGATCATCAATAACAGTTTTCGCACATCTGTTTTTTCTGTGATCAGTGCTGTGACCACACAACTCTTGAACTTTCAGCCCGGGCTTCAAGTGACATTGTGCATGTGCAATGACCCCAAAAAAAAGCTAGGGTATGGTCTGGAAGATTGGCATGATTCGTCATCGAAACAAATACCTGGATCATTACGAAAATTTTGGAATACAACTAGCTAATGATAAATAGGTTTCTTGATTAATTTATGACCTTTGGCCTGCTCTTTACCTTTACAATAACCTTTGACCATTTGATTGACCCAGTATCCTTTTTGTGACCTTATGACCTTTAATCAAGACATTATTCTAATAAAGTTTATTATCTCATACTAATTCGGGTACATTCTTCAGGTAATATTTAGCTATAGTTGAAATCAATGCTAAAGCCTCTCGCAATCGGATTCTTTAGAGCGCTATGTGAACGACCTTCAACCCTTAATGCATGCACGTGTACTTTTTTGTTCAGTTATTGGCTCTGGAAGCTGTGGAATTGAAATCAATATATATTATACATGTATATTGTTCTCTATTAGACATATTTCACCGAGATGGAAGTTATTGGTGACAAAAGAGGGAAAGTGTGATTTAACTTTGTCCTTTTTTTCATTTTTCTTTTTTGATTGCGAGATTATGCTGGAAAAAACTTCAGGATGGTTTGGAGATTACGCTAAGTCCAGGAAAACCCCCCCTTTAGACCATCCTTTGCTTTTGTATATTGCCAACCTCCATCTCTGTGTCTTTGGAAAATATTTAAAACACCAGTTTTGTACATAATTTTTAAGGCATTTGTTTGCATGAAAGTTTCTCCATCAAATCGCAACATTTTGTCGTGCTCCTTTATTCTTCGTTGTTTGGGAGGTCAATGTGCCCATATCATGTGCTGAAGTTTGACCTTTCTTAATTTTCACGGTAGCATTTAATATCCCTTAGCCGGGAAAGTTAAGGTAACATTATGCGAATGATGTTTATGTCCATATGAACTTCCAAATTAAACGGAAGGCATGCTCGAAGACAAAATGACTAGAAGGGGAAAAGGGCATTAGACGCTTAGAACAACCCAACAGTGACAAAAAATTACCAACATTTTAGCCTGACGCCACTAAAATGTTCTTAACTGTATTGGTGTAATTTTGTTTTGATCTAATAATTGAATACACTCTTCATAATAACACATATCATAAGAACACCGTAGCTCAATTATCGCATTAAAAAAATAAGAACAACGGCAGAGCATACCCAGCCCCAGATAGATAATTAAAAGAAAGAAACAAGTGTTTTTTAAAAACTTGTAAAAACTGTCAAATTATATAGAAAATAAGAACATTGTGTTTCAGCACAAATTATATGGGTCTTATGAAATGACTGTAACAAGTATGAAGCATAAAATAGTCACTCCAATTCATTTTTAATAATAGATTTATATAGAGATGGATGAAACCGTAGGGATAACAATAGAAATATACAAAACAGTAAATAACTTAAATCCAGTATTTATGAAAGAAATATGTTAGTTGAATGAACTTGCATATAATCAGGCTCGTACAAACTGGGGGTGTGGGGGGTGTGACACCCCCCAATCTTTTATCCAGTCGGAAAATTTGAGGCCAGTCGGAAAATTTAAAGCTGTTGGTAGAAAGCGAGGATAATCGGAAAAAAATTGAATCATTCGTGAAAGCTAAAGTTTTGACTCAAATGACCTTGTAAAAACTGTAGCTCGAAGAGAAGCATAAGAAAAATATTAATTAATAAAAAAATAGTTGTTTGGTAAAAGGCAGCCCTAAAAAGAATAAGAGGCAACGCAATACAGAAAAACGAAGTTAGGTATGAAAATGCAAGTATTTTCAACTACATTCGTCGAAATGGGGATAGTGTAATAATCATTCCATTGAATTGCTTCAAAAAACGGGATATGAAATAAAAATTTTGAAATGATATTTAACAGGTATGAGAATCTATTTCGAGGTTAAATTATATACCAAAAGTTAAACTTGAAGACGTTAAAAACTTTTAAAAGTCTTTTGTCGGTGGAAACGGGTCAGAATAGCGGGAGCCTTCATTAATCAATTAGACAAAAGTTCTCAAATTTCGCCTAATCTCAAAAACTATTGATCTCACACTAAACAATACGACACTAACATCAGTAACCAAAAACAATTAACAGCGTGTTCCGTGGATATAATTATACGAAAGAAATGGTAAGAATTAGGCTAGATTTATCACAGTGGGATTACAAAGGGGTCCGCACCGCATAGTTTCCAAATTTACGAAATCTAGAAACTTTATAATACAGCTTAATAATTATTTACGAGACAATTTATAAGGTTTTGTTGGTAAAAAACTATTAAAGTTTAGGCCCTCATACAAAATTAGAATTGACCATTGTCAGTCGGAAATTTCGAGCCCTTCACCCCCCCCCCCCAAATAACTGCCAATTTACGTCCCTGCATACCTATAATTTACGAAATCAACCTTTTTACAAATAAAGCCGAACACTGTTACTTATGGGCTAGATACAATATCCTATAGATGTAATGAACTGTGGATTTATGAGCCATTAGACATTCAATCGGCAGAATATTTTTAGGTATTCAAAACTAAAATTAAATAAACGGATCTGACTTGCTCGTGTAGACTATGCACATCATACATTTCTAATATTGGATACTTGTAAACATCACGATTTTTTTTATATTTGTTATTGTTACATGTTGGTGTTAATTAGCTGTTATTCTGTAAACCAACATTACATAAAGTGAATAAAAAGAAGGGAAGGGAAGGGCTTTTTAGCACATTGATAACAGAGTTGAGTGTTGACGACCTGTTTTGAAGAGAAATGGCTGTTTTAATAATAAACTCGGAAATTTCACAGTATTTGCCCCATACATTTGCGGAATTCAGGCACTATACCTTTCACTCTATTTTCGAACAATATCGATGAAAACGGAGATTTTCTCTCTCCTCTAGCCTATCACTCAACAAGCTCATTTCCCTAGCTACCGTAAAAGTTCCAATGAAATACTTATCGAAACCCACGTCTCACAGGAGAAGCACAATGGGAAATCTTTTGTATTTGCACTGTTTTCCCTGTCACCTGAGAAGTGTCAAAAACTTTCCCCTTGCATTGCAGCCGTATCTTAGAACCCGACTTCCCTTCAGTGTCACAGATCAGTGTTCAGTGTATGCAATTATCTTTGAGTCTCGATCCAGCATTTGCCTCGAATTTGAGAGGAACACAACACAGAGCAAAGGTCGAAGAGCCTAGAAAGGTGAGGTGGAGTTGATATTATGATAATTTCACTATTTATGACGAAGTCATTAGGAAAGCTATGCTACTCAAAGCACTTTTTACGTTTGCTTAAAAGCATTTCAACTCGGTCAGGAAGTTTGCATTCATCAAGACTAATTACAGGGCCTTTTCAAACTAAAATGGCGCGAAGACCAATTTCCCAAGATCAAGGACAGGAAAACAAACTCCTTTTTAAGTTTGGCGTTATAAGTGATGTACAATACGCCGATATCGATGATAGGCTAAATTATGAAGGTACAGTTATGAGATATTATAGAAATTCTGTTGACTTATTACGCAAAGCAGTCGATTTTTGGAAGCAGAAGGAACCAGATTTCATTTTGCAGCTTGGTGACATTATTGAAGGAAATCATGTTCGAAGTCAAGACCGTGAGCGTACTTTGGAAACTGTGCTTAATGTTTGCAAAGAACTTGACTGCTATATATGCCATCTTTGGGGAAACCACGAATTTTATTTGTATAGTAGAGAGGAATTAGCAGCAACCCAACTTAACAGTAAACTGAAACTGTACAATGGAAACTCAGCCTCTGCCGCTGCTGATTGTAATACTTTGTCACATCTAAAAAGTGATTGTGTTGAAGTTCTGTCAGATCCAACTACTTCAGTATTAATCAATAGTGTCCCTCATACCACTGAAAGAACTACTGATAGCGGAAATAAATATTATTTCACATTTTCTCCACATCCAAAATACAAATTCATTGCCATAGATTCATATGATGTTAGCATTTGTGGAAGGGTAGAAGGTGAACCTGAATATGAAGAGGCAAATAAAATTCTAGCAATTAAAAACACTAATGACAACTGGAACTCGCCATATGGCCTTAAGGAACCACATTTTGTGAAATTTAATGGCGGATTAAGTAAAGATCAGATCGAATGGCTAGACAAAGAACTTGCACTTGCTGAAGAAAAGCAGGAAAATGTTGTCATCATCAGCCATATTCCCATTCATCCAAAAAGTACAATTTTTTTATGCAATTTATGGAATTTCCAGGATGTTCTTGATGTAATCTGGAAGTATTCATGCGTCAAACTATGTCTTTGTGGACATTCACATGAAGATGGTGACTTTATTGACCATAAAGGAATCCAACATATTGTATTTCCTGCTGTTTTAGAATGCAATAAACAGGAAAATGCATTTGCAAATGTTTTTGTTTTTGAAAATAAAATAAAAATTTTTGGATATGGCAAAGTTAAATCATTTGACATTGGTGTTTAATTTTTAACAAATTTATTCTTTGTTTTGTTTTTCAATTGTGTAAAATCAATCTCTTTGAATTGCATTTTTAGAATCATTATTATTTGTATGTTGACATGCTTAGTTTTTAAGCCAAATTAAGTAGTAATTATAGCATTTTCTGCATCCATTATTTATTCCCAAGAATTTATTCACTGAGGCATCTTTATAAGCCCAATATGTATTAGTTGACTGCCCTAAATCCAGTTTTACACAGCTTACATTTTGTTTAATAATTTCAATATAATTCACTGAAATAAGAATTGTCTATTTTTTCCAATTTGAAATCTTTCTGTTGTGCCTCCTAACATCACTGTTGAGACTTTTTTTATTTAGTCAACAGTGTTAATTGTTTGACATATAAAAATATAGTTCACATTGCGCTACTGTTTTGGATCTATTAAACACCTTCTCTCTTATAAGCACCCTCTCTCTAATAACTACCTCCTCCAATAAATATCTCCCAAAAAATTAAATTTGTTAAATAAATTCCCACCCTCCAAAAAACCCCATGGGCTAGTTGAATTATTGCAAAAAAGCATTTTCGTTTTTTATGTCACTTTTATAAAAAATGTAAAAAAATATCAATCATGAAATTGTTTAAACGTAGCACCTTGTCCATCTATGCTATTTTTTCAGATGATAAAAAGCATCATATTTCAAAAAGAGAAATGAATGGTGCCATACAGGTTATGGAAAATTGAAAACTGTCACCTCTTTTGATGACGATGAGAATTGATTTGAAATATGATGTTTGCAACGTTGAGGAGAAACTAAAATGGATTAGAATAAAGAGGAGAATGATTTTTAACAATTGATTAGATTTGTATATTGGTTTTAAAAAACGATTTTTTTTGCAAATTTGCCCTCCTCACTAACAAAAGCCTCTTTCCTCTCCACAAGTTGCCTCTCATAGAAGCCAACAATTCTTATAATCACCCAGGCTTTTACTAGATCAAATAGGGTACTTAAAATAAAGACTTTTAAAGCTTGAACTAATGCCAAATCTAAACCTACAAGGCCCAGGCACCGCAGAGAAGGGGGGCTATAGTCCCCACTTTTTGCCACAAGTGCAAGAAACTTACCAATGAATCGGCAGTTAAGCCACTTTTCATTCGGTTCTAGAGCCTCCACTTTTTTCAACCCTCCGCAGTGACTAATGCCCACCAAAATCTTGCTACACAAACATCCGTTTTCAAGGGTAAATTCAGCTATCCCCCTTCTCCGCTTAGATTTAAGTTTACTATAAAATGTTTCTTCCTGCAATATCTATAATAAGAAAGTGTGATTCTTCCTGCAACTTCTATAATAATTTTTCATAAGGGGATGCAGAAGTAGGGATATTTGGGAAAATAATTGAAAAATATAAAAACACAACATGTATAGCTGGGTGTTCCAAATACTTTTGGCAATGATTGTGGAGTAAACGCCAGTAATTGAAAACTAGGAAAATTTTCTAACCATTAATTTGAGAAAGCTGATTATTCAACATCACTAAATTTGTTTCAATGCTGTCAATAAAAAGTACTTAAAAATGACCCTCACAAAATCACTCCCTTTTTAAAATCAATATCCTTTTCCGGGCCTGATAAAGTGAGGCATATGATCTGATATACATGCCTCAACCAACAGGAAGTTTACTATTTCTTTCTAGAAAAATTTATAGAAAAAAAATCGGGAGAGGGCATGAAGAAGCTCATAAAAGAAAGCTTAAAACTAATATTATTGTTGAAAACCAAAATTGTTTAGTGTTTTGATCGATCGTAGCTTTCAACATTCGTGATATCTCAGTTTTACAATGGAAATTCCAAATGAGAAATTTTCCCGCTTTTTATCGCTACAAATAGAGTTATATGTTGTAAGCTCTAGATTTTCTACCTTTGAGAGGGGAAAGCCAATAGATATTTGCGAAGTGGTACATTAATGCTTTTTGTTGATAGAAATGGGCGTGTCTCAATCTTTAAGGGTGTTGTCAAAAGATAAATACTCTTGCATGCTGCTTATGTGCGTTTCTATTTCAAAATTCATACTTCAGTGCCATACTTTGCAATTTTAACTCCTACAGAAATGTTAATACGTTAGAATTGTTGCCCAAAAGTTTACAGCTTGAGGAACAATTTCTTCTTTTTACCTGCAAAATTTCTTTATGCGCCGACGGAAAAAGTGTTGGGTGAACCGTGCCCCCCATAGCGCGACCCCTTTGACGACGCCCTTAACCTTTTTAGATCAAATTTTGATAATCTTGTTACAAAGATGTTTTATTTAAACTCATTTAAAAGAACTCTTTGGAAGTGGAAACATAATTGAATATAGTAAGCGTCGTAACTCTTGACATAAATATATTTACAGAGAGTTGCGTTAAAAAATTTATTTTCATTTTGGTTCTCCTCTTTGTCTTTGTCTCTGATTGTTTGTGTTTCATGATGGCTTAAACTTGATCTCATACATGTTTCTTATTAACCAGTCCATGAAACTCTTTGAGTGGTCCGGCTCAATGACTGCATCTTTTTCTTCAGATCTTTATATTGCTCCAGTGGGGCTTGGTCCTGACAAAAGATTGAAAAGAGAGAACTTTTATTCAATCATCATCATCATCATCATCAATCTCTATCATCAATCATAGTTAACCATAGTCAATCATCAAGATCAGCAATCGTTATCAATACCAATATTCATCATCATCAAACTTCATCATCAGCCAACATTACAATTATAATCAATCTTTTTCGTCGACATCAACAATGATTCGTTTTTGTAATCATAATCACCGTCCTATGTATCATTACAATCAATCATTACCAAATAAATCATCGTTATCCTGGGCAAAAATCCTATAGCGTGGTACTGTATTATTCATTATCGATCAGGGTTTAATGTTTTGCTGAACCTATGTTGCAAGCTGTTTTTTTCTTAAACTTTTTTAGCAGTGACTCTTTCTTCCTTCTGTTACGTTTGTGGATCCGAGCAGAGAGAGACGTAGAATGATCAAGACATTTGTACTTTGTAACTTAGATTCTGATCGTCAACTCAAGTCCACTACTCTAACTTTTACTGATATATCCTTGGTTAATGTAGCATGTAATGACGTTAATGATATGGGTTGTTGACACATACAAATAGAACAATGGCAATGGATCATTACACTTCAATTCTGATTGATTAAGATTATGATTATGATCTATGTTTATTATTGTTCATGCACATATTTAACATAGATAAGTAGCTCTTGGTACTTTTGTATTGAACAACAACTTCAACATCAGACCATCTATAATTTCAATGCAAAGGTTTTTTTTGAAGATTCAACTTACCTCTTTGTTACTATCTTTCTTTCTCAACCTAGGGGAAAACAGAATGCATGAGTTGTGTCGCAGTTGGGCAATCGCTGAAAGAATGCTTTATCTAAACACATAAAATTCGCATGGTAACCATTTCTTTTTGAAATTGCGTATCATAAGTTATTCACATTAGCTCATTAATTGATCTCTACCTTCATTTTATCAAAATCTTTTTTTGCTTGTTTTCATTGTTTCTGAATTAAAAACCATTATTGCATCTAGACGATTTTTAAAATACGGTCAATAAGCTGTACCAGTTATTCTATCCATAATAATTATAAAACAATATCATATCTCTAAAGGTTAAACTCTCTCAGCAACAATGTGCTGTTATCAGTCAAGGATCGGTCTAGTATATGTTTAAAGAAGTTAAAATGTTAAATGTCCAAGTTGAAATATTTACAAAATGTCTCCAATCATGAATTTGAAGTTTGAGTCTTCACTTCATATGTCACTTCATTGAAGATTGTTGCTGCTTGAAAGGAAAAGGCCTTCTTTCCTGTTTCAGATTTGATTTTAGGCAAAACGAATTAGGGAATTAAATCAAACGTTTCAAGTGAGATTGCTAAATTGATAGTTTTGTACGCAACCTTTTCAGTTTTGAAAACTTTTTTCTGCCACGGACCCTGTTCTGAAAAGTTCAGAAGAGCTTGTTTTGTCGGATCTCTGAATTGAAGACCTGTCTGAATTTCTAAACTACATTACAGTGGGAACCCAGGAGAAGCAATATATCATTAATTTGTTAAGAATTGTGTCTGTAGAAGAAAGTGCAAAAATACTCTCAATTCTCTTACCCCTTTTTGAAATTTTGTGCTGCCATTGCCGCATTTTGTAACTTGACAAACTTTCTAACATCGTCGCTACCAGATTTCGTGTTATCATCGATCGGCGAGGCTTTGCTGCTCGCTGAACCTTGGCTTTCTTCTCCTTCTTGCACATTTGGCAACATTTGTTTCAGAAGTGGCAGAATCTTTCCGCGTGTTCCTTCGCGTTGTATTATCGAATGCCTCCGCCTGTTCTCCTCCCATGCCATCGCCGAGTTCCGCGAGTCGTCTGTAGTTTTAACTATAACTTCTCCTGTGGCAGGGTTGATGCTCATTCGTACCTGAAATTTTACAAGGACGTTTCTTCATAAATGTGAAGTTTTACAGGATTCGTCCTAGCCGCGCGACTAAAGAAGCGCTTTTTAAAAAAGCGTAAGGTTTCAGTTCCATTTTACTGTGATCCATTGGTGATTTAGCGACTGACTGCATATCATCAAGCCACCCTATCGTTTATAAGTTGTTACGTAATTAGAAACTAAAATTAACAGGATTTTCGATGACATACCATCTTACCGTTAGACTGCGAAATATCGTGACTGCTAAGGCAGGGGATAAATTTGACCAAATTTGGAAATACTTGTGGATTCGATGCAAGCAAGAGCTATCTCAAACGTCCTATAAATGTTTTTAAAATTCATTCACATTCCCGTCTGTGAATGACAATGATCTTTATTTGCTCTTGTTTATACTAAGTGCAAATATGAAAATCTTGTTATTACGCTATCTATTTATTTTTGGATAGTAAGTGAAAAAGTGAAAATTCCCTCAGGTGTGTACAAATATTTACTGTTTTACAAGCACAGATCTTTCATGTACAGGGCTATCTCTTTTTACAGCATATGTACATAATTTTCTGCTGGCATTATTGTTAAATAGGGGGTCACTACCTTTTGCAATCGTGAATTCAATTTGCTTCTGTCATCATTTTTGTCTTGCTGAATCGCCTGCGTTTTCTTCTCGTCCTTTTTCTGCTTTAACACCAGAAGACGTGGAAATAGTTTCGGCAGCCCTAGCTTTTCAGTCTTTCGCTGTAGATCTGATTGCAGCAACGCAGCATAAAGTGGTATACCGCCCTTGATTGAACTGTTTCTGAATCTAAGTTTTGCCTCGGCGATACGTCGCATCGTTTCGAAAGTGTCCGGATTCTTTTTCACTATCAATCGGATGAAACTGGACAGATCAAGTTCGTACAGTGTTATTGCTTCGAGGCAGTAGTACGAGGCCGAGTATGTTGGAAGATCATACACCGCTTCGAGGTCACCTGCAAGAGGAGAATTCGATAGGCGATTATGAACAATTTTTTTGCGGTACAGAATTTGAAAATGGCTTTGAAAAAAGCAAACATTTTACAACATACTTAAAGCTTTTTCGTCTGACACTCCTCAGAGCATAAAACGTCAGAATAGGTTCCGAAAAAACACGTTTGAAAAATATATACCCAGTTGTGGATCGAAAACAAAACTGCCCCTCAAAGAGAACAGCCTCCTCGATCTTGTAGGTCTAGAAACACTGTTAAAACAAGTGATTCTGCCATTGGTCAACATCTTTTAGACAACCCAGATTGTGCAAAACTCTATAATGACGACATGTTTCGGATAATTGGCAGAGCCCGGTCGTCCTTCCATCTAGCAGTTTTGGAGTCAATCTACATAAAAACGAAAAAGCCGCCATTGTTTAGACAAAAGAAGTTCGTTTTCTCTCTTGGACTCCATTGGTAATTTTTCTTTAGGCTCGCGGCACTGATTGGTCAACTATACCGGTCTTGTGCTTGCGTTTTTCTGATTGGCCTATTTCGATCCACAACTGGGTATATATTTTTCAAACGTGTTTTTTTCGGAACCTATTCTGACGTTTTATGCTCTGAGGAGTGTCAGACGAAAAAGCTTTAAGTATGTTGTAAAATGTTTGCTTTTTTTTTATTCTATTGCGAAATCGTAGGAGAAAATCATCCTTCTTCCATCCCTCCAACATGCATTGCACCATCTGCTTTCAAGCTCGATGTAATGTAGGTTCTCGATCAATTGTTCCTCACTACGCCAAATATTTTGAATTAACAGAAACTCAAATCTACTTACCAATTAAGCCGTTTTCTCCTATCAAAACACAGATATCTAGGTTAGGCCTTGCTCGCATTTCGGTTGCAAAGAATCCTTCCTTTTCTTTGCGCCTTCGTTTTAATAAAACAGGAAACTTGTATATGTCGTCATCTTCGTCAGTGTCGTCCTCGTAATATTGACATAAAATTTTGCTGAATTGTTTCGGCATTGTGTCCTTGTACTGCTTTAAATGCTTTTCTGTATTAACACATAGTTTTGCCTGTCCTTTTAACACGAAATATAATGAGTTAACCTCATCTCCCTGCTCAATAATTGTTTCGCCAAAGTCAACGTTTCGAATTTGTAGGCACTCAGTTAACAGGTTTTTATACGCTGAGGGCCATTTCTTGAATAATGGGCTTGTTTGTACAAAGCCAGACTTCCGCAGCAGTTCGTTTGCAAATTTTTCGTGAACGAATTGTAAGAATATTTTCCGTTTGAAGCAGATTAATACTGTTTGCTCGTCTGTTATAATGGAGGCATTACGCTCTCCATCTTTCTTGAGGACGGACAATTCGCCAAAGCAACGACCAGAATCTGAAAAGAGTAGAAAATATCAGTTGCCTGTTTAAAGTTCTTATTATTTTTTGCTCCAGTTTAACTGGGAGCATGATAATTGAAAAATCATTGAGGGGCACATAATGTGAAATATGGCTTTGAAAAAAGCAAACATTTAGTAAACTAAAGCTTTTCGTCTGACACTCTTCAGAGTTTAAAACGTCAGAACATAGATCGAAAACTCTACGCTAAGAAATATATATACCCAGTTGTGGATCGAAATAGGCCAATCAGAAACACGAGCACATGACTGTAAAGGTTGACCAATCAGTGCCGCTTGCCTATTAGAATGTTACCAGTGGAGTCCTAAGGTGAAAACGAACTCCTTTTGTCTACACAGTAGCGGTTTTTTCGTGCTTATGTAGATAGATTGTAAAACTACTAGGTGGAACGACAATCGGGCTTTACCAATAATCCGAAACATGTCGCCATTGTAGTTTTTTGCACTATCTGGGTTTTCTAGTAAATGCTGCCCGATAGCAGAATCGCAGGTTTTAGTTGTAACTTTAGATTTGCAAGACCGAGGTGGCTGTTCTCTTTGCGGATGGGTTTTGTTTCTAATATTAGACAGAACATGTTGTTTTATTCTATCCTCCAATCTTTGGGTGGTGCGTGCTACGTAGTCAGAATCACACGCTCCGACCTTTGAAAGGTAATTTTATTACACTCTTTCTTGTAGTATTGACGGTGTTGCAACAATAACAGAAGTCGTCGATTTATCTTCTTGGCCAAGCCTCTGTGGAGGAGAAGGGGAAAGATCAACTTTCTCGAGCATGTTGTCTTGCAGTTCTCCTTGAATTTCACCAATCGACGTAACAATGAAATTGAAATTGAAAGCCCTGGTGGAAGCAGATCTGTTCTTCAACGCTCAGGTGAATTCAGGCAAAACAGCACATATTTGGGCTAAAATATCTATTTCTTTTTCATGCTTCATTGGATAGTTCTTTTTATCCTACCTATTGCCATAGCATACTGTTACCGTAAATCCCTGAATTGGCCCCCCTCAATTTGATGATTTTTGCCGTATTAGAAAGGACGAAATGTTTGAACTGCTAAAACAATTTTGTTTACGGAAACAATCTTTTTGTGGAACAAAATTTAAAAAAGACTTTGAAAAAAGCAAACATTCGACTATACTAAAGCTTTTCGTCTGACTTTCCTCGGAGCATGAAACGTCAAAACATAGATCGAAAACTCAACGCTAGGAAATATATATACCCAGTTGTGGATCGAAATAGGCCAATCAGAAATGCGATCACATGACTGTTGAGGTTGCCCAAACAGTGCCGCTTGCCTATTGAAAATGTTTTGGAATCTTTCTACAAAATCATGAAAAACTGCTTTTTTTATACAGAAAGAGTTCGTTTTCACCTTAGGACTCCATTGGTAACATTTTCAAGAGGGAGCATTTGAATCACGAAACATCCTTTGACACCCACTTTGGTTTCTGTGGAGAATTTGAGTATATATAAAAATTTTACTTCATTCTAAATGATTTATTAACTGTATATGTTCAGAACGTTATTGGATGCTAGCAATATCATCGAATTCAACTCACTAAGTTGGGCGAGTTCATTTCCAAAACGCATTCTATCTTGAATTCCACGTGCGTATGTCAAATCACCAGCTACAACCTCTCTTCGAGTTTTCCTCTTTGATGGTCTCGCATATACAGAAACAGATCCACGTACGATGACATAGAAACTGAAAGTCAGAAAAATTGATATCAAACTTGAAACTCTTGTATGTCATTGTAGGCCTAAATGGTGTACCGTTCGCTCTGTCTGTGGTTTCTTGTTCATTTGCACCAAGCAGGTAAAGAATTAACATCATTCTACTTTGCTTTCATTTTTTTTTGTTGCAATGAATTTTCAGGAATGAAGAAAAAAATGAAAAGCGCTGCAAACCATGTCAAATAATCATTGTGAAAAATAATGATTCACGGCTCCTTACCAATCACCGATCTCGCCTTGACGAATTATAACGTAATCTGGTCTATGCCACGATAATGTTGCAAACTTGATCATCCCAATCAGGCTCTCTGCAATAAAATAAAAGCATAAATTCACGATTATCATCTGATTTAGACTAGACTAGACCCTCATAAATAATAAAGGTCATTGTGTTTTTCAAGTTATTATCATGCTTGGAACTAATCAAATCGAATATTATGATTTAAAACATCTATGGCATAGGCTCAATGGCATAGCAGCAATGGCATAGCATCGATGGCATAGCAGCAATGGCATAGCATCGATGGCATAGCAGCAATGGCATAACAGCAGTGGCATCGCATCAATGGCATATATATAGACCTTCGCATGTATCATCCCTGGGATTGCCTTACCACCTCACCTTACGTACCATTATCGGTTCATAATCTCTACCATTATCTCTTAATTTTGGAAGCACCATATTTTCTAAACTGTTTTTCGTTCTGTTATATGTCTACAACCTCAAGTCTGTTAGCGATTATGACTGATCAGAACAAACCAGTCACAAAACACCAGACAAGCTAAATTGCGAGATAAAAATCGAAGGAGCCTCGGAGAACTCCAATTAAAGTTCTACAAGCCGCCTTGTAACATCGAGGTCACAGTTTATCACGTTCTCAATCACTTGACCAGAAGGTAACTCAAGCTCAGCACAGTGAGTCTCGACGCGAAGAGGAGGCGAAGTAGAATTTGGTTGGCCGACCGTGCATGTAACGAGGTAACGAGTTTTGGTTACCGACCAATCAAATAACGAGTTTGATCGTCGAACTATCAAATAACAATTTTGTTTTGGAGAAATCTCTGCGAGATATTTGGCTGTAAGTATGTGACAAAAGACAAATGAAGGCGAAAGTCGTAAGTTTTCGGCCCGGTTTTTGAGAGTCCTAGCATCTTTGGAGATTAAGATTTTTCAATCACTCTTTTCCTCACGCCAAGCTCCCTTGTGGCTTGCACCCTCAACATTTTCATTTTGTAGACCAAAAGTTGGGAATAAACTAGAACATGGGATTAAGATAATCCCCTCCATTACAATTTTATCCCATTGTTAAATTGTTCCATGCGAGGGGCATCATTTCACAGAAATCTCATATGACTCTTGCAAATGTCTTTTTGTTTTAGAGGTCTTTTTGTTTCATATGCAAATGACAACCCCCCCCCCTCCCCCCAAAAAAAATCTTTTAGAATCTTATTTCTCTGTAAATGTCTCTTATGCTGTCTAGGAAAAGTGTTGCATCCCTCGGTGCTTCGGCTCGTTTAAAAGCAGCCATTCTCAACGTATGTGCCTACCGTATATATATCATTTTTAATATAAACATTTTAAAATGTAAAGGAGAATCCAGAGCATGGCCTATCTAGCGAGATCTCATTTTATGATCTCAATCTAATTTTCATTGTCACTTGTTTCAATTCCACTGTTTCCAGTGAGCAAGGGACACAAGTTTGAACATGCCAAGCATCTTCAGAGACGCATAGCAAAGGCACAGTTACAAACAACGATCGTTTCGTCGGTTACACCATACCATTATCGATCTGTGCAAAGATGCATGTTGCTTGCCTCAGCCAGGCAGCCAGTCGAAGCAGCTTTTGGACTGGCCGTTGCTCATGCTCCGTCTGCATCAATTGTTCAATTGAATCGGGGTCCATTCTTTTTGCTTGATCTCTACTTTTTGTGAAATAGCTAATGAGTTAGCGTAACTGTCATCAAAATGAGGATAGGTCTCTTCACATTGAGCTGAACATCGTGTTCACAGATTTTTCTTTTATTGCTTTGATATTATCTGCACTATCTTCTTTATTTTGAGCCTTTTTATAATCTCAACTAATTGGTAGGCCAACGAAATGATTCTGTTTAAAGTTTTGTGTTTTATTCACCGTCCCAACGTCAGTTACATCGTAAAATAAACGAAATTTTACTAGAACTCATATTAATCTGACGTCACTACAACCTTGTTTTGATCGGGCTTCAGCCAATGGTCTCCCAAGGTTAATTAATCAACCACGTCAAATTCGAGATATCAGCTTTGATCGAATCTAATAATCTTGACAGATTAAATCTTGTTGTGGAGTGAAACCAAAGCTTTACAAAATTGACGTAACGAAAGTAACTTTAAGAGGTATCGCCAAAAAACATTTTTCGTCGTTCTATTTTTTTATGTGAACAGCAAAGACTATCGCAAAAAGCTCTTGCCTGGAATACAGAAAGGGGGTCTAATTTAGGGGAAGAAAGTTGAAGTGAGCAAGGGTACGAGTGCCTGCGAACGCGGGTCGTCTGGAGGCCGATATCGGAAGATTTAAATGAGCGCGTGATTGTCTGAAAATTAAAAACAAACCAATTTTGAACGTTACTGCTAGGCAGAAGCTTGCCTTGTGCCGAGAAATCTCCAATTTTCGGATTTCACATGATCAGTCGATTATTTGTTGATGATCATCGAGCCGTGAAAATACTAGGTTACCAAAAATTCAATAGTACTGGTTTCTCTCGCTTGTTTCTCGCAACATGTATGTGATACAAAGCATGTAAAACCATTTTTCGGTAGAACTTATGACCAGAATCTTTTTGCATTTTTCGGGGGTCAAAATTTTGCGTTGAAGTCTCTCCAACTCAGCGTCATCTTTGCTCAAGGAGACCAGAAGAGTGCTTCCCCGAACATATCAAATATCCCAAAGGCAATGGCTTACTGAAAGACTTGGAGGGGTGGTGGGGTTAGAGGGGCTGTGCTAAAAATAAAGTAGGTGGTGTAAGATTTTTCGTAGAGCAACCCGGCTGTATACTTTGATATCATTTTAGTGCCCGACTGAATGCTTAATTATAGACAAGCTATTTGCTTTACCAACGAGCAAAAATAGCCGAAAGAGATTAGATCGAACCATTCTTTTCTGCCCTTCTGATTTCGTGTAAAGGGTAGGAAATAAATTGTTATAATCTCATGCATATAGGAAATGCAAAACCTAAGAATCTCTTGTTTAGAAGATTTTGTTGTAGGATGTTTTAGACTCGCGATGCCTCACAATAGGCCTGTACTGTACCCTCATGAAAGCTGGTGATTGAGGGAAAATGCCCTTTAATACAAAATATGTATGATTTTTTAGGCTAAGAAGTCCTTAAGTAAAAGTTGCTGGATAAAGAAGGTAGCGGTTAGCTGAATTCATATGTTCTTCTTTAGAGGGATGTATGTACTTCGTTCTTCCTGTTCCTTGCAGCTAGAGACATAGCTATTTGCTCTTCACAGTACTACCCTATTTATTGTTACCCATTTTCTTCCTACTGATTACTTGAAAAAGTAACAGCCTCCCAAAGCACCTCTATTTAAGCAGCCGTTTAGATTTTATAGATATCAATCCATGCATCTTGCTGAAAATCTCCGTGAATTATTAGGTACACTCACAGGCACGTTATACTGGTGGTAGTATAAACGTTTCACAGCCAGATCAATGCAAATAGGTTGTGTTTGCCTCTATATCAAATATATATTTAGGTAACAAGGCCTTGTCATAGGCAAGGCAGTAAAATAAAACTCTCAGCTGCAATCACTGTGGGTAAGCGATGTACTAGAAGTGACATCATGCCAGAATATTCTACCTTGATCTGTCAACGCTTGTCACAAACAGTGTTTACCCAAGCCATGTTAAGATCTTCGAATAGTTCATGGGTATAAAGAACGATAGTTCATGCGTATATCTCGTAAATCCAATCTGTCCTTTCAAGAAGCAATAAAGTTGAGATGACTATTGCAACCAAAATCGTCTCAACCAAAATTCATTTTATGTTGTTAGCTATTGATCCCAAATAATTAAGGAGATATCTGCAAGTTTTGATACTGCGACAACGGCTAAAGGTGTTGAGCTTCGTGGCTTATCTAAAACCTGATGTTTGTCTTGATTATGCATCATTTATAACAGGCATCGATATCAGCATTTTTCGGCATTGGCATCGCTCAAACTTGCATTTTATTGCGCAGAAAAAGTCTATTCCTGGATTGAAGTATGCTAAAACATGAAAATTTGCAACCACAAAGCACCAGAAATCCGTCCCAGGTAGAATCTGTCTACCAAAGAGCAGTACACTGGTTGGGTATTTTTTGTTGAATAAAATTAAAAAGCATCTTTGAAAATAACACGATCTACTTTTCAACATCATGTGTTTCTTTCTGACATTATGTTATCATGTTTTCTACGACAATACTCGGGTGATTGTAACCCCCTAGCATTCCCTCCAACAGCTCTGAAGCTCTCTCTATTGATCGGTTGTACAGTTTTCATACAAGCGCAGTATGTGAAATGCTTAGCACCTTGTGTGTCGATGTACCTATTTTGAAAAAAACATACCCCTCCAAACAATCTGTCATTTGACGATCATTCAACTACACTTTGAGGAGTTTGTTAGGTTCACAATCCTTTATAGATTTTGGTGCAAAATCTAATTCTTTGACTGTACTGTTTTCAAATAATTTTATTTTTGCATTGTTTATTGACCCCACACTCAATTGAATAGTACCTTAAGCTGTAATGAGAGCTGCATAAGTCACAATGCGCTGTCTGGTTTCGTTCTTTTATTTCTCCTTGACGACATAATCTAAATACTTAGCATATGATATGAAACATTTTTGTTTCCGGTCTGTTATAAAGTGCTCGATGCCGTGAAGGCGCACAGCTGTAAACGCTATTTGGTGTGTAGAACAGGACGGTTCCAAGCTGCTCTTCCGAGTTTCACGGCTAGTGCGATTGTCAGGCAATTTGCGAAGTAGGAGCTTAGAACCTTTCTGTTCTATACACCGTGTAAAGTTTACGATACTTATATAGTACAAATCATTTGATACAAGCATCTTCGTAAAAAAATTATGCTTTTTGGTTGACTGAAGGGTGTCGTGATAGAAACATGAAAAAGAAGGAAAGCTTACCTTTTTCAAGCATTCTGAAGAATGCACTTCTGTCTCTAAACCATGGCAGTACTTGCTCTATTAGCCGTCTTTCTCTCTCCTCTGATTTTAGCTGTAGAATTATTTCAACCAAATCCCACTGCGTCATATCCTTTACTGTTTTAAAATGTGTTTCTGTCATTCTGTTAAACGGTGGCTTTATACAGAATTCTTCTTATCAGCTGTTTTAATAATCCAAAAGATAAAGTCATATGAAATTATCCCTACATGTATTCTTATTGAATGAACTAACTTCGCGTTATAACCCCTGTTAATCAAGGGATCAAGCTCAATAGTTCCAATCCTCCTCGTGAATTATGTATCAAAACGTGTCGCTGAAAACGTAAAACTTTCTGAACTTGACAATGAGGCATGCGTTTTCCAACTTTATTCGCTCACCATCTCTTGTCCTAGCTAGGACGTTTATCCGCACAATAAGTCGAATTTCGTCAGCAACGTTAGCTTTTATCATCGATATATATGGAGGAAAATGTGCATTGCTGCAAACTGCCAATCAAAATATTTGATGAAAAAATATCAGATGTATGTCTGTTGCAAAATCCTGAGCATCACTGTGTGAAATTACAATTTGCTTCTGTTATGATTTTGCACAGATAGTCAAGTCTTCGTGTGGCAGCTTATCATGGATATCTAAAATTAAAAATCGGTATATGTTATCAACTGATAGTGTAAAACTGAGCAGATTTTCAGACTTTAACAACAAGTAATACTACAAACAATGTTATGTGAAGTGTAAAAACATTATAAGTAAAACGCTGCAACAATTTGTAACGAGCTTCTCCTTCAGTGAAGTCCCATAAATATCATGTGTCTTTAAGGATTGAAAAATGCTTGTGAAATGCAATGTGTAAGGTCTCTTAAATCAAAACACAAACTTATAGCTTTTTATTGCTGTTTTAAAATGAAATTTCCTTAGCAAAAGTGAAATTGATTTTGGTATCGATCAAGAAAGCTAAATACCAAATCATGAGCAACGTGCATTATTAAAGACAATCCCGAGTAGCACAACAGCCATATACTCCTCAGTTAAAGCTCCAATCTGCACGTGCTCTCTCAATAACACTATGAAATTATATGCATACATTTTAAATATAATAAAGTTGCTGTAGTTGTCTGCCAGAAAACTTTTTCAATAGTACCACTTTGATGGCTGTCTTTGTGTCCTCTTTTTTATCAAATACAATCCACATCGCCAACATAAAACTGCATTTGCACGCATGTGCCCTCTCATGTAAATCATTGGTGAACTTCTGATTCACAAATCAGTTCAAAAAATTTGCAGTCAGTCTTCGTTAAACTTGCAAATGTCTAGCCACAGAATTATATTGTTTTTCTGTGGCTAGCATTTTTCTTAATTTACGGCTGGATTTTGAGAATTTCTGCGCAGAAAATATGCTTGAAATGCATGTTTTAAAGGCTGTCTTTCAAGGCAAAGGTTGCAGGCTACTTTACATAGATGATCAGCTCTTTATAATTAGTGAGAGGAAATGCGGTTTTGCATCTAACAGGCGATTTACAAGCTGACGCGGCATTAGACAATGCATATCGATAGCTGTTTTTAATCGAAACTACTATTAATTTTAAAAATTTCAAGATATGTTTCCCATTATACTGCTTGATTTCTGTATTTGCTTAGTTTTTTGTTAGATTTCCTTTGAAAGCTTTTTCTCTGACACTCCCTAGAACGTAAAAGAATATAATGATTGAAATGGTAAAGTAAGAGAAAGTATGCCTCAGTTGCGGATGGAACTCTTGCTATTACGAACCAAATTTTAGGTCTCTTCATCATAATTACCCTCGATATAACGACATTTTCATAAAATTTTCATCTGTCATTTCTATTTATTTGTCACTTTCTCACGTGAGAAATCATTATTATCATCAGCAAAACATACATCGGAAAACATGCACATTTTATGATGCTGGCAATGTAGATGAGTTAAATGCAAAGTTAATATCTTTTTAAGGATTTATGCCATTTCACTGAACAAAGCCAAAACACAGAATACTATAACAGACTTTTTGCTCCCATATTGCGAGAGAAACATATTGGAGGTCCAGGGAAAATAATTGCTGACCACACCCTTAGCAATTTGTGAAAAAGCCCCATTTTGTTTAAGCGTTTGAGAAAGCTATGGCTTTTTTACGTGGCAATGTTTGGCTAAGCAAACACAATAACTGTCATATTTCAGAATCCAGTTACTGTCCTATTACAGATTTGCACTTTTTGAGCCTCTCACAACAACCTTCTTAGCGGCCGCCCCCTTCTCCCTTGCCCCCCTCTCTACGCCACTGCATATTGTCAAGGATTCATGTCAATTGCATAGTATTTTTTCTAATGGTTAGTATACCTAGTCTGTTACAGTTTTCTTGTTTATAATCGTGCATTCTGTTTTGTCTTCTACAATATTACCTGACACTACAGCGTGTAATCATAGTTAAATCATATATATCTATGGTAAAACCTACGCAGACCTCTACCCTGGGGCCGGGGGGTCATCTCACAACACTATCAAATGTAAGCCGTGTCTGAGAGTTTAGAAAACTGACCCTTATCTCTCATATTTGATTCCAATTTGATTCCCCTTTTCTTTGAAACCAAAGAAAATTTAAACCCTTTTTCCTGAAATCAAGTAGTTGAATTAAGCCAAACAAAGACAAATTTGAAATTTTATTAAGATTCTCATATCATAACCTTTTTTCTATTTTCTTTGTTCTAGATATGTGACAAAATTGCACCCCTTTCTCCGAGATATTGAAGACACGGGTGCTTACACTGGACAATGAGAGTGGACCCGCCGGGACCTTGAGTATTTGAGACACAAATTTTCGACCGTGGAAATGGAAAACCAAGCGGAGAAGCGGAGGAGCATAGACTCTCGAATTTACGTGGCTCTGGTACCCAGGGTAGCAAACGTTAATGTCCCCTTTGCCAAAAATTACGGATCAATGTTTAGACGTATCTTTTTGCCTGGACAACTCGAGTAGATAAAAACAAAATCTATAGAAATCAAAAGTCGAGTAAAATTAGATAAAAATTGACAGGGCATCAGGCGAGGAATCCTTTATTTTTCAAGTATGTAAAATATTATCGTCTTTCGAAGGTCTTCGAAATTGTTCTAGTTTAAAGTCACAATTTTATTGTAAGATCGCAGCTGCAAGTGATTGGTCTGGGATAGTAATCTTCATGTAGATGGACACTGTGGGGTATTATACACATGTCATCGTTCTCTCCACTAATAGCATGGGTTGTGTATTACCATAAACTCCTCTTTCTGTTACATTATAATCACATTTTCTTAAGAATTGATATTTTCGATGGATTTTCTGCATAATTCACTGTGTGATTCAACCCTCTCTTGTCTAAGAATAAACACCCATTCCTGAATTATTAACAAAGCTTTTCCAAGCACACTTTTAAAACACAATACATGATTTATTCAAAGGGTGCGGGGTGAAAGTTGGCGCCAATGCACTTTCAGTCCAAATATTTTCACAGACATTCGTTTTTTATCAACAAGTTAATCATTAACTTTTTCTTCATAATTGTTGGCTAGCGAGTTAACGGTTAACAGGTTTTCGAAAAAAGATTCAGTAATCACCCAAGACATGTTCTCAGTTTCTCGGTTTCAGGCTGAACATTTTGGAGACAGTTTTGGTAAAGCATCATATCCTTGATCAAGTATTTGAAAGCTATCAAAGATATGAACAAAGATTTTATGTCCAGCTTGAAGGAATCTAGAATCTTTGTGTGGCCGTACCAACTTGCCGCAACTTGGTTACGAATGATAATTGAGGAATATGGAGGCAGGACAATACTGTTGTCCATCTGTATGTCTAGTGTCTTATTTTCTTGACCACGGTTATAAAAGTTAAAAATGAAAGGTATTGAAAATTTTCATGAGCATGAAACTATTCATTACCATCATCATCATCATCATCATCATCATCATCATCATTACATTTAAGTTTAGCAACCCTTTTGAGTCATACAAATGTCTGCCTAGTCAACTACAACATTAAAATTTACTGAGGTGATTTCGGCCAGTAGTACTTTATTTTAATTGGTCGTATCAGACTACTAATCGTTATCCTCGTTTTTGAGAAATAGGATCAAAAGTATTTTGGTAAAGGAATCGTTAAAATTTACCATCGTTTTTCAGAAGAAAATTTTTTTCAAGAATACAACCCTCAAATTAGTCAAATGTTAGAACAAAGAAAGAACAAGCGGTGGCTGAGCTTTAATTATGAACATTTTTGCCAAGCCCCACTAAAACATTTAATCTCAAAACCAGGATTTTTTTCCATTCAGGGGTGCCTTTATCGGTGAATTTCCAAACTTTCCGGCAAATAAAAGATGGCTCAATAACTTTTTTGGCAAATGAGGCCTAAACAGCCCCCTAGAGCACGCTAGCTAGCAATTCACTGCTTATACCAGGGGTGGGTGTCCTTTTTAGAGAGTGGGCCAGATCGTTCAAACCTTTGTATTAAACGGGCCAAAGGTAATGAGAACAACGAATACGATAGTTTGAATAAGATGATAAAAAAATAATATTGAAAAAGTTTCATTTGAATTCAATTTTACTAAAATAGAAACCGCTTTATTACATAGAAAGTTTACAACTGGTTAACCTGACTTTACAAGGTAAGATTATTACAATCGTAAGTGCAGGAAGGAAAATTAACAAGAAACAACCAAAAGCAATAAAATGATGTTATTGAAGGTTTTGAGAAATAATCTTAGGAAAGAAATGCAGGATTATTCACCAGTCAACGTTTAGCATCGGTCTTTTAGCCAAGACTGTATAGCCTTCAATATACGTAAACATCAATTTATCAAATATAAGCTCCCCGGAGCAGTACCAACTGGGACATGACAAACTAGGTACAACTGTAATCCCTGCATAACTGCTATGAGTGCGCCCAGCAATCATAAAAAGAGTGTATACTGTAAAAATATGAAAGTAAAAGACCTATCTTGGCAATAAGAGTAGCTCGTTGTTCTGATTGCTTGTTGTCCTGATGTTGAAGATAGTTTTCATTTAAGTTTAAGTTTCATTTGCAGCGAGGAAACAAAACTCCTTTACGAATATATTTTTAGTTTCTTGCAATCTTTACAACCCTCCCCCCACCCTCCTAACTGAATTTCAAATTGTGCTCCTAACTGAAAGTCTAAAATTGTGCTGGGCGAGAAGTTGAGCCTATCAGATACTTTTTTATGTCACGAACTGCTTTCAATAGTGATATTTCAAATAAATCCTGCAAGACAACTTACCTACATATTTTCCTCCTTGGCCGTTTTTGCCAGTGAATTGGATTACATTGCCAGTGAGTAAATTTAGATACATTCATGGATCTTAAAGATTTTCTCTCATTTTCACACTTAAAGACCGCAGGCAGAGGCTCGCGGCAAAGCAATCCCTTGGTTATTTCACATTTCACAACTCTTTATTTTGAAAGCTTAGCACAGGACTTGACGACTCATAACAACCCTTTCACGCCAATCATGAAGCGAACGTGTAGCATTATTGTAATGTTGACGAAAAAGGCGAAAAATTTAGATCCTTTGTGTTACTGCAAGTTTCTATGTCTTGAAACACGTCATCGAGACCACTGCTCAAGATAATCCCAGTACCGCCGCTGCGCTTTCCAGAATGCTAAGCAACGCAGGAAAATATCATTTTGGCGAGAACTTGTGGGTGTCCATATTGAAACCTCCCTTGTGATTTTTCATTTTTCAATGCAGAATGAAATCATCAGAAATTTGCTGACTTTGATATTTGACTTTGATACAGGCTCATCTAGTCGTGATTGCAGATTTTAATTGAATAGGAATAGTCTATCCTCAATGAGACATTAAATTTAACATAGCAGAGTATGTAATTTTCCAAGTTGTTGCACCTGTAGAAGTGTCAATTATGGAGCTTTAGTCTGGTTTTTCAGAAATTTCAGTTTCTTTAGACAATTTGAACGATATTTCAGCAGTTGCAACACTAGCAGGCAAGTCAGAAACAACCTTAATGCAATGAAAGCATTGGGAAATAAGCATTTTGAACTTCAATGCTAAAGCTTGTTCAACAGCTGCAATGGTTGATGCTCCTTAGTGATGTTAGGAGATATGTCATCCCTTTATGCGGCGCAGAATTTGGCACTTTTTTGCTAGGTTGAACCTTGTGTATAATCAAAGAATACAATATAATCAAATAAATCTTTTGGTCTTAATTTTTGGGACATCAAGCCCTTTGTCTAAACGAGCTTCTTCCAAGACCGAATCAACTAGTTCTGATTGCTATGTGTAGAATGTTTTAAATTATTTTAATAGTGAAAATCTATTTGATGCAGCATGCCCGTTTCTACCAAATTTAATATTTTTCACTTCTTAAGATTTTTTTAAATGTAAAGAAATGCATATTTAACAAATAAGAAATGTGCGTGCATTATGACGATAGTTTACCAGTAATGTTTAAACTATATTGAAATGATCCAACAAATAATAGCCACCATCGCAATTTCAGCAACCGAAGTAGCCGCAATTTTAGCAACCATCGTCTCAAGAATTTTCCCCGGGCCCCTTAAAAGGGTCGCTTCTGGTGTACCTTGCTTTTTATCTTTCGTTTTGACCCGGGGCCTATAAATCCTCTCCCCGTACCTGGTCACAAGTGGCACTTACCAATGAAATAATTTATAATCAAGAATCTGAACTTCAGCTCAGGCCTACAGATTGCTAAACAAAGTCTTATTCCAGGGAACTCACGGATCATGATTTTGCTAATAATATTATGATAATCTTGGCAAGATTTGTAGCTGAGATCTTTTGCAGTAAGTCTGCTCGGTCCTTTATACTAAGCCTGTAAAAAGTCCTTTAGATATTTTGCTCAAGACATATTTCATTTGCAAAACACTATATAATTTTCCAGGTCACTTCCTAGATTTTGCAGGTAGTATATGCAGTATTTTATCGCATTAGTATGATGGTCGAATTATAATAACAAATATGCGAAAATTACGATTTGGTTGCAGGTCATATTTGATCATGTCTGTTAATTTGTTCAGGTGTCTTTTTGTTTACTTTTTGATGCCACACTGAACGTGCCAAGCGACATAAACTGCTGCAGAGTAAATACAGCGGGCTTACGCTAGATATCTGCCCACCTATCTAATTTAGGAATTTTTGAAACGTGATTTAGCAGGGCCTAATGGCTTTGCAGACTGGAATTGATCCAGTCGTTTCAGACAGTTTTATTAGAAGGTCGAACTAGAATTTCTGCAGAATCAATGTTTTAAATATATATTTATGTTTAAATATATAATTATGGTCTGTCGTGTTAGCTTTTTCTTGTCTTAAAAAGTTCTAGTCTTTACGTGGTTATTGAGAGTTATGTTTGAATATTCTACATTGTACCAAGATATTCGCACAAACATTATCTTTTAGGGGGAAGGGAGGCCTTTCCATTGGGTTGGGATGAACATTTTCGCCTCAGTCGTACAATATCAATTTTCTATTTCTGTGAAACCCGATGAAAGAGCTAGGGAAAGTTGTGAACAAATAATAACAGTAAGTGAATGATGGGCTTTTAAAATTCCAAGTGAGCGATTCCTAGTAGTATATATCCTGTGGCATTATAGCATTAAGAGCTTGCCACAGTTGCAATAATTTGGTAGAAAGGCTGAAGATAATTACCAAAGATGTGTCTCTCTTAGAGGATATTTTATCTACATAATTTTAAATTTTCTACGTAAACAAACTCTAGATTTTATATCGTTGCATGGCCTCCAACATTGTTTTTGTTCGTGTAGCCTTGGCAACAATAAACTTAATTTTACTGAGCTTTTCTAAGGAATCACCAAGAAAATATATTCTATTTTCCCCTAAACCATATGTTCTTTTTTCCTTTCAACTTCTTTTTAGCGGTAAAAAACAACGCCATTCGTCTCATTGATGTCTAACTGAAGTTTAGATTTATACCTTATTAATTCATTAAAGTATTCTTTGTCATAAAAGCTTTTTATATTAAACCCACTCAAATAAAAGTTGATTTTCTTGACACGGTCTTTGTCAACTTCCGCGTCAGTTTGGCAGATTTTTCCAACACCATTTATCAAGAGAACAAAACAATCTTTAATTTCTATTACGATTCCACTTTCAACTAGCTTTGCTGGTGCAAAATTGAAGTAAACAATGCCGAATGACCTCAATTTGCAGCCCACAAGGTAAACAGGCGTCGCAGAGTTGCTTTTCTCATAGTGTTAGAAGCATACTTGTCAAGATACAAAGACTGTTTTTGGAATATACTTGTGTTGGTATATTCTAGAATACCGTAAATCCTCGAATTAGCCCCCTAGGGCTTAATTATTTTTTGATGTTTTTGGATGGGGGCTTATGCGAGGGGGGGGGGCTTATAAAATTATTGCAGACATTAAGAAGACATTAAAATACATCGTTTATTTTAGTAGAAATTTCTTCATGTGCATTTAATTAGTTACTACTAAAAGTATAAATTTGTTGTGGTAATTCAATAAAACGTCATAGGCAACCAGATGACAAAAATCATCAAATTGAGGGGTCCAATTTGAGAATTTACGGTAGCAGTGGGGGCTTATTCGAGAGGGGTGGGCATATTGACAATTTGTTATTCTATGGTGGGGGCTTATTCGAAGGGGGGGGGCCGATTCGAGGATTTACGGTAGTATGTGTTTGAGAATGGTACCGCAACTAATCCTTTTTGAAGATCTTCTTATGAAAGTTTAATCGAACAATTTTGTTCCATTTTTCAATGATGTCAGGAAAAGGTATGACAGAGAAAATTCGCACTGCTTTTGACTGCCTTGATAATGGAGATATAACTCAAAATTTAAGATTTTTACTCTTCTGATGCGCAAGCAGAAGATTGAAACAAGCTTCTGTGAAGAAAATTGGTCACTCTGCCGGCCATCCAGGTTTTGTCTTGACCATGTTCGTTTTAATTATACGTCCTTCCAATATATTTTGATAATTTCATACTGAATTGGTACAAACAAGCAAGTTTGACCTGAATTTCTCGACAATAATAGAATAGAAATAATAATACTCTTTTTATGGTAGCTAGCAAATGAATTGAAAATACATTTTCTTTGGAATCAAGGAACAGTTGACATTGACTTGACCTTTCTTAATTTGATATTTTCAAAAGTCTTTTATACATCAACTTTCCTGCACAGTTTGAACTAAGAAAGTAACGTTAAAAGCCCAGGATGCGTTAGCACTATTGTCTCACAATAGTCTATCGCGAGATTAAAAAAGCTGTTGATTGCTGAACTAAAGCGAACATTTTTTACTTTCCTTTTGTAAATAATGACTTTCTTGGTATTTGATATTTCGTTATTCTTCTTGATTTTTCTTATGTTTAGAGACATGTAATTTTATCGTTTTTCCAAAAGATTAACATGACACTTGTAATCGGCTTAATTTTTGCTAAATGTTACAAACCTTCACACTAATCGTTGCTCTTTTTGACTTGACTCAAGGAGTTACCACGCAAACCTCGTTCCCTTTTTACCAATCGATGTCAATCGATAGACAATTTCGTGTTTTGCAGCAGTTGCTATGAAGTGTCTCTGAAACACAACTTCACACGTGGGTTTTGACCTGTTTGCCTCCAAAACAATCTATATTTTCAATTTTATTGAAGCTCGTTAATGACAGGTGGTTCTTCGCTAATCTGCGCAATCCATGCCCAAATATTGAGAACACGTGACCAGATATCAACAAATACATGCGCTACTTACTCCACGAGTCTCTGTTTCGCTACGGCCTCACTTTATGGACGCCTATCTGTTGTAGTGTCCGTCAAGTTAGGCAGTAGCGAAAATAAAGCTCCTGGGGTAGGTCTAAGATCAAAGCGAAACTTTCTAGTTCATAAAAATTCCCAATCAATGCTTTTCAAAAAGAAACGCAACATTTCAAGCTAGGAACTCTACAAAGCAATAAAAAAGCAAATTTAAACGGAAGTGCAACGATTTCAAGTGGCCTGTGAAACAGTTCCAGTCAAGATATTTTAAAATCACAGTCTTGAAAGAATTTGAGTAGTTGTCGTCTGAACAACCGAGCACCTAAACCTATATTTTGTATAAATTTTAAAGGCATAATTGATCATATAAAATTTATGTGTAGAATATAAAGAGGTCCGCGTTGCTCCCACAACCAAGGTAAAGATTTTTGGGAAGATAGTTTCTGAGCAAGCAAATAACATAATGTTGATTTAATTTTCAGACGGTTGCACTAAATCACAGAGATTGCAACCTTGAGATCAAAGCGAAGGCTTCTTTCTTCTAATTTCTTGTTCGTAAAAATCCCCAATCAATGTTCGTCATAAACATCGCAACATTTTAGCTTACACGAGCTAAATTTCATTAAACTGGTCGAGACTGGTTTGAATTACATGAAATTCGATGGAACTTGTTGAATAATTTTGTTTTGATGTAAATAAGTTGAAAGAATAAAACTGGCTTTGTTTTGTTATTGCTACTTATCTCCATTCAGTTTATTTTTTGCCGATTCATAATTATGGTGTTCAATAACCGAAAATTGTCCTAACTGCAATAATTTTAACATTATTTCAATTTATGGCATTTATGCTCTTTGTTTACCTGCTGCAATCAGCTTAATTACAAGGCAGCTGAATAAATTACAATTTGGAATTTTTATTAGTTGAGATCATACTTTAACTATACGTTTGTTAGGGCGCACTGGGAGTTAATTTTCGAAGGAAAAATCTCAAATTTCTCTAAAATCCCGATAAATTAAGAAAAATTCTAAATTCCCAGGTGAATTTAGGTTTGTGGCCCCTTGCCCCCTAACGCCCCTGCGTTTGTTGCGGCGACTATAGGTTGCGCGTTGTATTTGTTTGTTTGCTGTTGTTATTATAATTATTTTATTCGAAATTTCATCTTCCCAGGCTCAATGATATTTGCCTTGCCTGGAATGCATATTGTACAAATTCACTAACGGTGTTCTTTATAAGGAAAGAGTTCAATTGAATTAATTGTTAGCCTACCAACAACGCGCGCCATTAAATCGATATTATGGCACCACCTTAATCTTGAAGGTGCGCCTTTGGAATTCACTTATTCTTTTGAATTGAAAGGCCTTATTTGAAACGGGAAAGAACGAAGTAACAATCACTCGTGATGTGGGCCTTCGTAAAGGGAATAGTTATCGTGAAGTCGCCCTAAGATAGCTAGTTCGTTCGGCTGTATTTAGGAGACAAATGGGAATCTCTGGAAAACTTGCTGTCTACATTTTACATATCGTTGTGGACTAATTTGAGAGTGGTGTGTCGGAATTCCAAGTATTCAAAACAACAACGTTTTGGTTTTCCTAGCGCATACAAATATAAGTAAATGAGAATTCAAGAGAGAAATCAGCTAATGATTGCGTGCCTAATTTTGGAATAGTGTACCTGGTAGAATTTCAAACAAGATCGTGTTAAAAGAAAACGGTTTGACAGTGTATGTCTAGAAGAAGAAATAGGACAGTTGCACTTTATTGCGGACCTGAATGCTGCGGGTAGCTTCAAAGTGGTAATTATAGACAACATGGCCAATATTTAGTGATGAAGAATTATGAGAGGAAAGATAGCCTTTTCGTTTTATGAACTTGGCTGAGACAAGAAGAAATGCTCTTCCAAATAGAGCTTATTATACAAGCTTGTATCGAAATCTTTTTAAAATCCACTTTGAAAAAACTATAACATTATATATAATTTGAATTGAAATGGTGAAATTGGGTGATGTCCAACGATTTACAATGTGGTTATGTGGTTCCATTGCAGCATTTGGTTGCATTGCAACCTTGATTGCCTATGCCATGTATAATAACAAGGAAACAGCTTATTGTCCTGATGACAACCAAGCTAACTGTAAAAACACTAGTTCAACTGCCAGTGAAGCAGAGAACAAAATCCTGAAGCTTGTTTCACCTATATCTATAGCTGTTGGGCTTTTGTCAATTGTTGGAATAAGATGTTGGCAGCAGGCGTCAAATGAAAGAGCAGTTCAGACAGCCGAACTACCTGGAGTTGGACAAAACAACACTGCATACCAAGGACATGAAAGTAATTCTTTTCTCTCTTATCCATTTTTGGTGCATTTTCCGAGGCTACATTGTTTCCTAGACTGGGTTGTTTGTTTTCAAGGGTCATAAAGTTTGCTCCTGTTCTTTGTCATTTGTATATATAAAAAAATTGATGCAAGATTCAGATTTGTTTTGTAATTTGTGTATAGGCAATTGGTGTGCTCTTTACAGTCTAAATCCAGGTTTAAAATGGTCATAAATAGCCACAGCAAACTTATTTTTGAAAATTTACCTTCCACACTTGGCCGCACAACAAGCAAACTTTCAGTCTTGTTAGAATATAAGAAAATGTGAAAATTTTCGGAGCTATCAAATTAGAAAATTTTCAAGCATAATATCTGATAATTTAAGGATATCAGGGGATATTTTCCACAGTTTGAAGAATCTAAAGTTGGCTTTTTGAAATGGTATGAATGCACAAAGCCTGATTTAAAAAAAACTCTTCAAACTTTTTAGTAATTTTTGACTTCAGATATGAAATAAGGAGCACCATTTTAAGTGTTAGGAATATAAGTTATCAAGATACTAGTGCTTGTGACATCAATTTATGACAGCATAAACTTAATTATTTTATGAGGGATTTGACCCTTATTAGCAGCTGAGTGTTAAATCTTAATGTCATCTTAATATCTGCAATACAGGCACCAACAATTTGAAAATTAACATCCAGACGAAAAATATGATGGTCAATCTTTAATCAGAACTCAAAAAGAAAGTTCCATAAAGTTTGGAGTGATTTTCAAAATGAGGTTTTAAATCAGATTAGTGTAATCTTGGTTTTTAGAAGTCCAAATATCAGGTAGAACCAATGAAATACCTAAATGGAGCCAACCACCAATTGTTAATTGTTTTGCTGTTGCTGTAGTGAGAAGTAAAAATCTAAGCCAGTCAAAAACATAACACTAGGCTGTTAGCTTAAAGAATTTGTCTTAAGAGTAGATATAATCAAATATAACTTTGAAAGCAAGTGAATAGTTTTGGGGATGAAGCGGACATGTCAACTCCCTACAGGACTAACACCACAAAAGTGGGGGGCAAGGCTTTCTTACCTCTTTTACGGCACCTTTTAAACTACTTGCTTTGCAAAAAGTGGGGGGCATGGCCACCCCCCAGTACTCTTCATTATACTCTAACTATTCCTAGAATTGAGATTATAAATATACAATTTGTTAAACAGATATTGCTACTTTAATGTTTGAATGAAAAATGTTATGCTTTTAGAGAGATTTAAAAATAGGAAAAATGCGATATTTTAAAATTCAAATGCAATTTTTATCCCTTTTAGTTGATATTGGTGCACCTCCCTCATACAATGATGCATTAGGTATGGATGTCATCTTGGAAGCTCATGGTATGTAGTTGATATATACCCAATCAAAAATTATTCCCATCTTATAAGTCATTCACTGGACATTGGATTGACTGGGTCTCTAAAATTATGTTGGGATTTTTTATCATTGTGTTTGCTCAGCCCAGCCCTAAAATGAGTTAATTAGGCCTCTTATGTTTTTGATATTATTCAGAGGTTGCCTAATCAGCTAAAGTAATTTATTTGCAAAAATAGGCCTTATTTTCCTCCAAACTAAATTTCCTGCAAAAGAGAAATTGAAAAAAAGTTACCTAGGAAAATTCCCTTTCAAATTCCACGGATTATTCCTTATCTATTTGGCATTAAAAAATTTTTACAAAAGCTGTCTTAAGCAGACATTCAATAATTCAAATTTTTGTTTTAAAACGATGTTAGTAGAGAAAATGAAAGAGGAATATAGCTGGGGTTGAGAATTTCTCTCCCAATTGAAGTTTATGTAATTCAGCAACATATTTATGCTTTAACCAATGACATATGAACAGACATTGTAATGTTTAATTCATTTTATTTGACCAGCATTGACTCTGTCATCTGATAGCTCATATGGCTTAGCAAGGCTTGGGCGGTGGCTTTCAGTTGCAGGACAATCCCTGCCAAAGTATTGTTATGCTACAACAAAATTTTGCACTATTTCTATTGTAACCTGAAAGCCACTGCCTGGGATACCAAAAATTTCTTTTCTTAGTCCATTGTCAAATCCCCCACAGACCAAAACATACCCACCAAAAAAAGCCAACAAAGGTACACCCACCAAAACACACCCAACGAAACAGGCAGACAGTTACTAACCCTTCAATGGCCTTTTAATTTTGTATCTTTTCTGTAATAGCAAATTATTTGCAATTAATGATTAATTATTTATTAAAAAAGTTTCGTTGAAACAACGGTAATTTTCCACTTCACTGTTGGTCCTGGATTTTACTCATTTGCATCGGTACACGGACATCCTGGTTCCAGATACGATAACCCTTTTTGTTTAACTGGGATAAGAAAACTAATGGTTGCTTAGGTCCAGAGTTTATGCTCTATTGCCTAAATTGCATTCAGGAAATCGTATTCGTTATCCGTATTCGCAAGAAATGAAAAGAAAGGAGGGGCAAATATAGAAGAGTAACTTTGTCCCATCTACAGTTCCAACGTTTCTTCCTGCTTTTCGGTACGATATGGGGATATATTTTTGCGTATATGTATGTATGGCTAGTTTGTTCTACTTTGAGATATTTTAATTAGGAAGTTTTCCATCGGAGCCACCGCCGAAGTATGAAGAGATTCAACGTTTTGAAGAAGAACAGTCGACTAGCAGAGATGAAGAAGGCGGGGGCCAGTCGAATCAAGAAATGGAACAAAGAGGTTCACAAGACATATCTTCCACGGGCGATAATGTCTCAATCAGAACCGAGGCAAACTTGCCACCTCAGAATGAGGATGATAACGGAGATACGCCTGAATGTGATATTCCCAATGTGGAACAATTACCGAGAAATAATGATGAATTGAATGATGAGAACGGACAAAATATAGACTTAGGTCAGCAAAATGAAGCTGCTGAGATTTCAGATAGTACTCTAGGCATTTCCCAAGGGAGAGAAACACGTATATTTGTACAACAAAGGGATAGCAATCTAAGCGCTAATGAACTGGACGATTCTAATTGTGGTTATGCCCCATATCAGAACCCATCAAGAGAATTAAATGTTCAACAGACAAATAATGGCACCAGTGCCACGTCGTTGGTTTCTGGTCAGTGCTCGAATTCTGAAATAGGACCATTGTCAGTAGACGGGCGCCACTCAAGTGTGAATTCTGATACGACGATAAGTCATCTTGACAGAACAGTCTCTGAAGCTGATTGGTCAGACAGGGAAGAAGCTCAAGAGTATTCTGGCGTGTTCTACGTTTGAAAGGGTCAGCCCATCGATTCCCTGATGTGATGTATCTGACGAGCCCTCGGCTATAGATTTTAGCGTCCAAACGTGACACAATATGATGTTTTTTTGTATTCAATTGCATTTAATCACGCCACATTTAGTCTAAGAAACACTTTTAAAAAACCTGTAAAAGGTTATATACTGAAAAGATTATTGCTTTTGGCCAGTGGTCAACATATTCAAAGATTGGCTCCCCACCCCTAGAAATGTATCCATCCGTGCCCTTTTCCATGAAGATATCAAAATGTTTCTAAAAGTCTTAATCGCCAATAATCCAGGTATCTTTTACCAAGTCTTTTTACCTGAACGATGCTGTCATTGACGACATTATATGCTTTCGGTATATCATGCAAGTGAGTCTTAATAACTCCTTTTGATTCTTGCAAAGATTTAATGTGCTTAGAACTAATTACTTATTTTTTATATTAGATGACGTTTTCTAACATCAAAATTTAAGCCAAGATAGGAAAAGTAACACAAACATTTGTAGAGACAAACCTTGGTAGAATCTGAGTATACCCCAAGGTAATGCCTCAAGGATGCAGTAGTTTGCAGATGGGCTCCCAATGTTTACTTTTTGATAACTTCGTAAGAAAAGAAAGATTCATAATTATATATTTGTGCTTAAAAGAACACTTCACGAATACTGGATTGTCCATGTCACGATACTTCGGCAAGATCTTAAAAGCTACCTAATTACAAAATATTCGAAAATGTTACCTTTCTTTTATGGGCCTAACAAATAGAAGACATTCTCTCTTCCGAATAGAAGACATTGTTAAATAATATTTTTCGAATTTTTTTGTTTACCGCATTTTAATTCAGTGTTGAATTTTGTGTATAATTGAATATAGCATATTAAAATTGTAAATAGATTTTTCTTCAAAGGGCTTTCTGATATTTATTCGTTATTTATACCAGCATTACAGAATTAAACGACTAGAAAGCTTTTCCCGTTCATGTGTTGTGGTTAAAGCAATCTTTAGATCGAAACTATATTTTGAAAATGCCAATAAACTTTCATGCATTTTTTGAAATCATTTTTTACAGAATAGACTTTTGTTTTGTATAAAATTTTCTATCTTGCCGTTTTCAGTGTATTTAGTCTGTTATTTTCTTTATTAAGCATGAGCATAGTTTTGTACTTTTTTGTGTTTTTGGAGAATTAGCCCCTGTTTGTAATTTTTTCAATGTATAATATAGGATGTAAATTCTATTTAATCTTTTACATGCAAGCATTTTCCACACAGTTTGTCTTTCTTATGTTGCTATTCAATTGTTTCTCTATACTTCTTTCCAAGTCTTTAATTGAAAATTTAAATAGATCCACCTCAACCGCTCTTTTTATGTCGATATCACGGTGCTATAAAGACTCATTTGGATATCAAAGCGTTTTTACAACGCATACCAATACTAGGATAACATTGATATTAATGCAAATATGGTGTTATCAATACTCGTTCCAATGTCATAGCGCTTTTAATACGCATGTCAATATCGTGGTGTTACTTGTACTAATGCGAATATGGCTTATCGATTCATATGTTAATCTTGGCGTTTTGGATACGTATGCCAATAGTATGATGTTTTTATTCAAATATTGCTAATCAATACTTATGCCAACATTATTGCGCTATTAGTACTCAATAAATCTGGCGTTATCTATACCAATGCAAGTATTATGGCGCTGTCAATACATATGCAAATATCATGGCTTTGTTAATACTCGTGCAAAAATGGCGTGAAGTTTTCCCATGCAAGTATCATGGCGGTGTTGGTAGTCTTGCCAATATCACGACGTTGTTAATACTCATACAAATGTCATGGCATTGTCAATACTCATGAAGTTCGTATGCCAATATCATCGTTCGTAGGCCCCCCAATTTCGTCACATGTCATGAAAATGTCATAGTTATTCGCTGTCAAAGTTTCTTTGTTGCAAATTTGGTGTCCGTATGTTTGCAAGAAACCAATTTTTCTCTAACACGACGTTATTAGAGTATTTAGAAAGAAACAATCAACATGAAGATGTTCACGGTTATCGCAGTAGATGCTCTACTTGACGCTCAGGATTCAACAACGGCAAGGTATCCTTCAAATCGTTATGCCAATGGTTATGCAAGGGTCGTTCTTTTCAGGCATCTAGTGCATCAGCGAATATTTACAGTGACTGCATAGCTCAAAGTGACATGAATTAGCATATTTTATCATCATCTTGAAAATAAGAAACACCGCAAACGTCTAAAACAAACAAAACAAACACATAAATTATAGATAGCTAACATTTATCCCAGCAGACGGGGTGATTCATCAGAGCAAAAATGTTCATATCATGCCCAGTCACGATGCCCCTGTCACTGGTCTAATTTATATCTTCTAATAAAGCAAAGTAAGTGGTCAGCCAAATGAAATCTGAAGGATCACCTTTCTTCAGTTCCTCTTTTAACTGGCCTTCTCTTCTTTCGTTCTGGATTATCAGCTGCTTCACAAAAGTTCTTTAAACACCAAGCGTCTGGCCAGGACCTCTGACTGTGGCCGTCAAGCTTTTAAATACTGTTTCTTCTACCATTGGGATTGTTTCAGACCACGTGAGAAATATTGAAATGCGATTAATTTTCGCTATAATTTTAACCATTTGTGGTATAGTAGACCACCGTAATAGTAGTAGACTCTGGTTATATCAACACCAAAGGTTACTTGAAAATGCTGCGACAGAAAGCATTTTGTTATTCTAGACGGGGCTTGTTTGAATAGTTTAGCAGTTCAGCGTATTTGTATGGCACGCCAAACCCGTCAAAAGTAATCAGAATTGTCGATGACAGTTGAAATTTTGTTGTTAAGTTCCTGGAATTTGTTTTCTCTTAAAATGTGTAGTTTTTGTAATCAAAAAATTTGTGATTGTCAAATTTTCAAATTCTGATTGTCAAATTTCAAATTCTGATAGGCAAATTTTCAAATTATCCCGAACGAGGCTGCATGCAAAACAGAAGTGAAGGCAGGAAACTGGAAGCACACTGGACGACTTTTATAGATCGTTTCTATCGCTCTTGCAAGTGATTGAAACTTCTTTTGAAACAAAAGATGTTAACCATATCGAATATGGCGAAAGACAGTTGCAAATTTACATCCAAATAACATTTGCTTTCGTCAGTGTGCCCACCCAAAATGGTCAAAATCAATTTGCACACATATTGGAACAACTCGCCTTTGAGCTCACCTTTCATTATCAACTCTATTGAAAACAACCAGACTCAGGCACAGAATAATGTGAATATTCAAAAAGAAAATTCAACAGGTGGAAGGCCAAGATTTAAGATAGACGCATTCTTGGGTCTGAATTCTATATTACTGTAAAGAGTAGCGTGACTTAAAGGCACTATGTCTGGAGGCATTTTGCTGGCCATTTAAATTTCAATTGGTTAGACTATACAATAGACCTATTGTTATACAGCCAATCGTCAATGTTTTCTCAATTTTAGACCCGCTGCAAAGCCTATAGTTATTTCTAAACGGTTGACTAAAGTGACAAGCCAAGTGACTGTAAACGAGGTTGACTGTAACGATCTAAACAATTCATAAATTTTCAGTAATTCAACGCTTCTTAATGTCATCATAATGCTTGGTGTTTTATCTGTTTACTCGAGTTACTGATTGTGGTTTGTCTTGGCTTTTGTGTAAAGCGTCAAAACCCAGTTTCAGTGACAAACAAAATTCTTAAGACGAACATAAAACTGCTTATCTAAATGTGGCTTAAGAGCAACCAATTTGCTTTGCATTTTTCTTGGAAGCCTGATACACGAGTATCAGGTTAAAGTGTTATCCACTTCCTGAATACGCAAGATCTTGGAGTCTTCGGGGAGTGAGGAGGGCGGGGCAAGGGGTTTGCTTGCAGTAACTCATGCATTTCGTAATCTAGAAACTAAGGAGAGAAACAGCAGCACAGTTTACGGTTGAATTTCGGGTATGATAATTTTTTAGATATAGAAAGACCAATATCATACCTTTTTATATTTCTGAAGGGTCACCGATGCGGGCCAGGGTAGATAGGCTAAGAGCCTCAATTAAACTAAAAATGTATTCGATCTATAAGAAACTATTCCTCGAAAGGAAATCCCAGGCCAGGCCCAATCGTCAGTTCAAGGTCCCAGGTTAGAGTTAGAGGTCAGCCGCAGAATTTGACGCAATTTCCTTAATTTTTCTTTGACGACTGGCACGTAAACATGGAAATTTTCGATCCGTCTCTAGATTCTTTTTTCGTGCACTATTTTGTACTTGACAGTCATTGCTGGCACCAGAGCATGACTACAGAGAATGACACGCCCATATTTGGGTTTGTGTCTTTCAGTTTTCTACGCTGTGTACCAGTGGGTCACTATGGGGTTTCGGTAAAGGAGTTGTATAGAGAGATACAAAGTAGAATCGAAAGAGGTGCATTTCCTTGAAGACGCTCAGCAACCCAGGATTATTGTCTTTAGGTTTTTAGTCTACCCACAGCAAAGTTTCCTATGTCTGAGTCAGCCAATTTCACTTTCGGGTTTTTATTTTTTTTATATACACTCATTTGTTATAAGGCGAAATTTACAAGAACGCGAGCCTCGAAATTAGTCAAAGGTTAAGAACAAATTAAAAACAAGCTGAGGCTGAGCTTCTATAAAATGTAATTTTGAACAAAGTATCCTTGTCATCTAGGGGTGCTTTTTCGGTGAATTTTTATCCTTACCGGCAAAGAGAGGATGCATCACTCGCTTTGTTGGCAAATGAGGCCTGACCAAAGCAAAATAGAATAGCCTAGATTCGTTAATATCAATCAATTTATTTGGCTGGTTTGCATTAAATTTAAGACGCAAAAAAATTAAATTATTGTTCCTTCACGTGTGACGACATTAAAACAGAAGCAAGTTTCTTGATAAAAATATCACGAGCATTAAAATACAAGTCTTACAGTTTACACCTGTGTGAAAGCTCCTTTACAAATATCTGTGGGGAAATTTCTCTACATGAAAACTAAAGAATGGACCCCGAGTTTCAAAATCAATGACATCATAATAATGAAACTTCCAAAAGCGTTAAGAAACTCGAGTGCCCAAATTCGATCTGTGCTTCCTGTGAAACAAATGCGTGTAAAATAAATTTCTTAATTTCAAAGATTTCAAGAATAACTGACAACAACAAAATTGGGAAGTGTGAAAATTTTCTTGGGCACGTAGAAATGCGAAAGAATGTCAAACATTCCTGGAAGCTTTCATTGTGGTTGAAGATGTTCCGAAAGAAGGTTGACTAAAGTTGTATCATGAAGCCGCAAGAGCCAAAGTATTACCTCAAGAGCGAACTTTTGGCATCGAGCTTGGCCTTATATGTTAAAGGTTAATAAACTAGTTTGATATGTGTTTTATTCCTTTTTTCCTTTAAACCACAGTCCTGTTAGAGTCTGTATAGTGGATGTCTTTCAAGGGAGGAATAAAAAGTCCATAATAAATGTCCATTTTTATGGGGAAAGATATTTCTTGGCTTACTGAAGCAAATAGCAAATGGGATAGTAATTCTTTTAAAGCTTCTTTAATATTTGCCCTTTTGTCAAGACTCAAGGGAAGTGTGTTGAAAGAAAATGCCTCGAAGATTTCGAGAAAGATGCATCGTTCTTAATTAGTTCTTTCTAAAGCTCACATTAATCACACCTTCTTCGTCCTAGCTGGTTCCATCAAGGCAAGGAATGCATTCCTGTTTTTCCAAAAGATAGATACTGCAAATTTACCCGCCATTTAACCTGCAATTGGCGCATTTCTAGTGGTGCCATGTTTCTCATCAAATCAAACGTGTGCAAATTAAACCTCTTGAAACATGAGCGCTAAAGCAAGTTTAACTATTGTGAAACATGATCTTTTGCAGGCCTTGATTCGTCAACTGGACACTGAAGTCAAAGGTCCTGTGTATTTATCTATGTGGCCGTCAGAACAATTCACACTTTTAGAGTATCAACCTACAGATATAGACGGAAAGCAGAATCTGAGTTTTGAAACAACTTGGATGAGGTTCGTTCACAGTGTAATCTTAATACAATTAGAGAAATCACTGAATCATTGATATAGTTTTATGGATATAGTTTTTGCTAGAATATGTTTTTGAAGATGTTACTATGAAAATAATGCCTGTTAGATCTGAGGAATTGTATCGATGTTTTTGCCATCTGTTTTAGTAAAAGTCTTTTAATACGCTGCTTTCTATAAGAGCAATAAGGTAGTTGTTTCTCGCCTTCAATCTGATGCTCATACCGTACGTAAGTTATGAGAATCAAGTTACGTAAACAATAAAATGGTATAAGACCAACTTCTTTTCAAACATAACATGGAAACGAGTATTGAAACGAATATTGAAGCATAATATTATCTGGGCTTGAAGGACAGCTTATATGCTTTGCAGGCAGAACATCTTAATACTTTTTATTACGTACTTTTCTCAGTAATCTTTAGATGGGCTGAGTTTTTTATTTGAAACTTTCCTTTATAGTGGTAACTACCATTGTACTGATAATATATCATTTTTCTCTTACTCAAAGGTTTTCCCTATCTGTTACCTAGCACAGTTCCAAAGCATATCGATTTGTGTAACTTTACACTAAGTCTTACGAAGTTGTGTTACAAAGCCCTTTCTGTGTTACAAAGTCGTTTGCGAACATTTAAAGTTTCTGTTGAACATAATCCGTCCAGTCCAGTTTCAACATCAGCCTTGCATCTCAAAATATTTATCGAAAACCCCTATAAGAAATCGTTCTAAATAAGAGAATAAGAATTTCTGGTAAATGCAACGAACAGAGCAGCTTTTCTACTAAAAAGCTTTACTGATTGTGAAGCTTATATGATGCTATTTAGTTTTGCTTATTGCTACAACACGGCCGGCGAAATATATTTGAAAGTGGATGGGCCAAGATATAAAAGTCTTGAAAGGGCCTAGAAAAGGCCGCCACCGCTTGGCGGCAAGAAAATTTTTAAGAATTATTGTGTCTTAGGGGTGGCCAGAAACTGTATCTAAAATGAATTTTGACTGAAGGTGTCGCATAGTCGCATTAATTGTGATGTTGACTTGAAACAGAAAAGTTTTGCAAAGTTTTAGAATAACCACTATCATATAGCTCGTGATGAAACCTTTTTTAGATTTTAAAATTACCCGAAATAAGATTGGGGAGAAAAATAAATGAAACACGGGTTAATAAAAAATATTAACGCTGAAATATCAACAGAAGAACTATCGACTGGAAATAAAAATTTAAGCAATTTTGTACAGTTAAGATATAACTTTGTAACATCTGATCTTAACTTTTTCGGAAATTAAATGCTTTAAAAAAGATTTGGAAAAACTTGAAACTGGGCTTGTCCAAGGGAGTTTAAATAGAATATATAACTGCGTCGATATTTTCTCTTTCTTAGTAAGAATGGATCATCCAAACGATCAAACTCTGAAGTTATCTTGATGATACTTTTTAAGAACAAATCTGCCCTTACTTTATTTCTCATATCCTCAAAAAAGTTCTTTCCAGCTGTTTCTTTTCCTTCAGCAGCTGATTTCTCTCTCTTTGCGATGTTTCTGAGAAAGTTTTCGTTAACAAATAGACCCCGTGTGCCAAGTTTAGGCAATGGAAAAAACGAAACTCCGTCAATTTGTGCTGGCACCAAGTTATTTTGGACTAGATTTCTCGATCTATTTGCTAAGCCAAGCTGTCACTCGTTGTAAAGCTTAGACAATGACCAATTTTCTTCGATCTTATTCCTATATTCAATACTGTGTATGTCTTCTATGGTAAAACATAGCAACCAAGGTAAAGCTAAGGACACATTCAAGAGAATACTAGGCAAAGTTACTTACAGAATCATATACTACATTCACTTTCACTTTTGCCTAAAATTTTTCTTCAGCTCTCCAGAAAAGTGGGAGGGAGGGCCACGGCCACCCCGGCCCCCACGGTTTCGCCGGCCCTGTAATAAATATCTGAAACGTATCAATAGCAATAAGTAATAATAGAGTAAAAAGGTTTTGATAATTATTCTAAAAGAACGAGTGAGAGAAGGAAAGGCTTTGATGCTCATGTTAAGCAAAATTTGAAAACGAGAAAGGAAGGTTTTCAAATCAGAATCTAGTGTAATTTACCATAATAGCAAGCCATTGAACAAATAGTTCAGGGGAAATGTTTTTATAATTTCTTTCAGGTATACTCACGTGCAATTTTTACGCATTCTGGTTTTTTTTATCAAAAGCTTCCGGTTTTGCATTCGGTCATTGGGAAAGTACCTCCACATATTCTTCTAAATTAGAGCTAACAACTTCAAACATTTCATAAAGCTTGTGAAATAACGGAAGTCATCACGTAAATTTTCTTGGAAATATCACTCTTTCTGTTACACTCAGGGGTGTAGTGCTAGGCTGAGCCCCGTTGTTATTGCCAGAAATGGCAAATTTCTACTTTTGTTATTGCTTTTTTGCAAAAGTTTGTTAAAGACACCCCCCCCCCTATGTTAATAGCACTACACCACTGATTGCGAATCGTCAAAAGCCAGTACGTTTGTGCCCTCATTTACTATATGTTCTTAAGTTTGATGCGAGACAACATTTATTTTCTGCTGTTTTCAAGTGTCCATTAGCTGAGGTTTCTCTGCATTCTCATCGCTTAATCACATGATGGTCTTTTCTGTACGGCTTTTGGTTTTTGGTTTATGGTTTTTTAAAAGTCAGTTGAAACACAGGAGTTATATACAAACTGCAAACTTTTTTTTAAAACATTGATTTTCCCAATTTTGATTTTTTTTATATAACGTTGTAATATTATTTAAGATTATGGTATCAAACTAGAGGGTTGTTTTTAATAACGATAAATTCTGTAAACGGTAGACGATAAATGCTCTTCAATGCATTCCCTTTGAATAATCCATTCATAAAGATTTCTTCAAAATTTCACTGAAGCATACTTAGTAGTTTCCTCTGACACTCCTCAAGAGCGTGAACATCTGATAATGACCAAAAGATAAGGTGTAATGTAGATGTAGATGCAGGTCGAATATAGCACGATTAGCCGAATGACTCGTAGAACAGTCTTCCTCATTTTTAGCCTGTGGTCCAGACCCCTTTCAAGTTAGAGGTCTTGAACATAGTATTTTTTGGCATCGGCAAATGTTTCCGATCATTTTTTAAGCCACAAAGTTACTACACAATTACTTGCCGTTTTGCAGTACGATTAACTGGCTCTAAAAGTATTTGTGATCCACGGACAATTCTTCTGACCCTTATTCTGTTTAATTTCACGAAAGAATCGAAGGGTTTTTTCGTTCTTTTAGATAATCTTTCTTGACATTGAAAATTTCTTGTTTTTTTCTTGTTAAAGCAACATCTTTGAATCGAAAAAAATGTATTTTTCATGGACAATGATGTTTGTGCTGAAAATTAGGTTTTTGAAGGCGATTAAGTTCCAAAATTGAATGCTGTTTTACTAACACTCTAAATCTCAATTATTTTGGAAGACGCCCTAAGAGATCTACACTAAAACAGCAAAATGACACCTTCACTTCATGATCATCATGAAACAACATAAAATAGAAAACAAATACCAAAGACGTTTTCTGTCTTTCAATTTTCCAAATGAACTGAAAAAAATAGGGACCCAAAAAACAACTTGTCAGAATACAATGGTCAGACATCCGTTCTTGATATTGGGCCCACTGGTTGGAAAAGAGGGGGTGGTACAACATTTGTGTAGTGCCATGAAAAAAGGGCAAAATTAGGAATGCTTGTCAAACCCCAATGCGGTGAATACCAATCCCTTCAACTGCATTCTCATTTTAATGCTTGGATTTGCTTTATCAATATGTATTTGTATCGTTTTTAAGGCAATTTAAGACCCTCGAAAATGACCCCAACAGACAAAAGAAAGAAATAGCAGTGACTACTTTTTGCATAAAGGGTAGCCCCTCTCGTTCGACTTTGAACTTTTCCCAGATCTGCCATTAGTTGCATGTAGTGGAGTAAGAGGTTTCAGCTGCGCGCTTTCCTGGAAAATAAGCTGGTTTCTGTGCTTCAGTTTCGTTTGGATTAGCAAAGAAATTTGACTCTATTTTGAATGTATATTTGCCAGTGTAACATGACCGACCATCACAGTATATCATTTACCTGCCTTGTGTACATTGTCACCTGACCATCTTTGCTGTTTTTTGTTATGACTAAAGCTGTTACAAGATATCCAATCGTTGTATGAATTTTAGATCTCAAATTATGCAACTTGAAAAAGGTAAATGGTAGGGAACAATCGAACTTCCAGATACGGATCTGCTGCACGTGCTGCTGACTAAAGGGAGTCAACCTTTTTCAAATTAGATTAATCAAACACATTAGATTTGTAAACTGTCACTGCACCAAAGTAGAATTTATTGAACAAAAAGAAAGACTTCTAAACTGTTACTGTTACTGTTTCTTTAACAATAAAAACTCAATACTGCCAAAGGAAGTTTATAAATGAAGATACTGCCGTATAACCTCGACTTTTCGCAAGAGAGAAAATAATCGGTCACCAGCAGTACGTATTGCTTCATTGCATCACGTGTTACCTCCAAGCATAAAGCCACTCCACGGTGCCACTATATTCCCGTAAAGCGTTTCCAAATCCTGGCGATGGTGTTATTTTTCGTAAGGTTACACGTAATCTTTTTCATTATTCATAGTATTCTTAGTCAGGTTTATTAATACCATAATTAAGATCTAATTAGAAGAAGCCTACTCATTTTCTTACTTTCATATTTGCTCGTGCTAGTCCGCTTCTTGGTTTTAACAATTTCTGCTCGCTCACAGGGAAAGAAAACAAAGTTTCCCCTTTATATTTCTGAGGGTATTTTGGAGTAGAGCAGGTATATTTTGAAACTTCAATTTTTAATGGAATAGCTAAATACTTTTTAACTGGATGATAAGTCTTGTTTCTTTGTATAAGAGTTTAGGCAAATACGTTGTGCATGAAACATTTGTTTCGGAACGGTTCGAAATTTTAACACAAGATTAATCTTAATAAGCTGAAAATTTGTCTTTGCTTGATTTCTTCTTTGTCCTAACAGCAAGAGTTTGTGTAAATGGTAAACTTACATCGGGCTATATTTCTACTACGTGCCCCAGAACCCTAGAGCCGCGAGAAACCGATGATACCGTATTGTAGACCGTTGCTGTAGCAAGAAACAAGATTTCAAATTTATTTCTGATCTTGAATTATTGAGACTCTGGCACCCAAGGTAGTGCTTCAGTTTCGGTCCCTCGAACAGGGCTGCCGAGAGGGGGGGAGGGGCAAAGTAGTCAATTGCCCCAGGGCTTCGAGGTTAAGATTGATTGAATTAATCAAACAGAAAAAAGTATGCCTAAATATAGTGAAACGTTTTTAACAATCGCAAGACTTGACGGGTGCCTCGTGTTTTGGTTTTGCCCCAATTCCTCCGAAACTTCTCGCTGGCTGTGCCCTCGAAAGCGCTTGATTGACCTAGAATTTAGACTTTAAATCAGAAATCTTCTCGACAATTTCAATGTTTTGTGATATACCAATTGTTTTTCTCAACTAGCTTTGCATCGATTTTTATTCTTTTTAGAATGCCCCAACGCCAGTTAATCTTCAAGGTTACCCCATGGTACTGTACTGGCATTTCCTTACATCAACAGATCTGTGGTAGATAGAGAGTGGAAATCACCGAAGCTTCATAAAACAGATTGAACATTGCAATCCATGTACTGGAATCCAGTCAACGGCGGTGTGCAATAAGTGCAATTGATGACGATAAAGCCATGCTAAGCGCCTTTACTGAAGCACTAATCATTCTCAAATAGTTCAATCCAAAAGACAATATTTAATGTGTACGAATTTAAGCTTGTAGAGAGAGTCTTTTTGGACTGTCACAGACAAGACATAAACAATGCGGTGCGTGGAACGTTTCGTCTACTTTTTTTGCTCAACCGTTGTACTTTTTGCTTGCCTTGGTACCTTCGCCTCTTACTTTCTGTCCACGAGAACAAATGAAACACACAAACAGACAACGAGGATCGTAAAAATAGTTTGCCCCTTGGTCATGATTGGGGGGTTTATTTTGATGGCAATAACACGATGCTGCTTTCAGGAGAAGCCAAGGAATCCAGCAAATCTGCAAGGAGGAGAGCTTTTTTGGCGTCGCTCACAGATTGACGGGCTCCAAGCTAATGGAGTAGGATACGGAAATAGAAGCTTCTATTGGCATGAGCGTGAGTTGAGTTACCGTATTTTATTTATTAAGCCCCCGGGCGCTTATTAATTTTTGGCTTTTAGGTGGGTCGGTTATTTGAGAGTGTTGTAAATTAGAGAGGGCAATCATTGAAAAAAGTTTTCTGCAAAATTATTTTTCACAACAATCCACGCTTTTTCTAAATAGTACCAAATCTAATTAATTGTTCAAAAATCCTCCTCCTCTTTATCTTTTTTATAATCAGCTATATCCTCATTTATGCTGGTAGATTCTATTGCGAGGGAGCATTAACCAGCGACATTCACTCGGTTTGTTAATTCTATCTTTTTGAAAATACGCATGTGTTTGGAGTTTTTTAGCACTGACACAGCCTCTCAGGATAGATTCTGCCAAAAAATCATTACATTTTAGATCGTCATAAACACAAGCCGCTGCTTTTTCATTAATTTCAGTTCACTTCCAATATGACACCCGAAACCAGACAGATAAGGAAGATTTTTTTGCCTAAGATTCTCAAATCTTGCCGCAGAGTTATGACCTAACCTCAACACGAAAGGAGATCGTTTTGGAAAAACTCATTTGTTATAAAAACCAATAAATTGAATTATAACTCTGATCAACACCTGTATGTCGGAGCGAAATATTAGTATATATTTAATTTATTTTAAAATTCTATTAAACAATATTGGGTTCTCTTCGTCATTTTGCATTGTTCCTGACAGTTACCTTGCATCAGTAAATTGAAGTAGACTCCGGTTACAGTAACAAAAGATGTTGCTTGAAAACTTGTAACTGTAATCGGAATGTGACTTTAAGCGGAGCTACCTATAATAGTTTTGCATACTTTGGCCTACATTTTATGTGACTGTTACCAGTAAAGTCGACTGTATAAGGGTGTAAGCAGTGCAATCGCTAGCTATTTTGCTCAAGGGGAGTGCTCGGACCGCATTTACTGAAAAAGTGAGTGAGCCATCCTTTATTTGCCGACAAGTTGGAAAATTCACCGACAATGCACCCCAGATGGCAAAACCCCCTCTTTTTCAGATGGTACTTTTAAGGGGGGTTTCACAATTTTGTTCAAATTCGCATCTTAAAGTACCTCAGCCTCTGCTTGTTCCAAATTTCTTAGTAACTTTTGACTAATGTGTATAAAATATTGATCTTATGAAAAAGTGTGTATTCTACATTGAAATGTAGACAGTAAGTCGAACAAGACGTTTGAATATCGGTAACGTGTGTCTCCTGTCTATATCGACTTCTTCTTTGCACCAATGCTATTCTAGCTTGATTAAAAGTAAATAATAAACACGTGCTATGAACTAACTAATACGTACAGAAAACTCCCGATAACTCGACCTTCATGGGACCAATAAAAATGGTTCGAGTTATCAGGGGCGCCGGAAGCACGGAGGCAGTAGGGGTCAGCTGCCCGCCTGCCCTGACTCTACGGGGTCAGCGGGGACAGCACTTTGCCCTTGTGAAAATGGCACTGTGTTTATGCTAATGGAATAAATATGTAAAATGTCAAGTTCTTGGGTGAGATAAAACATTAGTGTGATTAGGAACAAAATGAAAGCAATTAAAACATTGGGTGCATTTGTTATGATCTTACATGCAATAATGCTATTTCTTTCGGCAACACTCTAAAATGTAGGAAATTACAGTAGAATAAGGTGAGTGGAGTAACGGAGGCATCTGGGAGTCAAACACTAAAGCAATACGTAACACTAAACCAAGTTAACTAGTAGAAGCATCAATTAGAGTAATCTAAAAGCTTCTTAAACTGAGATTAATTTTAGCAAAGTCATCCGAATTTATAAGAAAGAAGTTGCCGTACCAAGATAGAAGGTAACAAATATGGAAACCTTTTGATAAATCACGACTTCAATTGAATGCCATTAAGAATGCCTGCCAGAGCTCACAAGTGATTGCAATTATACAACTCATTTGCACTTTCAAATGCAACTGCAGAACGTACTTTTAGCACAATGCAGCGTGATACGACACGACGGCCAACAGCCGACGGGGATTTGGGGGGGAGGGGGGTTAAATAACGGAGACGTGCCATTTTGTTAAAAAATTTGAGCAAATAATTCTGCACATGTCTGAAAAAATGTGACCTATAATTCCGCAAAGCAAATAACATTTTTAAAGCACAACAAAATCAGCAAACAAATTTTGCATGTCCCTTGCCAAAAACTCAATATTGCACATATTCGATACTTTCATTTCTAACTGGACATTCATTTTGTTAATGCTCAATCTCCCTCCTAATAAATTTGCAATATTTTTCGAAAACGGTACCCATAGTTCTGCATATATTTCAAAAACTGATACCGATAATTCCGCACTTTTCAGAAAAAGGTACCCCTAAAACATTGCACGTCCCCTACCTTCAAACATCGTAAGGTACCTCCCCCCCTCCAGCAAATGCCTAAACAACAGAATGGGAAATTTAAGCCTGGCCTTTTAGATAAAAAGTTTTATTGGTACTGAAGTATTATGTTATATCATTTTTTGTTATAATTCTAATATTAGTCATTGAAAAATGTGCCCTTTTTGAGAGTTCTCGAATGCTTTAGTTATCGAGGCTCTTGATATCTCATACTCTGAGATAAAGCAGTCAGCAATTGGAGTTATCATGATTTTACCGTAGTTATATTTCAGAATCAAAGCTTACGCGAATTTTGCTCCGATGAGGTGTCAAGTAAGTTATTGATTATACAGTATTCAAAATGAAATAAATAAGAGTCTAATCTAAACCGATGAAATTACTCTCATTTTTGTTATAAGAAACTGGTTATAAGAAACGAGTACTGGACAGTCGGGAAAAACTAAGAAACCTCAGTACCCAAAGCAAAAAAAATTAAGAAACTGTTAAATCCTGATGAAACTTAGAACAACGAAATTTTGTATAATCCAAGAACATGATTGCCCTGTTGGCCTAGAACTTAAGACACAAGGGTTAAAAATATGCTTCCCACGTCTAAATACAGCGTCAGCAAGGAAGCGAATCTCTTGACATGAAAAAAAGGCCACAAACATTTCATAACATCATTCATGACATCATAGTTGAAAAACTCTTAGGAAACAGCGAGTATTGAAATTTCCAGAACATAAGGAAACTGGAGTACAACACCGAGCTTTGTTTCTTTTAAAAGAAATGAGTGTAATCCGATGAAACTTCTGAGCTACTCATGTTAAATAGTAAATACCAATGAAATACAATAGGTATATCTACGGAGAAGAAATAAATCTCTAATTACTTATGTCCATTTTGAGGGGAAGGGTCAACAGCTTAGGTTTGCTTTGTGGATCTTTCTGTTGTTTTAGCACAGCCACTCGGGAGCTTAGACTATTTAGATGAACTCTAAAAGAGCAAAAATGGCACGAGTTTACACAGCTGCAATACTCAATTTCATGACCTGTGTTTCAAATGCACAACAGTGCTGTAGTTGTTCCTACACATCTATCATGCAAACACTATTATGATATTGAATTGAACTTCAGCAAATTAGAGGCAAATTAACTTCAGCTGAACCTTGGGATGTGCAGCTGCTATTGGGGAGGGGGGGGGGGCGTTAAAAATGGTCTAAATCTGTTGGAACTTGGCCCAAATCTTTCAGTAAAATCTGCTAATGATTTTGTACCATTGAATAACCGCTTTTATGTTAATTTCCTTTAAGAAATTTGTCTGGAAATGGGTAGCGTGTTCCTTCTGCTTTAAAGATGTTTTTATTTATTGTGCGACCTAGCACTGCAAACATGGGAATGGATTGAATTTGGGAAAAATTCGGATAGAAATTATTTTACTGTAGGAAAAACAGGGGCAAAATCGTTATCATTTACACCTCTATCGTAACTTTTTACATTTTCAGAAACCCCACTCCCACCCCCCACGTTCCAGATAGAAGGAAACAGTACGCTACTCGTTTTTATAAGAAAATCAGGCTGAGATTTGCTCAAAAGCCAAGCAACATAAGGCATAAGCCAGGCTGAAATTCGCAAACTCAAGAAAAAAAATACCAGCAAAAATTAAAAAATATAAAAAATAGCAACAGGACAACAAAAAGTAATAAGCAAAATAGCATTGAAAAAACAATTAAACAAACTTATTATAATAAAACCAGTTCAACACCATCGATATCAGTTTAAAATAAGAAACGAAACAAGAAATACTTCAGACTGAAATTATGCGTAAAAAAGAAACGCCAGGCTGAAACTGGGGCCTAGTGTTCTTTTAAAACACGTGTTCAGACGACAGTTCTTGGCCTAGTCAAAGAATAGGAAATAGGCAGAAGGGTAACTCTCGTCAGGTCCTTTGTTTTTTTTGAAGCCTGAGTCAACAATAGAATTCCTTAATTCCCCTTTAACCTCGATTTCATTTTACGAACTTAGCCATGACAAATTATCATTCATTAATCAGATATAAACGAATTATGATATATAATTGAATTTGTTCGCTATCATGGGACATTTCTTCTCAAATAAAGTTGTCTACTTTCATTTTTTTAAAATTTCTCCGACAGATACATGCTAAGCCTCGTATAAGTGAATGCATGCGCTAGTTTCTTCAGGCTTCACCTGATAGGCAGGAGTTCCCTTTCTGCCTAATTCTTATTATGTGGCTTAGTACGCAGTTTTTTAGGCTATTTGGCTTAGTACGAAGTTTAATGTTCATGACAGTATTTAATTTGTTTCTATGTTAAATGATGTCAGTGATTTTGGCTCTCATCTATAAAACCAAGAACTCTTGAATAAAGTGTCTGTAAATTTCTTACAATATAACTTATACACTCCTCAATAAAAAATGATGTGTAAAAAAACACGAAAAAGTTTGACGCAAAGCCCTGTCTTGGACTTCAGTTTTTGCCAAAGTGCTTTTAATAACAATAATTGTCAAAGAATCCTGAAATATCAGCAAAAATATCCTAAGTTGAAGGTTGACAACTATGACATTCAAAAATGCGGAAATAGTATTGAATTTTGAAGAAAAAGAGACAGTTTGCGCTAATGTCACAAGGGCCAAATATTAAGAAAGTGCCTTCTTGACCCTGGCAGACACAGTGTTTAAACGTTAGAACCTCTGAGGAAAAAGTCAAATTTAATCCTTTTCGGAGATCGCCTTTTGGCATTTTGCAGATATGATTTTGTAGGGTCACAACCTGTGGACATTTTTCGGCTGCAAATATTTGAACATCACATCAGAAATAGAAGGATTAATCAAAGATAAGGAAACAGTTTCTCGGCTTGATCTGACCTTTGACCACCTCTAGCGATTATGTGAATTAAGAAAGCTTTTACCATTGTGTATTTCATAAGATGTCTCTTTTAGAAAATTAATCTGTTCTAGAGAGAAAACTTTCGGCAAAACAATCCAAGCAGCCATGTATGCTGTGCCAGTGCTCGAAATATTTGCCACTGGTTTGTGGTTCTGAAATAATTTTCCAGAATTTATGTATGCTCTTTTTTACAGGAATCAGAAAATTTGTTCGAGTCTTGTTTTGATATGTTTTGTGAAGTCATTCTGTTGTGACAGAAAGTTAGGTTTTTCAAATCGTTTGGAAGATCAGTGGAATCAGAATTTATCTAAGGAGATTACGGAAATAGACTATCATTTAACCTTTGGTTACTTTGTTGAATAAGCATCCACGAGGCGCTCTTAGAATTCACGAAAATTGTTTTTCTACACGTCTTTTTTATAAGGATCAAAGGTAGATGTTCAGTACTCCAGTTTCTTTAATGTTCTGGAAATTTCAATACTCATTGTTTTTCAAGAGTTTCTTAATTACGATGTCATCAATGATGTCATGAAATGTTTGTGACTTTTTTATCACGTCAGGAGATTCGCTACCATTCCGATTCTGTATTTAGATGTGGGAAGTATATTTTCTTCCTATGTGTCTTAAGTTCTAGGCCATCAGGGCAATCATGTTCTTGGATTTGCCAAAATTTCATTGTTCTTAGTTTTATCACGATTTAATAGTTTCTTAATTTTCTTGCTTCGAGTACTGAAGTTTCTTAATTTTTTTTTAAAAAATGATGAGTGTTTTTCATGAAAACGAAAATACGTGCTATTTTTATAAAATACTGCACAAACGAAACGAACTACAGTCGACTCCGCTTACAGGCACTCCGCTTAAAGGGGGTAGCAGGTATTTTGGCGTGATTGCGTGATCGGCGTATTTTCGATGCGTGAATTCGTAAAACAAATTTTTATTATGCATGAATGCGTGAATAGACATTGGCAAGTGACCTGTGAATCAGCATTACACATGGCGTGATTGCGTGAAAATGAGTGCTGCAAGCGAATTACGAAATAGAGTGCTATCGCTTTTACAAGCAGAAAGTCTTGGTTTCTGGTACCCGACCGTGTAAATGTCTCAATTATTCAGAGATTCCAATGCTGATGGCTCTGCCAACAAGAAATTACTACTATCAGACAGTTATTAAAAATTTCAGGGAGCTTCTAGGGGGCGTTATCATGAAATTAAAGGACAAGTGACACACTTTTCACCCTATCTTTTCTTTTCATTAACTTATAGATCATCGTTTAGAAGTAAGTTTCCTGTTTTAGAACAAAAAATTCTAATCAGGGGGCGCAGGGGGCGCGATTTTGCTTTTTATCACGTGACCCTATGACGTACATTGTGATAACTCGGAATTTTCCTGTCATTATTAGAGAGTCTACAAAACACGACGCGACAGGCCCAGGCGAACTAAATTGGTTTAGAAGCGTGTTATAAACATTAATATTGCACTGTATACCAGTAGCAGCAATTACAGATTATCACAACCTACGTCACGGTGTCACGTGATTCATTTCCCGCCATACTTTTGAAAGGGTTTTTAAGTAGGAAAATGAATTCAGAAAGGAAAAATATTTCAACAACACTCTCATACAGCATTTTACTTTAAGTTAAAAGAAGAAAGAAAATTGGCGCCAAAAGCGTGTCACTTGTACTTTAAATTTCTAGTACCGTAAAAGCGTGATTTGCAATTATTTTACGCATGATAGCGTGATTCAGCATAGATCTCTGCTACACCGCTTAAAGTACACTACTGTTTATAGTCACTTAAAATTAAGACCTAACTCAAAACTGTTCAATTTAAGCTCCGTTTACATTCACACTCCGCTTACTGCCGCAGATTTTCAAGGATTACGAGGGTCACTCCGAAATTATTGAGATTTTCAAAAACGGCTTATGAGAATAGGCTCAAATTTTTACAGCTTTTCAAAATACTCTCCATTAGCATCTACGCAAAGTTTCATTCTATTAAACCAAATAGAAAAACAATTTGTCCATTTGTCACCAGGAAGGTCCGAAATCGCCTCTTTAAACGCGTCTACGGCTTCATCCGGACTATCAAATTTCGTTCCACGCAGTTTTTCTTTGATGGTAGGGAAAAGGAAAAAGTCACAAGGTGCCAAGTCGGGTGAATATGGTGGGTGGGTGACTAACTGAATGGAATTTTCGTGCAGAAAGTCAACTGTCAATGCTGCAGTGTGAGCTGATGCGTTGTCATGGTGCCATAGGATCCCGCGCAAACCAGTTTTTCTCGGCATGCATCTAGCACTTTCGGTATGCACTGGTTTACATACCAATCCGCGTTAACTGTGCGGCGATCATCAAGAGGAATCGTTGCCACGTGGCCCGTTTTTCCAAAAAAAGAAGCGACCATCTTTTTGCCGACGCTTCTGGAGCGCTTGAATTTTTGTGGTGGGTGCTCCCCCGGAAAGATCCAGACTGACGACTGGCGTTTCGTTTCTGGGTCAAATTGGTAAATCCAACTTTCATCACCTGTGACGATGTCATACACACGTTTGGACCTTCCACTATCAAACTTTTCAAGCATAAATTGGCACCAGTTTACCCGATGCTCTTTCTGTGCCTCTGTTAAGCAATGGGGTACCCAGCGAGCTGCAACCTTTCTTACTTCAAGATGATCATGCAAAATTTTATTAATGCTGTCGATCCAATGCCAACTTTTTCCTGCATCACTTCATAGGTCAATCGGCCATCTTCTTTGAGTAGCTTTTCTACAGCAGCTATAGTTTCTGGGACCACAGCCGTTGGCGGTCTTCCCGGGTGGGGGTCGTCTTTCAGACTCTCCCTCCCTTGTTTAAATTCTGCAAACCATCGAAAAACAGTTGCCCTTGATGGTGCACGATCTTCAAAAGTTGCAACTAGTTGTTGTAGACACTCCTCTTGTTTTAATCCCTTTTTAAAATCGTAATATATCATTGCGCGAAAATCGCGTCTTTCAAGCTCCATTTCGAAAATGAAATTTACAGCGAGAGTCCCCTCTTTTAAAAGTTTGTTAAAAAGATATCTTTGAGTGGAAATGGACAAGAATTTGCAAACAACGCTTATAAATGTGTAAGTTTAAGGAAACCTGTTTTATAACGTTGGATTTGGCGCGAATTTTGAAAATCTCAATAATTTCGGAGTGACCCTCGTATTTGGTGTGTCTACTGTATAGAACTAATTCTCATTCTCAATACTACCCGAAAATGATTTGTTTAAAGATTTTATATAAGCTATTATTTTAGATGATTATATTTTTGCTTCTTGTTCAATTTACACAGACAAGAAATTGAAAAATTTCTGTAATTGTGTTATCTTGTGTAATGGCATCGCTTGTTTTATCAAAAGCATTGACACATACCAGAAATCGATGTTCTCTGGGGTATTTTTTTGGCCCCAGGACATTCAGACATTTTTTTCTGATTCAGCTCTTCAAATATGATAACATATTAAAAATAATTTCATAAAGATTCTTTTCGTTTATTGGCATCTTCTTTTAATTTCAGTTGATGTTTATACCCTGCCTACGTACTCAGAATCAGTTAACAATCCTCGTTGTTCTATTCGCCAAGGTTTGTACATGTTCATATTCGTCTGGCAGTAATAAGCCTTGCTCGAGGGAACCCCCGTCTTGGAGCAAATGCGCATGTGTAATAACGGTCAAGTTTTGCATGATCTTTATCTCCATGGCGGGGTTGTTCGGGAGACGAAACCTTCAGACCTTTGTTTCCAAACAGTACCGTCTTAAACCAAACAGTGTTGCAGGGTCATAGCACACTTCTACTTCTACTTCTACACGATTAATCGACTACTTCATGGAGAAGGTTATGTCGATGTAAACGAAAAAGAAGTTAAGAAAAATAGAAAAAAGGGGAATACTGTTATTAATGCACATGCGCATTAATAACAGCATTCGCAAGCTGTTATGTCTGACCACACAACTTCCCGCCAGGGCTTAAAGTAATAATGCGCATGTGCAATGACCCTGAAACGGGGGCTAGTGCATGTCTGGAAGACGGGCATGATTCATCTCCCGAACAAGGGGTTCTTGGTCTTCCAAACTTTGACAAAGAAAGGTTTGCTGCTGGCATGTTTCAGCGTTGCTTCACTCATTTGTCAATCTTTTTCAAATCGGTCCATTATTTGTGAATCACTGTAGTAGCACTGTCGCATCCGTTGGACCCGCTTATTCTCCTTATTTCAGTGTTTTTACATGGATGTCCTTAAAGCTTGGATTTAGGCGGGAATTATCAAAACCCTAGGTAAAATGGTCTATACGCAGACAAGACAGATGTTGGAATGATTAGGACTTGCATCGTTGATTGAAAAGTCAATGTAGTAGCCCATATGTTTATACAATTCAGTCTCGTTCCCCTATGCAACACAGATTGCAAGTCGGCAACAAGTCGTAATAAAAGATACAAGAGTATTAATATTTTAAAAGGAAGTAATTGCCTTCCGAGTCCCTTTTCTTCGTTGCCAAAATTCGTTTCGACCTACTTGAAAGTGCGTTTCGCAGGCCCTGACTACAATAACACGGATTTCGGAATTTTTGCCTTATTATGGAGGCTGCAGCCCTCCCAGCCCATGTTTCGCCTATTCGCATGCGCAGTTGAACTAAGATTGCAAGCGCTTTCTGCGGCTGTACACTTTAGAGCTGTCACTGAATATTTATTTCTGTACTTAGGTGAACTTCCACCGAAATATGAGGACATTATGGGAACCATCATGGACAATGAGGGCTTGGAGAGTGAAGAAATGCATGAGGCGTGTCAAGATTCGCTGGAACTCTCTACTTCAAGCGGTAGAGTAATCAATGTTTTATCGCAGACTAGCCCAGCCCAAGATTGCGAAATAGAAATGATCATAAATGGCAACAACAGCAACAACAGAAACAGCTGTAATGATAACAGCAACAACGATAATGATGACAGTAACAACAACATTTGCAGTGAAAAAATTAACGAGAATAACGCTACAAATCTTGATAGAGAGAAATGACATTGGGTTCTTTGGTCAGCAGGTGTTTTGGTTCGTTGCTGAGGAAGAGCATCGGCAATTCCAGCCATTTCCGTTATAGTTTTTAGGCGACCAAGATTTATTTTCCAGATAGGAAAAAACCTAAAAGAAAACTCGGAGTTTATTCGCATAGTTCATGTGAACTCCTGTAACTCTACACGACAGCACAATAGATCTTACAGCTGTTTTTGAGATAATTCCAGTTTTATGGAATATTTAACGTCCTAGCATACCAGCTGCAATATACAATCGCCTGCGTTTATTTTCAGCTACGAAATACGTGTTTGCAAGTATGAAACATTATTTTCGCCATGTTCATACAAACTCGATACTGAAATAAGTGTTACCGTTAAACTCGAGGAGTTGACCCGTTTTCTTGAAATTAAATTGCAAGGTGACATTCCTGTGAAACAGAGCCAGGAATTCTCGGAAAATATACTGTGCAGGGATAGTGCCACATTCTAGATAAAAAATTTGTTGTAATTAAAATTTGAATTTTTGAAGATTTTCAGTGGCTTTTGCTGGTGTTATAATTGATACAGTGAAGTAAAAAAATCTATATATCTCTATAAAACTTTGTTCAATTTGATCTGTTGAAATATTATATATTCTTTAAGGTAATAACATTATATTTCGCTAATTTTCCATTGTTAGAGCTTTTTGCGCATAAATTTACTGTATGGACTCAACCAAAAACTTTACAGGTATAGAATTCACCTTCAACTTGATTGACGTGCACATTATGGACATGTTTACCCCAACGGTGTCACATAAACTGTTCATATACAAGGAGGTCCATCCGCAGTTATCAAAAATCACTTAAAACTATCAGAAACAAATTTAAAAGACCCAAAATTATCAGTTTTGGTCAGACCCAATAATATAAAAAATGAAATCTTGTTGTGGGAACCACTAGTACATAAGAAACCACTAGTCAAAGTAATTGAGACTGTTTCCTATAATGATAAGTTTAAACACACCTGTTATTTCATTCTTCTTTTGATATCGTTATGTGATAGTTGAACCCATAAATATCCAAAAACTATATAGTTAAATCAGGTACCCAAAAGGGTCAGATCACCAGGACAATTTTTATCAATAATTATCGGATTGACCCATTCTGTATATAAAAGTTCAGATAACCCCCTGGGATATTTTCAAGCGTTATCCTGTGCAAATACTATTTAACAATATCATAGATCAGCTATGTACATGAGCTTTTTGCTAGTCAATATAGACCAAAAAACCTCCCGAGGAATCTACATCAGCATTCAATTATGGTAGGTCGTATGACTTTATGCATTTTATATAATACTGTTTGGAGGTAAATTACTATTTTTCTGTCTTTATTTCTATTGCCAGTTTCAATTTTTTAGTCTCCAGTTTTTAGCATTGTAGTCGGAAAAACCAGTTGGTCTATGGTTTTCAAATGCTCGTGGCATTTCCATCAAGGGTTCGCTTCCCCATCTAATCTTCTAGTTAGATGGAGGAATGTATTTTCTTTTCAATGTCTACAATTTTTTATGCCAACCAGCCAATCATATTGGCTGACTGTTTCGAAATCTCGTTGTTCTTGCCTTTTTCAAAATTCAAAAAGTTTTTAATTGCTTGCTTCCAGTACTAAAATTTTGTAACTCTTTCCGACTGCCAAGTACCCGTTTCTTGTAGAGAGTTTCAGATATGGATGAAGTGACAGTAATAAAACATAAAGAGAAAAATCTTCGTTTTTATGCAGTGAGGAAAGTTCCGGTGGGAATATTTTCATCTATTCAGAAATTTTTACAGGAGCATATCTAATTTTGGTCTTCGTTGGGCCATAGTAAATAAAAAAGTGACTATGGTTGAGCAATGTTTTGGTTGTCATTTTTAATGTGCTAAATGTTTTGTTTCTTAAAGTGAACTTGAGAAACATGAAAGAGGTTTGAAACGGGAAATCTTTATAATCGCTACTCGTTTAAGTCCCCGCCTTAAAAATAAACCGATTTATAACAGCTCAAATAATAATTGTTACTGTTGAACCTCTACACATAACGGACGGACAAATATACCGGTCCATTAAGAGGCTTGCCTCAGGTCTTGAATTTACAAAATGCGAAGGAGCGTTCGTTTATCTACTCGACCGCCATTTTGATATTGAACAGAGTGAAAAAGAAATGGATGTATTACTTGCTGAAATTGAGCGGAAAAGAAAGCAAATCGACTCAAATGAAGTCACATCGAATAAAAAGTATTTCCGACGGGGAGAGCTTGCAGCAAAACAAGAAGAAGAATATCGGAAGAGGCAAGAAGAAAAGTTGCGAAGCAAAGGCCTACTTGACGACAGAGCAGGGTCTAGCAAGACAGACCTTCAAGGGGATATTGCAAAAGCGTTAGACAAAGGAAAAAAGGCATCCGATGGCGAAAAGAAGGAAAAGAAACTCTCACACGATGAAGTTGTAAAACGCCTGAGGGAGAAAGGAGAACCAATAAAACTATTCGGGGAGACGAACGATGAAACTGCGCAACGGCTACGCTATGTGGAAATGATGGCAAAAGAAGACGACAAGGGCCTTAGAAATGATTTCAAAGCTGCAATGGATAAGATCGATCAAGACTTTTTAGATGAACTTGTTAATAATCAGGGACAAGCAGGTGCAAAGGAAGCCAGTGATATTAAAGTCAAAGGTGATTTTATTGAACTTGAAACAATACAAAGTATGGCTGAAGAGTTGGGCAAAGGGAATGGTGAAAAAGATGCCGAATTCATTGTCACATTTTTGGTACACTTACAACATCTCTGGGCTAGGGGTCTCAATGCACGTGATCAGAACTTAAAAACAAGCCTCCAAGGTAAACTTGAAAGTGCTAGGTTTCATCAGACTGTTGAATATATGAGACCTCTTTTTAAAAGCCTCAGAAATAAGAAAATTGATGAAGTTATTTTGGAATCACTAACTGAAATTGTTTCTTCAGTGTTGGAAAGGGATTATGTGAAAGCTAGTGATCATTACTTGCAAATGGCCATTGGCAATGCACCTTGGCCAATTGGAGTAACTATGGTAGGTATCCATGCTCGTACTGGAAGAGAAAAGATTTTCTCAAGACATGTAGCTCATGTTCTCAATGATGAAACTCAGCGGAAATATATCCAAGGATTGAAAAGACTTATGACATATGCACAAAAGGTGTACCCTACTGACCCCTCAAAATCTGTTGAATATAATGGTCTAAAATTATAGTCAACAGGTGACATTTGATGAAAGTTTTCTATCTTTTCTTCCTCAAGCTGCCATTGCTTAATGATGTTTATAAACATGGACAATTGAAAATCTTTTCAAATAATCACATTCTGTATTTTAATGCTTCACATTGAAAAAGCTGTGTTACACTGCAGTGTTGACTGTGAATTCCTATTTAAATAGCAAGCCCCATACTTTATACATTTGTTTGATAGTGAATTGATGAGGAACCTTTCAAGTGGACACAGAAATTAAAATGTAATCATTCTGTTTTAAAATTATTTGTTAAACTGTTATTGTATTATACTCTTAAAGACACAAAACCCTTGAGTTTCAGTATTTTTGTTATGCAATTTCACAGCTTCATAATTTTTTTTATTAAAACAAAAATGAGAAAAAGAGAAACCATTTGAAGAAATTATGCACTATTCTTACTCAATAAGCCTTCTCTTATGAACATAACTGGCTGTTCATCCTTGAATATTGCTTCCCTGCCAATAATCTAGTCTCTAGCTTAGTATTAGATATCTGGTGATGAATTAAGTTGCATGGCACATTGCATGGCTTGTAGTACTTGTATATATATTTTGAGGTGCTGTTTGTTTAACATTTTTTCCATTTTCAATATCAATATTAGGCAAAGCATTCATTTGCCTTCTGTAATCAGTTGACACTCGAATACATAATTGGTTTTGCAATAATTTTCTTCTACACATGCATCCAATCTGAAACTGATTTCTTTAAAACCATTGACTTAAAATAAAGATATTTGATGTCAGTGAATTTGTTTCTGCTTAATACCATTCCTAAAAGCTTTACCTATCTGGCATTGGGGGTTTCCTTGCCTAATGAATTATAAGTTCACTGCAGTTCTCTTTTAGGCCCATTCCCTGGGCAAAGTTTACCCACCCACTGTCAATTTTGCTTCCCCTCCTGCATCCCTGTGGAACGTTTTGCATGGCTTATTGTACAATAGGTGTGCCTGAGTTTTTTTGAATGTTTTTCACATGTACCTGAAGTTGCATCATCAAGAGTTATTCAATCAAAGTAAATTTGTCTAGATTTCAATATTTCATCTAGATTTCAACCTAGATTTCATCTAGATTGTCTAGATTTGAAAAAACTATGGCATGAAAGGAGATAAAGCTTGACAAAGTTGAAGTTAGCAGTTTAAAGTATGGAGGTTGAGCAGACCTAAGTCAATTCCTTACATTATAAGCAATGTTTAGACTCTATTTTCTCCATCCCTGCTATTTTTTTGAAATCATGGAGTCAAAGGCATAGAAAAGAGTATCTTACAATCTTTTTGAGGACACCTTGCATACATGTCTAATATTTAAATGTTAGTGGTTATTTTACCTTACTTTATTTGCTCGCAGCCATAGAGGGAGCTTATGTTGTTGTTGACAGTTGAAATCTTTCAGTGTAAAGATTATGCACATTCATGGGATGTGTCCATTCTGCCGAGACATCCATGATGGGCATTGAACATATGAACATATCAAACATTGGATAAAAAGAAGATTTTTCTTCTTCAAAATTTAAGATCTGTTGCTTTTCAAACCTAAAGATCTTCAAAAAAATTAACTGTAGAATAAAACAAACAGGTTGCAAGGTTTCCATGGAAAGAGCATGTAGCTTGTGCCCCAAGAGTGCTATTCTAGAACGAATACATTTTCAAACAGGCACTGGAGAGCGTTGAGAAGTAAAGTCGGGGGTCTGAAAAAAGGGGGGGTAGAACCAAATAAAAGGTGGTTTAAATGGTGATTCATTGGTAAATTTGTTGCATTTTGGCAAAAAGTGGGGAGGGGGCTATAGCCCCCACAGCCCCCTTCTCCTCGGTGTCTGTCAAATGAGTGACGCAACCCACTGTCCTGGAGCCAGAGGGTATGCGAAATATGAACTTTGTTCCATGCGCATGCTCTTCGATTCCAGGACGGAGGGTTGCCTCAATCATCTCCCCAACAAGGGTACTCTTTACTGACCTAGAATAAACGTGGCTTGTTTTGCTCTTAGAATAAGCTGAGCTTTCTCATTATCTAGTATTATCAGTCTCTTTCAGTGTGAAAGAAGAGCTTCACGCTGACGACATGGTGTTTTTTCAGTGCTTTTCTCTGCTAATAATTTTATGAAATATTGATTAAATTTTCAATGTTTGCCTCCTCAACCACGCACTCCCACTCATCGGTCCACTGGAATCGAGTCGCGTACCCTGCATAGTATTTAATTGCACATATATTATTGGTTGCAATATTATTTATTGATGAAGGAAATTTGACTGCTGCCATTCCGTATGATGCGACTGTATTAGAATGTCATTCATACGCTGCGCCGACAAAACTGCACTTTTGCAGCTAATTAGTGATTTAACTGAGCTTTAACAGGCTTTATAGGGATTTTAGAATATCCGCTGAAAAGCTGCAGCCAACAAGGTTTATCGTTGAGTCGGAAGCCTTTTTGGAATCTAAAAGTTTGAATTAAGAGTGGTGTCCAACGTCGAATGTCGAGAATATACTCGCTTCCGATAAAGTTATTGAAAATCTACAATCCCTGCCCGAAGTCTCGGATCACTAACCTTAGTTCTCAATTTGACATTCATCTATGTTTTTCGCCCTTGCAAAAATGTTGGTTTGCTATGGTGGGCAGTGGGCAATGGAGAGTTGCGAGAAAAAGAGGTTCTTGTTGCAAGCAGAATAAACTATTTGATGACAACCAAATTACATATAAATTGTTGCATAGCAGAGAAATATTGCTAATCATGGTATGTTTAATTTGAACCGAAAGAAATCCACTAACTATTTTCTGAATGATTGTTTCTAACCGAATAAGTTAATAAAGTCACAAATACAGTTAAAAACCCGTATTAAAAGTGTAGTTTTGCCTTTATGTCTGATTATGTTCTTGAACAATAATTGATGAACGGTTTTTCCAAGGGTCAAACCATACACTTGTAATAGCAACTTCAAATCTTCTCAGTAGGAGTATCCAACATTTAGTTCAAAACAAAATTGCTGATGGACATTGTATACAGAGTAAGCATAAAATTTTTCACTGTATACTCAAAGTCACTTCACGTAACCTTATGCAATGGTGTAGTCGTAAATTCTTGGGAAGTATAACGCAGAAGTTTAAAAACAAAAACAGCGTTTCATCAGTTCTATCAAGAAAATTATAATATTTTGTGCTTTTTAAAACAACTCTGCATTAAACATTTAACTGCTTGCGTTATACTTCATGCATCTCATCCTAGTGATATATGCACTGTTCTGCAGATCATCTTTTTGTCCCTCTTTTAAGTCTTTCGCATCCACTACAATGAAATTGGTATCCATTCGGTGATCTTTTTTGTCCACTTTCTTGTTTTCGTCCTGGCGACATGGCTTACCCATTTACCACTCATATTTTTCTGAGTTTTGTAAAAAGTTGAAGCCTTTGGTGGGTGATCCTAAACTTTCTTTTGCTCTTTCCATGCTTCTCTGTGCCACTGCCATTTTATGCCAGTTTCCATGTATTAACACCATATGCTATTGCCAGTGGAATAGCTCCAGCTATTGCTCTCTTCTGCAAATTTAGAGCATAGATTTTTCTCATTAGTCGACATAGTGCCCAAATCTTGGCCATCCTGTAGCTATTCTCCTGTCAATTTTTCTCATTCGTTTTCGGATATCATTAGTTGACTTGGGTAGCCATTTCATAGAACTCTTCTATAATCTGGCATTTTTTTCTTTTCTGCTTGTCTGGAAAGATACAGTTTTCCATTGATGCATTTATGCAATAAGGTAAACATGCATAACTCCCCTCCCCTTTACCGCTTCTTAGTTCAATAATTTCTTACTTGTATCTAACGCTTCTTAGTTCATCCTAACGTCTACTTACTCAACATTATTAAACTCTGCTGATTCGGCTTAACATTTTATAGCCTGAAGCGTTCATTTGTGTGTCTTCAGGATGGTAAGAATTTTGATGCCCACTTTTTTCCTCTTCATGCTGACTATTTTATTTCGATGTTTTTATATTATTATTCTTTTGTATTTTCCTGTGATCTTCTTCATTACCTGATCTATTTGCTCTTTTACGAACCCGTTTCTTAAAACCACTATGTCTCGTCAGTCAACCGCGCATGATCGAGAAAGCTTTGCGAATTAGACGATTGAGAATTGGATGCGTAGCAATGGGCCTATTGTGTAGTCTAACCAATAGGAAATTTAACTGTCTATTGTGGAGTCAAACCAACGAGAAATTTAAATGGCCAGCGAAATGCGTTGGGACGTAGTGCCTTTAAACCAGCTTAATTTTTTTTTTTGAAGGACATGTTTCAAAGAATACTCTCGTTTACAGAGTTTTTTCTCTGATAATCATTGAGAATGGTGTAACACAGTTTGATGTCTAATTCTTTTTGGAGATCTTACACGTGAAACTTTGTGTATCTGATTATCTTGTATAGCAGTTTCGAAAAGGTTGATTGTAGTACCATGGATCATCAGTGTCACCAGATCTCAATTTTGTGATTATGCCAAAATTGTCATAAAATCATGCTAGATTTACAAAAATTCTGCATATTTCAAATCAAGGCAATCATGCGTGAAAAAGAGGCTAACGCATGCACAGAATAGCGAATGTAGCTAAAATATGTTCGACAAAGAGAGTGTTAAACTTTAACTTTACAATGCAATGAAATCAACGCAATCAATTAATCATCAAATATGTATATTAATATGTATATGTCAAATAAATGGAGCCTATAATTTTTACTTACAGACAGATGTTATTAATGCACCTTGCTCCCTTGCACTGTTATGTTATGATAGAATGGCGTCATAATTTACTCAAATAATAATAGCCAATTTTAAAATTTTGCCAGAGTTATGCTAGATTCCAAATTATGCCATATTATGGTTAAAGCATAATATAACGCTATATCTGGTAACATTGCTTTTCATGAAGGAGGGTTTTTCTATGATCAATGGATCAATTCTTCTAGAAGTCCGAAATCATTCTGGTCTCTTTGGAATGCTTAGTAAGCTGTAGGTATTAGTCAAATATGGCCACTAGTAACCTTTTATTGGGTAATTCTAACCTCTGTTGGGGCGATATGAAGCCATCCCACTACCGCATGATTAGCAATAACAAATTAATATTCATAGTGAAATGAAACCAGTGAAATTCCTTTATATAAATTCAAGTTCAATACAAGGAAATCCAAGTTTAGAAAAAAGGTCCAGTCAGGGTCAAAGGGGTCCAAAGCCTAAATGTTGAAACATTTCCCTCAAATTGTTTTTTTTACAATAGCCCTCAAATGGTAGCATAAGGACGGAAGTTATATCCTTGGTAGCATCCATTTCTTGGTGCGAGCCAGGAAAAGATAAAATCTTGTTCATTGTCTATGATAAATTGCAAGCTACATTAAGCCGTTGTGTT